CTGTAAACCTTATTACTATATGTCTACAAATAGTATATCAAGTGAAACTGTAGAAAAATATATTTAATTCGAACTATTTCTTATTCTGTTTACAAATTGTTCTTGAATTTGTGTATAAAATTATTTTATTATAAAAGTTTTCTAGTTTTTAGATGGACTTTAAAATGCCAAAATGATTGTATAGAGTTATAAGTTGATTTTCTGCCTAAGAAACATTTGTATCCTTTTTATATAGACAATTACGAATCTGGAATCCAGTGTAAGCACTCCCAGTACAAAAAAACCATGCTGTTTGGGATCTACGTTGAAATCTTTATAGACGGCCGATGCTGCTTTCGAGGGGTTAGGTTCAACAAAGAGCGCTTGGAATCTGTACAATCTGGGGGGCGTAAAAACATCATGCAAAACTCAGGGGCAAAAGACATGCCATTGATTTGGGTTAGGGGGTAGAGACAACGAGTTAAGAGCTTACGGCGGGGGTTACGATTACAATTACGGGGGGTTAGGGTTGCTTTTGGGGTTACGGCAAAACAATAATCGAGGTCAGAACGAGAGTGGTTAAGAACGAGGAGGAGCTGAGAAGAGTAGAAGAACCCTCACCCTTACGATACGAGTTATGGTTGTTAAAGTTGTTGTGGCCTGCAGTTGAGGTGCTTGTTGCTGTGGTTGTTGTGAGATTTGTAGGTCTGTGCGCGTTGGCTGTTTGTTTGGAAGTGGGCGGCGGATTGGGATTGGCCGGCCCATCGATATTTATCTCGCTGCCGGCGATGGAGAGCGAGAACCGCTTGGGCGGCTCGTCATTGGAATAGCCCCAATTGAACACCTCGTACATGGAGGAAGACTTGCGTCGGTGATCTGTGTGAAGTCGGTAGTTTTTCGATTTGTTTTCAGAGAGAGAGAAGTGAACGTTACAGAGGTGTGATTGCTGTTTGCTTTTGGGTGCAAATCATATTGGAAAACAAAATTTAAAAAAGGAAATAAAAGTGATCGTGCCGTGAGAGAAGTCTGTGGGTGCCAGGGGTATGTATCTATATAATAATAGTAGTTCACATGTACACCATCTGGGTACAGTGGGAGATAACATAGTAGGTGGTTATAGAAATCTCTAAATTGCGGGGCACATGTAAACAATAACTGGGACTTGTCAATTACAAGAGTTACGAGTGTCTAAGGTAACGATAACGATAACTGCAAAGTAAAATTTAATCTCATTAAGTGTGTCTGGTGTCTCAGCGAGTGTGGAGTGTTCAATAGTGTGTGTATATCTGTTTTGGGGGTGACTGAACTGCCGCTTGGGGCATCGGGACTCACCATCTTGTCTGTCCGTCGAGGAGGAGGCACGCTTCTTAGCACCACTGTCGGCAAGTTCACGCTCTGAACTTCGACGTGAGAGCGAGGCGCCCGCTACGTTCGATATAGATGTGGATCTGGAGGGGAAAAATTAAATATTAGTTATAGGAATCAATTTCATAAATTTTATTTCCTTAATACATAACTACAATCTAAATATTGTCAATAATACTAAATCATTGTAGGTAAACAATTGGGTAAAACAATTTCCAAAGATAAATCGAAAAGAATTATTTCTAATCATAAATATTGTTAATTAATAGTTATATATTACTTTCACATCGACTTAGTCGATATAATTATGATCAATTGCAAAATATAAAATTTAAAAGCAATTACATTATTTTAGTAAACAATTTAGTCATTCAAATACTGATAAAACAAATTCAATAACAAAGTATAAGTTATAATTTAGCATGTCAATCGAAATACAGCGATAATTAGTCATGTGCAACACAAAGCACAGATAAAATCGCTCAAAATACTAGTTCAGATAGTCATGAATAGCTAAAAGCAAATATGTGTGTTTTGTGGGAGCTTTTGGCTTTGTGCTGACATAAGTTTTATTCGGGTCTCACCTCCGCTGACCCCAAAAGGCACTGGGCGATACCAGACCATAATCCGCGGGCACATCCAGCAGGCGGGGAGTCGAGGAGCCAAAAGCGAAGCCGATGGAGTTTCTGTCCCGCCTTTTGACTTCTATCCGGGATTCGCGTTCCTGTACGAATTAGATATTCATTATAATTAGAGTTTATTAAGATTTGATCGGCAACCCACCTGATTCTTTTTGAGGATATACTCGCGACGCTCCTTTTCGGCCTCGAAGATGGTTTTTTTGCGCTCCGCCACCTGGTGGCGCTTCTCTGTGTCCCGGACGCGGATCTCCTCGATCCTTCGCCGGCGCTCCTCCTCCTTCTGTTCGCGATATCGCTGGGCGGCCTCTGCCTGGGCGCGCAGCTCCTCGATCTTCCGGTGCCGCTCCTCATTTTGTCGATCGCGGGCATATTTCAGCTTCTCCTCGCGGTCTTTGGACGCTAAAAGCGTATCGAATTAATAGAGATTCGCACATATAAGGGCATAAATTGAATTTGGATAAACAAGTTACGGTTCGCAGGCAAATAAAAGTGGAAACATTTTTCGCAGTTGCTACCTGTGGCCGAAAAATCAATAAATATCTACTTAATATACCCCATTTTTCGACTTTTGCCGGCGAGTTATTTACAAGAGGAGGGCTGACGTCATCGTTGAACGCTGTACGCTCGCATTTTGTGGGTCAATTGACAAACTAGCTACAATAACAAATGGCACAAATACACGGACAATAAGCGCCGCCGCCCCCGCATAAAATTTGCCTATGAGCAAAATGGGTGAAAAAAGAAAGCAAGTAGCAAATGCAAGCGCACATTTTGTTCTATTGAAATGACATTGAGGCGGAAATTTGCAAAAATAAACAATAATAAAAATATTGTTAACATGCGGTTCTCTGCGAAAGTCTGCATAATCAAACTGGGAACCGGTTCTTATCGCCTTATCGGTTAAGATATTTTTGGAATTCCAAGACGTAAGTGAGACTACAAAGGAACAACTGCAAGTCAATCTTGTCGTTTGTTACAGGTGTGAAAATATCAAGCGAATGGAAATTATCAGCGGCCAAGGTCGCAGGCAAATTTTTGTGGATTTTAACCCCCTGTTGGTTTAATTTGGAAAGCCAAGAATTTTGCAATTGATTTTTCGTTTGCGAAAATCAATTATCGTGCTTGGTTGGGCGTTTTCCTTCCTTTTTGGGAAAATCAAAAATAATTAAATGTTCGTTTTCTTTATACCAAATCAGTTTTGGCTACTTAATTCATATATGTTAAATAAACAAGCTAAACAACAAGAAGATAAAAAACTAAAATATGCTAATATATACACGCCTTTAATTTTAAATTAATTCATCAACCTGTTAAATGTTAAAAGATTTTGTATACCACTTATTAAAAAATCTGATTAAAAAATATTGCTCTGCATACAATTTAATTTAATTTTCATTTTATATTGTTTGGATAACCATAATATTTTTATTTTTCTAATCAACCAACACGTTTTTAACCAAAAATGGACAAGGTAGTTCCACTATGGATATGAAGCATGTCAGTTTTTCTGAGGAACATAGATAAGAAGATTTTCCTACGAGCAAATTAATGATTCTTTGTGATTTCTAGACTTGTAACAGACCAGTGACAGGAGTATTCCGGGGGTTAAAATCGCGATAAGGTGGCCTATGGGCCTTATTTGTTAGTGAGATCATGCGGCTGGTATTTAGAGCATTCGTATTGGGGGCGGACGGGACAGGGCGTGGCTTTCGATCTGTTAAAGACCAGGGAATGGAATGCCAACTACCTTGAGAGTCGTCTTCTTTAGCGCCGATTTGCCCGCCCACCTGGGCGAACCAATGCAAGGTTGCGCCGGCGCTGCAGTTTGAAATCTTTTCAGGTGCGAGTGCGTGGGCTGGAGTTTGATATTCAAGTCATTTCATATAGAGTGCTTATATATACCAGATATTGTCCGATTTTATGTAACCCCCGAGATATAATAGATAATCCCAATAGATAGGCTTACCTTTTCGCTCGGCGCTGCCCTCGCGACTTTCGGGTCGCTTGGATGTGTTTTCCACTGCAAAGAAGTACGAAAAATGGGGGCAGGTGAGTGCGGTTCGGGATTTTCCGGAGTTTTACACGGACTTGACTTGTGGGGAAAATCAATTTGGCAAAGGAAAACGGCAAAAGGCGAAGAAGCGAAGGAGGGGGAACACAAAAACACACACAAACACAGCAGCAGCTGCGATGACGAAGCGAGAGGCATAGAGAAATAGGGGAAAATGTATGTTTCCTTCTCTCTTTTTTCGTCAGACTGGAACTTATTTATAAACTCAAAACTCCGGATCGGGGGAGCCCGAAACATCCACCCATTTGAGGGGGCAGACTTTTCTTTTTCTCTCGCTTTTTTTTCTTTCTTTTTTCACTCCGTTTGCTTTTTTTGGCCGTGGTGTGAGTGCCGTTTTGCTGCGCAGTCGACCAGCACTTCTTGGCCATGTAAAATGCCCCGAAAACGCGTATATCCTGGCTGATTTTCGATCGCCGACAAAGCGCCGGGCTTTATCCTTTGATTTCGCACTCGCAGGGGGCTGTATTCAATGCGTACCTTCTGGATTATTCGAAATATTTTCGTGTTGACCCCCAAGACTCGCCATATTCACTTTACTTAGCGCTGCAAACAGTGCGACCAAGTCGGGTGTGTAACAATATACCACGCTATGCAGCTCATGGAAAAATACTTTATGTACCGTTTGATTTTTGAAAATACTAAAAATGTACCATTCATTTAAAAGGCTTTAAATTTGTTTTAATGTGTATGAAAGAAATTATACTATTTATTAAATTTATTTGTTTTTAAAAATTAACTAATAAATTGAACGGTGCTACTCGGGGTACTAAATAATTAATTTCGTTTTTTTTTAATGGGCGGTACATTTTTAGAACTCAACCAGAGTTGTCAATAGTCTGTTACCTTTAAATTAAAAAATGAGTTATAGTTTAATGCTTTTGCCATTTCAAAATAACATTAAATTCTTAAGATTTATTTTTCTTCATTAAACACCTCAGCCAAAATTCTTTCCAGAAATTTATTCAGTAACGACGATATACTAAGGACCCTATACAAGTTTTAAATACAAGTTAATGCTTCTCAGCAGCTATGCAGAGTTTGGCCAGAAGGGCGGTGAGCTGCAGCAAGGAATTGATTCCATCGACGATCTTCATGTGGGTGATGCCAATTTCCCGGATAAAGTCCAGCTTCAGATGCTCGTCGATGTTGACGCGCTTGCAGACGCGGAATATGTTCCCAATGATGTCCTCCGGCGAGTATCCTAGCTTCCACAATTTGGCCAGAATCTTGTAGGCCTTGTGGATATCGTTGGCCGCACAGTGGTGGATCATCTCCTCCAGAAGCTTGGGATGTGGCTCATCACAGACCTTGAACACGTTCTCCGCATTGATATCGCCGAATCCCTGGGCGGTGGACTGCAGATTGTTCAGACCCTGTCGCATGTCTCCTTGGGCAGTAAAGACAATAGCCTCAAGTCCATCCTCCGTATAGTTGAGCTTCTCCCACTTGGCCACCTCGATGAGCTTGGCCAGGACCTGGGCATCGGATAGTTTGGTGAATCTCAACATGGCGCAGCGGGATTGGATGGGTTCGATGATCTTCTCACTGGTGTTGCAGGCCAGGGCGAATCGTGTGGTGTTGCTGTAGATCTCCATCGTGCGGCGGAGGGCCTGTTGGGCACCCTCCGTCATGCTGTCCGCCTCATCTAGGATCACGATCTTATGCCTGCCGCGTGGTAATGTCACCTTTTGCTGGGCAAACATCTTGATCTTGTTGCGCACCACATCGATTCCTCGCTCATTAGAGGCATTTAGCTCGAGAACAGCCTCTTTATAGCTCTCTCCCAGGAGAATCCTCGCCAGGCACTGGATGGTGGTGGTCTTGCCCACGCCAGGAGGACCCTATATACCAGAATGATTACTCCATATTTAATTAAAATACTTAATAACTCACCGCAATGATGATATTAGGTGCATTGCCCTGGGTGGCAAAAACAGATAATCGAGCCACCGTATCCTCGTTGCCCACAATCTCCTTGAACTTCACTGGACGATACTTCTCGATCCAGGGCAAGTGACTACGCTTATCGTCTACCGCAATCTCGGTTTCTTCCGGCATTTTTAATCAGATTTGCAAATTTGCAGAGACAAACAAATTTAAGCAATGGCGTGGGGCTATAGTGTGACCGTACCATGGGCGCCAAAATACGAGTGCTTGGTATTTTTAATAGTATAATTTCAAACTTTTCATCGATTTTCGTTATTAAGTATTTGTAACGTTTATTGGACAATTTTTAAATCAGGTTTTTGATTCATTAGATATTTTTCAAAAGTTGTACTTCCAATGGAGAATATGATTTACAGATTAATTTAGAATTTAGAAACAATTTGATTTTTTTTGATAAGCTTTATTGGGTATTGAAGAAATTACAATACATTGAGATGCCTCGGGTGCGAAAAATTTGAACTTGCATTTAAATATAGTTCGAATTATACCAAATACATACTGATTTTGAAACACTTTCAAAATATCAAACGTTTTTGTAAAGTATATGGTTTATAGACAATTTGGTTTAATTTTTTATATTTAATGTTAACATTTAAATATTTGTTGATGTCATTTTGCCGAATATGCATATATATTTTCATTCAGGCTCATCCATAATTTGTTTTTCAATTTGACTATGTTCGGATTTTGTAGTAATCCGAGATGAATATTTTATGGTGCTGTGAAATCCGTGTCCAGTTTTATTTTCTAATTATCATGCTACAGTATAAGAGCCAGTATAGGGGCTTAATTGAAATAATACTACTCGTATTATTGAAGTTAATATTTATTTATATTCGGCTAAGAATAAAATACTATATAATTTGTAATATATTATGTAATGCGTATATAATTTATGTATTATATTTTTATATTTATATTGCAATATGTAATTAGTATAATAATTTCTTAAGGAATCATTTTGAACCTTCGGTAAGGAATAACAAACTATTTTTAAACACGATAAATGTGACAAAATCGTTAACAAGAATATGATCCAATAAGTATTTAGTCCTCCTTCGAGAGACTGCCCAAGTCGCTGAGAAAGATTTCGGGCGACAGGACGTGTGAAGATCCGACAAGGACCTCCCAGTTGCGCACCGCATTGGTTACCTCATAGGCACATCGCATCTCGGACATACTGACGCCGCCCACGATGAAGACAATGAGCCTGGGTACGTTCTTCACCTGCGCCTGTCCCTTGTCCTTGTGCCAGTGACCATATCGGGCACTGGTCGGGGCATGATAATTGGTATTCTGGGCCCTGCCCTCGAGGAATGGGAAGTGACGGGAATCCAGCTTATCCTCTATGCAATCCTCCATGATATCTTTGATCACCGGGGTCCAGCGAGACATCTGATAGGTGCTTTCGGTGGTGCGCTCCTTGCGCGGCACCGAGTACACCTTCTTGCGTGAATCTGCAATGACATTGATGCCCAAACAACTAAGATTACGAACCATATCCTGATCCTTGGGCGACAGCTGGGCATGTGTGAAGAGCTTTGTTAGGTTCTCCTCTGAAATTCCGTTCTTGATCATCACATAGAGCGCAATAATGCGGACTTTATCGTAGTTCGAGACATTGGCATCCAGCAAAATAGGCACAATATTGCGCATATGGTCCTTGATCTTCTCGCCCTCGGCATCAGTGCCCATGGCCAGATCCTGCTCCACGCGGCACAGCTTGTCCACATAGTTCTGATAGGACTTCATGCAGTCCTCGGCCAAATGCAAGTGGGTGGAGTACTTGGACAGCTCCTTTTGATACTGCGGCATCTTCTTGATCATCTGCGACAGATCGCGCATCGATGACTTGTCGGCCGAACCCATGCGCTTCGAGTCGGTGAACTTCTTCAGGTTCTGAGTCACCTGGGTGGAGACGACAGCAATGTGCTCGTGACGCAGCTCCACCCACAAGTCGTCGTTTTCGTCGAGTAACACCTCCTTATCCGGCTGGTTGGGTCCGGGTGTATAACGATAGACGTCATTAACGATGGGTAGCAAATCGTAGGCCATGGCCTGAAGTGTGAGCTCGTGAAGAAGTGGCGACACACAGTCGAAGCCACGATCCAGGATCAGCAGCTGGGAGCGGGCCTTCTCCGGACCCTCGCCCATGGTGGCATCGTCGGCCTTGTAGGCATCCAGCTTCTGCTGCACCGATGCAGCCAGGTCAATATTCCTGTCCCAATCACTGCGGTAACGCACATTGGGGTATTCCCCCAGAGTGGCACACAAAGTGGCTATTTGCTCGGCAATCCGCTCGATGTGCTTGCTCCTAATGGAGGCAAATGCCGGGGAATACAGGCACTGGAAGGTGTCCGGCGAGTCCAGCGAAAATACCTGACACTCGTAGGGCAAAAACGCGATATTAATCTCCTTCAAGGTCTTGATCTTCCCGGCAGCACAGGATTTGCACAAATCGTTGAACAGCTCCTCGGGACAGACCTCCGTGAAGAAAACATGGGCATAGCGATACATGGGCCTGGCGGGATTCTCGAAATCACGAATCAACCCACGCACTGACTCATCGGACGGGGTGATCAAATAAATCGCGTCCATTGTGGGCAGTGGCTCCCGCTTCTTGTTGATGTCCTCCACCAGAGTGATTCCCTCGGCGCTGATCTCGTGCATTTTGGTGCACGCCGAGACCATGCGCATACCCAGCTTGTCCACCACCAGAACCCTCCATTCCATACCACCCGCCCCCGCCGCCGCCGACGTAACGCCCTGTTTCTTGGGGGCTGGAGGCTTATACTTCACCACCTCGTTCATCAGCTTCTGGCCCACCAGCACTTTCAAGGCCATTTTCACTGCGTTTTATTGGTCACGGGCGCAAAGGCAACTCGATAATGAACACACAAAGAGTTAATATATGTTTTCTGGACTTGTCTTTTTGTTTTTTCGTGTCTTTTCTTGGCCTAAAGAATTTTATCTATTCCTTGGCCAATTTTCTGTATTTTTTTTCGTTTGATGACTATACCACAGTGTGACCAGATGGTGCAGAGTCAATGATAACATTTACCAATAACTTAGTATTTTTACGCTGCTGTTAAGTTAACAGAAGCCTTTCAAACTTTAATAAATTATAAGATTTTGTGTATCATCCTTCTATTTTAGCTTGATTGCATTGACACTTTTTTAATAAAATAAATGAGGAAAAAACATTTTATTAACTTAAAAACCAAAGAAATTCAGTTACACGAAGTCTTCTTTAAAAGCTTGTTCTTCTAGCAAAAAATCCACATAAATCACATACAAATATTTATTTTAAAAAAATTCTTTACTTTAATATAGCGGCGACAATCGACAACTTTACTTATGTTAAATAATTAGAAGTCATATTTGAAAATATTTATTTATTTGTATAAAATGATGGGAGCTTAACTGCAACGACTTTAAAAACACAATGCCGAAAGTTTTAAAAAATTTGAATTAAATATATGTAGTGTTTGGGATCACGACAATTAATCTATTTACTCACATATTTATTGGATGTAATTCAAAATTATGCAAAAGTAATTTAAATGTTTGGTGCAATCTAAACTTATGCAAATGTATGTTAAATAAATATTTGACTTTTAGAAACGAAAGATAATTTTTTTTAAGTTGACTCCCAGGTTCGCGTCCGCGCTGATGCGTCTTTGTGGTATATTTTCAGTAACCCATCATCGGTCACACTGCATAAGTCGCTGAGGAAAATAAAAGAATTTTTAGCTGGCCAACTGGTCGAAATTAACGCGGAAATGCAGATGCAAACGTACAAACTGGTGGTCGTCGGAGGAGGCGGCGTGGGAAAGTCGGCGATAACGATACAGTTCATCCAGGTGAGGCCCCTGGAGCAGCCCATGCCCTGGTGACGTCGCCTTCAACAGGGGCGGATCAACTACGGGAGCGGGGTGGAGGCGGGGCAGCCCTTGTTTTGGCCAGAGCAACAAACAAGCAACAAGCGACCGACTTGTGCGTCTGTGTTTGGACATGCGTGTGCATAGTTTCGGGCAGAGATCATCATTATCATCGTCGTAGGCCACACCCCCGTGTGTATCTCCATTTGAGGAGATCCAGTGGTCAAGAAACCTGGGGAGTTGTAGCTAGCCCCCAGTTTTCTGGGTGTGCCGATCGATTCCGAGAGTGTGTGCCATGGTCACGACCACAATGCCCGCCCGATTCCATTTATTTTTAGTCATTTGCGTCATCTGCACATCTTTCGTGTATATGCTGTAGCCTTTCCCGAAGATATATAGAGCATAGTGGATGATAAAAGTGACGTGTGTAAACAAATCAAAGGCGGAGTGATAAACGCGCCTCTCTTGAGCTACTTGTACATATCAACCAAATTCCGTATATAGTTTCTAATACTCTGTGTCCCCAACATTTCTTACATAAAAATAAAAATACTTTATCTTACAGAGCTACTTCGTCACGGATTATGATCCCACCATTGAAGACTCATACACGAAGATGTGCGTCATCGACGATGTGCCAGCCAAATTGGACAGTGAGTTTCCTTATATTACCCGTCCCCAGATCGACCTTAATGTTTATTAAATCCTAGTTTTGGACACGGCTGGCCAGGAGGAGTTCAGTGCCATGCGAGAGCAGTACATGCGCTCCGGCGAAGGCTTCCTGCTCGTCTTTGCGCTCAACGATCATTCCAGCTTCGATGAGATCCCCAAGTTCCAGCGCCAGATCCTGCGAGTCAAGGATCGCGACGAGTTCCCCATGCTGATGGTGGGCAACAAGTGCGACCTGAAGCAGCAGCAGCAGGTGTCCTTGGAGGAGGCGCAGAACACGAGCCGCACCCTGATGATGCCCTACATCGAGTGCAGTGCCAAACTGCGCATCAACGTCGATCAGGCCTTCCACGAGCTGGTGAGGATCGTGCGCAAATTCCAGATTGCCGAGCGTCCGTTCATCGAGCAGTCCTACAAGAAGAAGGGCAAGAGGAAGTGCTGCCTGATGTAAAACGGGTCACGTCACAGACAATCTCCTGAATGCCGCAGCGGATGCAGGAGTCAACATTTAACGAGTATAACACCAAATTTTTTGAAAAACACGCGTCGACTGAGCTTTGAATTCCGTTGAGAAGACGATAAACCAGTAACCCGAAACCAGTAACCGCGCAAACGTGTAAACGAGCCCAAACGAAGTGCATTTCTTACCTGCCCAGGTGCATGCCGCATTCAACGAACGAATCGAATAAGCTTCGCCACTTTCAAATAGCTACGAAGAAACTTACAACTGAAAACTCAAAACTAAAAACATTAAACTAAAAACGCCACATGCAAACAGAACACGAAACATAGTTAGATATATACAACAGATTCACACGGATAACATATATATATATATTTCTACATATATTTTTGTAATATTATTTGTTGATAAACGACAACAATTAAGGACGAATGTTTTCTATGATTATTACCAATCATGGCTCGCAGGCCATTTGTTTTTATAATGCAATAACTAAACCCAGAACGTTTGTTTCGATTAAGCCAAAACGTAATAATGTGTTATTGTAATTTGTATTGTTATTTACTACTAATATATACGTATACATATATAAACTGCTTACAATCCGATTTTGTTGTAACAAATAGAGTGCCTCGTTCTCGCGCGTAGAAAGCTAAAACATCAATCTCTGTATTTCACCCACTACATTTTTGTACTATATCGGCAGATGCCAGGCGCACAACTCACTTAACGATATTTTTGTACATGTCCCCAGCCGAATTCTATGGTTTATTGTTCGCCAAATGTATTGCAACAGTTGCTTAAACCGCAATCTCGTTTAACTCTTATACACTGCTTAATTTAACGAAATTATTTAATGGTATATAAATAAATATATAATTATATTTAATATTAAACATATGCGCAATTCTAATAAACACATGGAGAATCACAAACGCTTCCACATAGACGAATGTTTTAATGACGGTGACGATTGTTGGAATTGAAGAAGCAGACGAAAAGGACTAATTATACAAGGAATCCCTAGAAGTGTTGTTTTAATTAACTGCCAGATGGTTCTTCTTGGAGCTGATGGGGTATAAAAACATGCAGAACAGACATTGAGCATCATACAACTCACAATGAATCCCAAGTGCGAAGTCCTCATTGCCGCCGTGCTTTTCCTGCTGCTGGCTTGTGTTCAGGGTCAAGTAAGTTGAGCTATATAAGTTATATAAAACAAATTTTTAATATCTGTATCATATCTCTCCATCGACAGCTGACTTTCTCGCCTGACTGGGGAAAGCGATCGGTTGGAGGAGCAGGTCCTGGATCCTTTTTCGAATCCCAGCAAGGCAACTGCAAGACCTCCAACGAGATGCTCCTCGAGATCTTTCGGTTCGTCCAATCGCAGGCCCAGCTCTTCCTCGACTGCAAGCACCGGGAGTAGAAGTAGGCTATATCCTATCCAGATCCCGATTCGGATCTCGGACGATGTCTAGCACGCACACACATACACTATCTATATATACCCATATATATATATACACCACGTTATCAAGGTAGTCGTAGTCGGCATTTAGATTTAATGGAACTTTTCTTTCCCAACAATAAATAAGCGCATCCAAAATGTATTCCGATGTATTCATATCCAAGGGGAATTTTGGATAGATCCCTGACCTCAGTGGGTGCTTCACCCATCCTTAACCTTTTCAAGTTCATCCCTCAAAAAAACAGCGGTGGTGGCTGTCAATTAAATTTAATGTGATTTTGAAAATTGCCACAATTAAATCATTTGATTGCACCCACTCCATTGGCGCTTAAGTTGCGGTGTGTCAGTGGCCCATGGGTTCAGTTCGTCGGCGAAGTTCATAGGATCAGAATGTGCGCGATCTCTGGCTCCCCAACAGTTCATACATTTCTAATAATTATTTTGGGCCTCTCCATTTTCTCGTCCGTCAAGTGTAAGTTGTGTGAATTCTTTGCCTAATCTCCCCCAGTCAATTCGGTTTAAAAATACAGCCAGATCGTGCCAATAGATCTGTTTGGGTTATGTGATCGTGTCATTCCATTTAATGTGTCAACATAAACAATTCCCCACATAGCACATCATCTGTCGGCCTTTATGGTCGCCATCTAACACCCAGCAAATGATTCGAACAGACCTCCCCAAATGATTTTAATCGGATTTCAAGCGCCACTGGCCCAGTTATTTTAATTCCCCCAGAATTAACGATGCATTTCGGTGTAAATTCGTTGGAGAACTGCAATTAGGGGATTGAATAATGCACAGAATTAAGTTTTTAAAAATGTGCATTTCCCGGTGGTTATTAAATTCTACGACTACAACAAAGTGAGGTCTTTATAATATGAGTAATGGGTCATAATATATGCTACATTTGTTTTTTCCTGATGATTTAAAATTTTTGCATTTGCCGATAAGGTTCTTTAGTCATCATTCCAAATATTTTGATATGGAACCGATTTGGTGTTTCATTATTTTTGTATAAACAATTAATCTTTAAATAATATGTATTTGAATGTAAAGGTAAAATTTGGTTAGACTTACGAAAAAAAACAATTGGATCTTTGATTATTAAATATAGCAGAAATTTATTTTTGGCATAATTTATAATAGGGGTTAAAAGGTCTTAAAAATTGGCAACTTAGTTAGAAATATACATTGTTTTAAAGGGTTATATTTCGACCCCCCATATGCCTTCGATCCGCTCCTGAGCTCGGGCATTTCAGACGACTCTTTGGATAATTGTGCTCCACTAAAATACAATTGAATTATAATCATTATGGGCCGCCGTGCTCCACTTGGCTAAGCTGCAATTGTCCGAAAAACCAGAGTTCTGTGGACAGTTGCCACCTGGTGGCCGAGCAGACATCACGGATAAACGGATACGGTTACGGCTACGGACTGGACATGGTGCTCCTGGACGAGTTCTGTGTGAAGGTGTACTTCTGGCCATTCCTTTCCTATCTGGCCAGCATCAAGGGCTGGTGCCCGCTGTACCCGCCAGGTTACTATCCCATCTACGCACTGCCGCCGCCGCAGGGACCACCATTTCCGCCGCCGCCGCAGCCGCTCCAGCCGATTGGTCCACTAATTCCGCCTCAACCCGCTCTTCCGTCCACACCTGCAGTGATCCCGACGTTCCAGCCCACGCCGCCCAATCCCCAGCCGCCGGTGACCCCACCTCTGACCACGACTACTAGCAGTACCACCACTACCACCACCGTTTCCACGACCTCCACCACGGGAGTGACCACCACCAGTACAGCTGGGACCACTCTGCCCGTTCCGGTGCCCACGTGTCCATCGCAGCCGTTGGTTTGCCTGCCCGGCGGAGCGCGCCCCTTGCCCAATTGCCCCTGCATCGATCCTCGCCAGCAGCAGAATGCTCCGGTGCTCTCCTCCACGGGACCTCAGATCGGTTCGGATATGATGGTCTTCATGCCGCTGAATCCCGGACGTAGGCGGCGTCGTCGCCGGAGACGTCGGATACTCTACTAAGATCACCCCTTAACCACCAACAAATAGCAATATCACCTATCCCCACGCACAGAAAACGATTGCATTTAACCGCAAAATTAGTCAAAAAATAAAAACGATCACAAAATCCAAAGCAGAACGAATTGGCAAACTAAATTGGCATTAGAGACATACACAAATCCCTTTACTCCCCTGTCACCAAATTCTCTTACAGCCCAGTCCTGCCAAGATGCCCGATCCCGGCCTGGAAACTGCCTGCCCCTGACCTCCTGTCCCCAGCTCATGGAGGAGTATCAAAACCAGGGACAGGGCAGTGAGTTCCACACTTTTCTGGGCCAGTCCATATGTGGCTTCGATGGCTCCACTTTCATGGTAATCTCCCAGACTTATTTTGGTTTTTACTTTCACAAGATTTATTTGAGTAGAAATAATTGTTGAGTTTTTTATTTGAACTTTTTAATTGAATTTCACATATATTTTTGTCAATTGCCAAATTATTCAAAATGATTATTTTAATCTACGCTTTAAATGGCGTTTATTTCAGAAATTTGATTATTTATCATTGTCGTTGAGTTAGCCACTTGTTTTCAATAGTTCAAAATATATCAATTCGGAAATATTTGTAATTGTTTTTGAACATTTGGCTTTTACGAAGAACTGATTATTTATAATATGTTTGTATTTAAAAAACATTTGATTACTAGTTAAACTAAATCAAATTAAGGCTTCTAAATTAAAGTGATGAAAAGGTGAAAGCCAAAACCTCTCCCATTAAATATGAGGCTTATAAAGTTAGGATTTATTTCGTTTTTAGGTGTGCTGCGCCTCGGATCGAAGTGGGAATGCCAGGAGCAGGAAGGATCTGCTGCTGAGCACCACTGCACCCTTCGGCTTTTTCCATTTCTCGCCACTAAGTGGTGGCCCCACTGCCACTCCGATGGTGTTCCAGCCCACTCCGCCTCTAAATCAGGTAGTGAGCCCCAGCTTCAACCCACCTCCTCCTCCACCAGCACAGAATACTCCCCGATTGGCTACTGGATGTGGCATAAGTGGTGCCACTTCCAATCGAGTGGTGGGAGGAATGGAAGCTCGCAAAGGTAATTAATAGTTAATTACTCAATGAGGAACTTGGTACTTAGATAATATTTAAACATTTACCAATTTCTACTTACTTTTTTCCCTTTCTCAAAATTTTTCTATCATAAATCTCCTCCAGGAGCCTATCCCTGGATAGCTGCATTGGGCTACTTCGAGGAGTCCAATAGGAATGCACTGAAGTTCCTTTGCGGTGGCAGCTTGATCCATTCACATTATGTCGTCACCTCGGCGCACTGCATCAATCCCATGCTCACTTTGGTTAGATTAGGAGCTCATGACCTCTCCAAACCCACTGAACCAGGAGCAATTGACTTCCGAATCCGCAGAACTGTGGTGCACGAGCATTTCGATCTGAACTCCATATCGAATGACATAGCATTGATAGAGCTCAACGGAGTGGGAACACCTCTGCCAGGTAAAAAAGTCTTAAGAAAAAAGTTATAAAAGAAAATCAAAAAATTATATATATTAAAGTAAGATATTGTTTGTTGACTAAGGATCCCTTACATATCAATATAAAACAATGAAAACAAAACATTTACATTGTTTTAATATTAAGGAATTCGAGTTAGAGTAATTTAATATTTTTAAATTAATTAAGCTATGTTTTTCAGACAAAATTATAGTATAGTAGTGCTTGTTTTAAATAAATATATCATCTTCCCAGGTAACATATCGCCCATTTGCCTGCCTGAGGCCGCCAAGTTCCTGCAGCAGGACTTCGTGGGCATGAATCCCTTCGTGGCCGGCTGGGGGGCAGTGAAGCACCAGGGACCCACTTCGCAGGTGCTGCGGGATGCCCAGGTGCCGATCGTGTCCCGGCAGAGCTGCGAGCAGAGCTACAAGTCCGTCTTCCAGTTCGTCCAGTTCAGCGACAAGGTGAGAATCAAGAAGGGGAATCCCCGAGAGGAAATGGCAGGCCTAATAAATCCTTTGCAGGTGTTGTGTGCGGGCAGTTCGAGCGTGGATGCCTGTCAAGGGGATTCCGGTGGACCACTCATGATGCCCCAGGTCAGTTACAATCTCTTCACCTGTGAGTCATCCAACCTGTTTTGGCCAAGTCTTGAGCGCGGTCTCCAAGGTGGTTTGGTGAATACCGCCCGCTAATTGTCCATGCTCGTCGTGACGCAAATGTGATTTCGTTGGTTTACGAAAATGTCGATGACTTGCAGATAAGAATTTGGAATTTATGGCTTATTTTTGTAACCCTTCTTTTCTTAATTCCCCAGCTGGAGGTCAATGTCTATAGGTTCTACTTACTCGGCCTGGTTTCCTTTGGCTATGAGTGTGCTCGTCCCAATTTCCCCGGGGTCTACACGCGAGTCGCCTCCTACGTTCCTTGGATAAAAAAGCACCTTTCATTGGCTTAGAACATGACACATTCCAATTTGAATATATAACCTTAATGTGTCATACAATTTAAGAGCACTTTACAAACACCGGCAATATAATCCTAAATCCCAAATACACATACCCACCGGCATTTCCTCAATAAATTTCATGTTTTATGTTATTGTTTGATTTAAGCTTAATGAATATTACTTAAATTGTGTATATCATTTACACCCAATCGATTTTATTTCCCCTGTTGGGACTTTGTTGTCAGGCTTGTTTTCAATACGAAAATAAATCAAACGATTTAAATATTTCACTGTTACATCAATCATCTTATCTTATCTTATGCAACATATTTGAAACTGCTGAATGTAAGTACCCATTTTTAATTGGTACCATTAATATTGCCATTTAAAAATAACTAACGATGTTATGTTAACTCAATCTCTGTTTGAATATTTATATAAGCACTTTGGGATAATTTGTTATGCTTGTGTGTTTATTTTGCATATTCGACATTATTTATTGTGTTCTTCAAGCTATTTTATAATCATGTTGGATCAATTACAAAACTTGTTTGTTTAAATTCGATTATATGTCATCAGAATTTAATTATTGTAGAAGGTGGGATATAACCACAAGGTTCGCCCATTATTTTAATATTTCTTAAAGTCAATGTAATTAGAAAACGGGTTTTTATTCAACTTTATACCTATAAGCCGCCCAATTGCGTGGTTATATCACTAAACTTATAGCATTATTTGTTCATTTCATAGTCAAGTTTATTGAACATTTCCTACGAAGTATTCTTCGCGATATAATATAAAACATTGATGAAACTGTAGAGCCGGAACCTAAAAGAGCAATTCTTCGGCTTCAGGGTCTGGAATTTCCCGCACTTCACTTCGGCCCCCTGCTGCTTCTACCTGAATTGCATGGCCAAGTGATCCGGATTAGTCATTATAGTAGAACGATCGCTATTGTTATGCCTTAGCAGTTGCATCGATCGCATGCCAATTGGCTTTCGGCAGTGGCTCCCCGGAATTCTAATCAGGTTGAGTGCCCCCAGTTCTTTGATAAATATATAGCAAGTCGGAGGAGGCTTTAGTGGGGTATATTAAGTGTGATTTAACTGTGATCGCACACCAGATGCATAATGCACACAGACTGTGGCGTCACATCTCGGACTCTTCCTCTCTGTTTGAATTAAAATAATAATATTTCTATAGTGATCTTTAGACAGTCTAAATTGGCTAAAATATATTACAAAAATGTTGGTTAATTTAAATATCTGCAGACTCTTAATTTTATACAATTTCCTTTGTAATTTTATTTAAAAATAATAAAGTCACTAACTTACAATAACTTTTGCCTATATGTTATATTAAATTAGGGTAGTTGGGCTACCCGTACAACATTTTGGAATTCAAATTGTGAATGAAACTACTTTGTTGTCGCCTTAAAACTTTATAGATCGTCTTCTTTTGAATATTTATACCCTTCTGATTATTGATTTCTCTGTGAATTAGATTTTAAGCAATATAAATGTGACTGATTCGCACTGTAATTTCAATAATTACGTATGCTTTATGGGAGGCTGCTATCTGTATAATCAGCGAAAGCTTTTTACGGTACTGGCATACGAATACATTCTAAAAGTATGAGAATATTTCTGAATGCTAATCATGATGCTAAAATAGAATTTACGCTAGAATGTCGCCGGCGTCTTTGGTCAGTTGGCTGAGCGATTTCCAATTGACATGTCAACGGGATCCGTTTTAATTTACCTTGATTAATGGCATTTATCATTCTTGCTTAGACGATCGTCTAATTGAGTCACAGAATTCTCGGGACTTGATCAATGACAAATTGAGAGCAGCACAAGGTCAGCAATTTGACTCAGGCCTTAATTGAAAATTCCCAATTTCGTACAAATGCTAGACTGTGTCCTATATCATTACCGCACCCACTGATCCATATTATTAGGCTGCTATAAAACAATAAATATTCGTTTCCATTTTGGGACTGGCTGGGTTGGAAAAATCATTTCCTAATCTGAATGTGTGAATTCGGTGCCTTTTCCACCTTGATTAGTGTGCTTGGAAAGCAATCAGCGATGTGAACCCCATGCGAAGTGCTCTCCATTGCAGCCACTTTCCCGTCGAGCGAGCTTACGAGAGAGCTATAGATCGGCAGATCCGATGTGGGGACTGCATATAAAGCTCGGCTCTGGGGTTCCGATCGCTCAGCCGAATCGAAGACGCGATCGCTTTGGTCACGCAGGCCACCAGAAAAGACACACACGGCAATCTCCGAAGAAGCTTCCGCGGCTCCGGTTCTCGGTTTCTCCAAAAATTTCAGTTTGATAACGCCTGCCGGACGGTGAACATCGCCTCGTTCCCGATATCACGGATATATATACGAATATATAAAATATCTTGATCTCGCCATGAAGTCGGTGTGCTGTGTTAGTGCTGTGATTACACTCCTGCCCCTCGTACTCCTCTCCAAACCCACCGATGCCCAGTTCAATCAGCGCCGGCAAGGTAGTCAGAGCCACTTAATTAGTCGAGAGCTTTCCGCTTCGCCATATCTATAACTATCTAATATCTGTGTAGAACTTTTACGACTGATCTAAGCAAACAACAAACCAGTTCCATTAACAACGCATCTCGGAATTTAATCAAATCCATAAACACATCAGCACGCATTTAAATGAGTTTAACCCAGATGATCGAAGTGTCGACTCGCGTAGACCTCTAACATCTTCAAGTTCAATGGCAAGTTCGTTGCTCAAGTCTTTCGATTTGACAGCTGGCCAAAGGCGGCAATTTGTATTAACTGCAAAATAAATAATAATCCCATTGTGTGAACAGCCGAATTTTGGCCAGTTGTGTTCGAGTTCAATTCCAGTTCAGCAAAACCAGTCACCAAGGTCGGATTTTGTTTCGGACACCGACTCGGTCAGGTGTTTACTACCCGTGGGGCGTTCCCTTCGGGGATGTATTGGTTTTGGTGCCCGGTACTGGTGAAAATTGAGATATAGACACCTATAACTGGCTTGACCGGCATCCGTCGTTACGCCGATGTGAGATTTCAAAGATCATTAGAATGTCTTAAACAAGTAGTCGTTGAGATAAGGTTTATTTTACAGCTTATTTCGTTGTCATTACAAAGTAAAAAGGCGTTATACGTTTTTTATAGATCTTCAGTCAGCTTAAATCTTTATCAATTGTTGTATAGATCTTTTGCTTTCAAAAATTACATTGTCGTTTGCAAAGACTTGTTTCTGAGATTTTTTCTTAACCTAATCATGAATCACATTAGAACGAATTTTTTGTTTTTTAAGTTCAGTGATTAATTTTGGCATTCATGTCAGAACAGGCAAAGCAAACAAAAAATATAACTAGCAGATTGCTTTGAATATAAACAAACCATTTATAAGGCAGAGAAAATTAATTGTTATGTTTTTTTGTGAATGTTAAGTATAATAACAGAGCTTTTTGTTCAGGTTTTTGTGTTCTTGCTAATTAGACGTGTGAAGAAACATAACTAAATTCCCATTACCATAAATGACTCATATTGAAGTGAAGGCTTGACTACTTGACAAACCGCTTAACACCTAGAAAAAGAATTTAAATATTTTTAGTGAAATCAACATAAGCTAAACCCTATTTATAGATCTTGTTAACTTGCAAAGATGTTAAGTAGTTACTTTCTCTTATTTAAGTTTCTCACAAAAAAGAATATTTAAAACACATTTAAATTGGTTATTAGAGCATTGATATATATATATATATATCATAATTTCATTTTAACACAAACTAATAATAAATTTAAAATATATATTATCAGTAAAGTTATCCCAAGATAATTTTCATATTAATAGTTTCGGGGAAATCATAACTAATTAAAAACTAAAGCTTCTCACAATCGAATAAAGTAGATAATGTAAAAGAAAAGCTCACCAATGACGACCCAATTTTTTTCTCCGTCCAGTTCGCCAGAACTGCATCACCCCCGAGAACTACTACGGGAGTTGCGTGACCCTGACCTACTGCCCCCAGGTGGTGAACATCTTCCAGACCACCAACAGTGATCGGGCCCAGCGCTATTTGATCGCCCTGCAGCGCAGCTGTGGCACCCGCAACATCAACGGGGATCCGGTGGTAGGGAACCTTCTTCCGCCCATCACTTTCCATCCTTTCTAAGCTTTGCCCTGCTTCTCCTACGTAGATCTGCTGCACAGAACCCAGATATAACCAGGTCACAGAGCGACCCCCGAACCCCTTCTTCCCCACAGAGAACTCATTCGTGGGTCCGCAGCCACCGCCGGAAGTGCCCGATAATTTCTTCGTGAATCCCACCCCAAGGCCAACTACTACTACGACCACGACGACGACGACCACTCCAGCTCCCATCCGGATCACCTCATCCGCACCTTTGGTGGACCTACGGGGACCCTCGTGCCGAGGACCAGACACCAAACCCGGAAACTGTGTTGGTGAGTAAACTTTGCGGAACGCTTAATTTAAATTTAGAAGTACAGATTTTTTATTCAATATATGCATACACGTTTTTGCTATCAACTTTGTGATTTTATTTTTAATATCCTTTGCTTGCGTTCAAATTACACTTTGTTTGAGAAAAGAAAACAAAACAAAAAGCAATTACCCTTGAAAACCCGTACACTTATTTTCAACCTGTTTTAAATCAGAAAGTATTAATATTGTATATGTAAATTAAAGAAATTCATATGGATAATCAAATAAAGAGCTTTAGTTGTAGGCTGATATTAATAATGAAGATGAAAAAAATTAAATATTTTTCCTAGGTCAAAGGGAACTAACATTTTTACCCCTGAGGCTTAAACAGAGAATAAAAGTAAGAATAAAATAAAAGTAGATTCATGTGTGTGTTTCCAAGCTATGTTCTTTGGAAATTAGTAATTATTATTAGTAATATTAGCAAATCGAAACTAATTATATACCCCATTTAGAACTCAAGGAATGTGCTGCGCTGTTGAATGAGTTGCGGGTGAAGCAGCGGGACGAGACCTTTGCCAATTTCCTGCGTGCCTCCAGGGTGGTTTGTGGCAGCCAGGGCACCCAGGTGTGCTGCCCCAACGGACAGACGGTCACCACTCCGGCTCCCGTTCTGCCCAAGAACACGGACGAAGTGCCTCGACGGCTGCTCAATGTGGAGGAGGGATGTGGCTATACGGTCGGATATTACAAGAAAATCGTGGGCGGTGAGGTGAGCCGCGCGGGGGCGTGGCCATGGATCGCGCTTCTTGCATATGATGACGCCTCCTCATCGCCGTTTAAGTGCGGAGGAACCCTGATCACCGCCAGACACGTACTCACTGCTGCCCACTGCATCAGGGATGATCTGTGAGTCCAAGTCTCCTCTTATTGATTCCGGCTTTAACAAGATCTTTTGTTTTCCAGACAATTTGTGCGATTGGGAGAACATGACCTGTCCACGGACACGGAGACTGCTCATGTGGATATTAACATAGCTAGGGTAAGTGAAAGTTAAAGATGAAAAATGTAAAATTTTATATTTAAGGATATTTATTTCAATTTTAATTGAAAGTCTGTATTAGTTTTAAAAGCGATAAAATTCGATTTTATAACTATGTACCAATATTTATCTGGTTTCAGAACAAATTCTTGTAACACACTTTTTTTTACAATATTTTCTATTGAGAACTAAGCCGAGTGCCAGGTTATAATAATCTCAAATTTTTCCCTACAGTACGTGGCCCATCCGGAGTACAATCGCAAAAACGGACGCAGTGACATGGCCATCCTGTACTTGGAGCGAAATGTGCAGTTCGTGGCGAACAAGATCGCGCCCATCTGTCTGCCGCACACTGCCAATCTGCGCCAGAAATCCTACGTGGGCTACATGCCCTTCGTCGCCGGATGGGGCAAGACGATGGAGGGCGGTGAGTCGGCCAGCAAGCTCAATGAACTTCAGATTCCCATTTACGATAACGAGGTGTGCCGCCAAAGCTATGCGAAAGAGAAGCGCTACTTCTCGGCCGATCAGTTCGACAGTGCCGTCATCTGCGCCGGAGTCCTTTCCGGCGGCAAGGATACGTGCCAGGGTGACTCCGGCGGACCACTGATGGTGCCGGAGCAGTACCAGAACAAACAGCACTTCTACCTTATCGGCGTTGTGTCCTACGGCATCGGATGTGCCCGGCCAAACGTGCCCGGCGTTTACTCCAGCACACAGTACTTCATGGACTGGATCATCCAACAGGTCCAACAGACGCCCTAAGTTGCCATCGCCCACTTGTTGCACTTAGGTCATAAGGTCCCTAGATTAAACTAAATTAATGTGTAATCAAATTAACTCTGTAATCAGAATAAAACGATTGATTTAAGATCTGATATCGATTTTAAGTTGTTAACAAAACAGGTTTACATTATTTAAAAAAAGCTTGAATCACAAATAAATTCATTTACAAAGAAAAAACGTTTATTCAAATTTGTATACTCTTGCAGAGGGTATTATAATTTCAGTCAAAAGTTTGCAACGCAGTGAAGGTAGTTGATATTTTTTTTAATTGTCTGTTGGTTTTTATTTTCAAACCGTCTGGTCTGTAAAAATCATTTCCTAATCCGAGTGTGCAAGTTCGGAGCATTTTATACCTTGATTAATGTGCTTGGAAAGCAATCAGCGATGTGAGCCCCATTCACATTGCATCAAGTTTTCTGGCGAGAGATCTTACTAGAGAGCTATAGATCGGCAGATCCGATAAGGAAACTTCATATATACCCCTGTAGGAAAGAGACACTTGGCATTCTCCGAAGAAGCTTCCGCGGCTCCGGTTTTCCGTTGCTCTAAAATTTCAGTTTTATTAAGCCTGTCGGACAGTGAACATCGCGCCGTTCCCGATATCACGGATAAATACGTATATATAATAGATCGATCTCGCCATGAAGTCGATTTGCTGTGTCACTGCTGTGATTGCACTCCTGCCCCTCGTACTCCTCTCCAAACCCACTGAGTCCCAGTCCAATCAGCGCAGGCAAGGTAGTCAGATCTATATCTGTGTAGAAATCTAAGTAAACTATTTTTAGTAATAACGCTTCGGAATTTAATCATTAACATCGATGGCCCATTAACCTCAAATGGTCAAAATTTAGATTTTCCTATGTCTCTAACATCTTTAGGTTCGATAGCAAGTTCGTTGCCTAAGTCTTTCGATTTTCCAACTGATCAAAGTGACTTTCGAAACCTTTCTTCCGTGGTCGATAATCTTTTCCTGAGACCCACGCCAAAACCGATGACCTCCCCAGCTCCCATTCCGGTTACCTCATCCGCACCATTGGTGGATCAACAGGGATCCTTATGCCGAGGACCAGACGCCAAACCCGGAAATTGCGTTGGTGAGTTTTCTTTGCGTTACGCTTAACGATTAAAAGCACATAACAAACTTGTTTTAAAATAATAAAAATATGTATTTACATACATATTTATATTTCATTTAGAACTTGAGAAATGTGCTTCACTGTTGAATGAGTTGCGGGTGAAGCAACAAAACGAAACCTTTGCCAATTTTCTTCGTGCCTCCAGAAATGTTTGTGGCAGCCAGGGCACTCAGGTGTGCTGTCCCAAAGGACAGACGGTCACCACGCCGGCTCCCGATCTGTCCAAGAAATCGGACGAAGTGCCTCGACGGCTGGTCAACGTGGAGGAGGGATGTGGCTCTGCGTTTGGAATTTTCAAGAAGTTCTTAGGCGGAGAGGCTAGACGCGCGGGGGCGTGGCCATGGATAGCACTTCTAGGATATGATGACGCCTCCTCATCCCCGTTTAAGTGCGGAGGAACCCTGATCACCGCCAGACACGTACTCACTGCTGCCCACTGCATCAGGGATGATCTGTGAGTCCAAGTCTCCGCTTAATGATTCCTGCTCTAACAAGATCTTTTGTTTTCCAGCCAATTTGTCCGTTTGGGAGAACATGACCTGTCGACGGACACGGAGACTACCCATGTGGATATTAAAATTGCAAAGGTAAGTCAAGTTGCAGAAGAAAATCGCAGAATTTCCAAAATAATGTAATATGATTTAATATAAGACTTAATCTTCTATTGAACGATTTAAAGAGTCTATATTTAATTTACCTTTAAGCAGTAATTATTGTTATTTAGTGAAAGTTTTTTTTTACATAAAAAGAAAACATTCAATTTTCATATATCTACCTGGACTATATACCAAATATTAGTGGGAAATTAAGATAACATCTCAATGACCCCAATATATGTTAGGGTCATTGAGATTCTTGCTTATGTGTTCGGTGAACTCCGCATCCAAAAAGTGTGCTCTGATTTTATTATTATTGGTTTTAATTGTTTCAAGGCTATTAGATTCATTAAAGACTAAGCTCTTTGTTTAGGAGATAAAAACCCACCTTAAAGATTTTTCCGTTACTTTATCATAATAACAACCTCCAATTTTTCCTGTCAGTACGTGGCCCATCCAGAGTACAATCGCCGGAACGGTCGCAGTGACATGGCCATCCTGTACTTGGAGCAAAATGTGGAGTTCGTGGAGAACAAGATCGCGCCCATCTGTCTGCCGCCCACTGCCATTCTGCGCCAGAAGTCCTACGTGGGCTACACGCCCTTTGTCGCTGGATGGGGCATGACGATGGAGGGCGGTGGGTCGGCTAAAGTGCTCCAAGAACTCCAAATTCCAATCCACGGGAACGATGTGTGCCGCGAAACCTACGCGAAAGAGCGCCGCTACTTCTCGGCCGATCAGTTCGACAGTGCCGTCATCTGCGCCGGAGATTTGTCGGGCGACAAGGATATGTGCCAGGGCGGTACACCACTGATGATGCCGGAACAGTACCAGGACCAACTGCGTTTCTACCTTATCGGAGTGAAGTCCTACGGCATCGGATGTGCCCGGCCAAACGTGCCCGGCGTTTACTCCAGCACACAGTACTTCATGGACTGGATCATCCAACAGGTCCAACAGACGCCCTAAGTTGCCATCGCAACTAAGGTCATATGAAGTGTATAGGCTCGGAAACACATCCTGTTACAGGTATTTTCAGTAAATACGAATGACTTATTTTGCTTTAAAAAAAATGTATTAACTTAAAATGCAAGATACATCTTATTTATGGGACTTGGTTTATTTAAATAAAATAATCGAAATTTAACTCATGCTTTATTAGCTGAAACTATATTTAATTGGGCCAGAAAATTCTAATATTTTAGGAAAACCTTGAGTGCAAATATTGACACTCCTGGCTTTGTTCTCAGGATGTCTAATCCCTGAATACTATGCCTGCAAGCAGCAGGATCCCTCTAAGGGTTACAGCATCTTATGCAAATCAAGCGCAAGACGCCCATCAATCATTCTGGTAATGATCGCGTCTTGGGACAAAAGGGGTTGTATGTAAATGCGGGGTAAGAAGGCAGCTTGCGTCCCTGGACATGAACTGCATTGTAATTGCTTCGGCAGCCACAAGCGGATTTGCATAACTCATGGCAGGAGAGAATGCCTGCCTCTTTGTAGACCAACGCTGAAGGTATCACTTGGGCGCCATCTCCAGGAGGGGAACAAAGGGTTACCTTCCTCCCCAAACCCTTCGCGCTTTCTTTTCTCCAACAGCAGATGAACAAATCAAATGCCGATGTACAAAGCAAGACGAATCCCTTTTGAAGTCAGAACGCCTCCCGCGCATTTGTGGCCACATGGTCTGCTTTCCTTTGAGATTCAAATCGCATCTGGCAGATGATTTAGTGCTCTTTATGAGTGAGAGTTCATTTAACTGCTTTCTCCTGAAATGATATTCCTTACTCTAATAACAATTACGACACAATCACAACAGCGAAAATAAACCGATCTGCAATCATCACGCGATCATCATCATCAATAATGCCAGCAAAATTTGCATGCCCCATGGATTTTGGCATAATTTGCATACCAAAGCCGATGCCACACAAGGGTGTTAATTTCCTCATTACCCGATTCCCAGCTTAGCAATCTTTATCGCGAATCCCAAAAATATTGGCAAGGGTTCGCAAGGATCGGAGGGAGTTTCGCCAGGATCTTACCTTTTTTGCGGCGTCAAGGGGCGAACAAAGGAATTACCCACAATCGCAAATGTAAACACGATCTGTCAATTTCAATGGGTGCAATTGTGATCTATGATCTCGATGATCTTTCAATTTGCCATGATCAATGAGGGCAATCGTCTGGTTTTGTTTTTTCTCTTTTATCGCCTGCTCATTTTATTTTTGTGACAAGAGTTAATTAAAACTCCTTTTTATTTTACGCTTTTAGGAGCCAATTTATTAGGTTTTTATTTAATTATTAAATTTAATGAGATATCATTAGTTTTATCATTCTTTATTTGAGTACATTTTGCATATTCTTTTTGACCGCTTCATAATTTTTCTATTCTAGTTTAGAACATAGAACATTATAAAACATTTTTATTGCCTATGCTTTTATGTGTTTGTGATACCATTTTAGATATTGACTTTGTTATGCCATATAACATCGCCTGCCTGGCAAATAAAATTTGCTTTGTGGTGCCACGTATTAGCATAAGCTATATGAATGTAATCAGTGTTTCTCGTCATATCCAAATTATATACTCTCATAAGTTGATCGGGCTTGCCGGAGTCAACAGAACTGATAGGAGAATAGATAATCCAATAAACGTTTTCGGTAAGTTTCTTACTAATGGTATTAATCTCGTCTTCATTTTTGAAGGACGCTAGATCGCCGCCCATCTGTTTACAGGATTGCTTGGCATTAAGCCAATACTGCGTCTCATTGTTGTCAATGTAGAAGTATCTCGAACCAATTCGCTCGAATTTCGTGGATACGATTTTGGCTTCGGCTCCTTTTTCCGTCTCCTGTGAACACTTCACCTTAGTTAGTCCTTCCTGTATGCCTGCTAGTTGTGCTTCGATCCTGTCCAGTTGGGCTTGGTTTTCATTATGAATTTGATCGAGCTTCGATGTCGTTTCCTTCCACTGCTGCCGATTATTTTCGCTGTCGTCAAAAAGTGGATTTAGTGCGGCAAGGCAGAAGGCTCCACATTGTTGTGGGGCGTCTTTCAATGTGCACAGGGATTCCATTGATTCAACATGGGAAATCAGACACAAGGAAATAAATCCGTAAAAAAAATGTAATGCTGCCTTGAGCATTTTAAGTCCGTACAAACGCTAATGAAGAATGCTTCTTGTGAACTGATTTTCCGATCTCTGGTACATTAAGACATTGGAACAAAAACAGCTATTGATTTTCTTAGAGTCAGTGGGTGTATAGAATTCGTTTAAAAGTATATTATGGGCAAAAGAAAACGTTTCCTAGGATAGGAAGGTATATATTTTCTTATCTGTCTTTATAAATTCAAAAATCTCGAGCAGAGAAATTAAATTTACCATCAGCGCCAGCCAATATATTATATATTAGCATCATTTTATTTTAAGGGACGTATTGTTTGGAAACTGGTGTAAGGGGTATTTGATAGTCGTGACACTAGACTATTGATTTTCTTCTTGTTATGAATAAATTCCTATATCTTTAGAAATATTACCCACCCACGCAATTTTATATCGATTGGACGAATATCATGTGCGCAGAGAAAATGTTTGTCTCTTTATATAAATCTACATTTAAGTGTTATTGTTAAAATTGTGAGATCGTGGCCAGTAATGGCATAGTGCCAAATAATTTTGAATTTTGTTGTTAACATTATTCTAACTTTTTATTGATGGATAAATAATGATTTTATTACAGTGTTTAGTATAGATCACAGAGACTACGAACTAATTGACTTAAGGCTCCTAAAAACAAAGTTCACTTAGACGAATCTAAGCTAATTGAATTGCACTGGAATTAAAACGATTTGGGTGTGTGTGTTTCCCAATCTGGCACTACGAATGGCGTCCATCCGCCGATCCTCTCCAGCTAGGCCTCCGGTGAAGCGGCGTTCCTCTTGAGGGACAGCACTTCATTCAAAGTGGGACTGAGTGCCAGGGCGGGATTGGCCACCGCAATGATGTTGTCCCCCGCCGCGGATATGACCTGAACTCCACTGAGAGCCGGATTGGAGGAGGCAGCACTCAAGTCCACGGATTCCCGGGGCGGCGAGGAGGCCTCCATGTGGAGCGAACTGGGCGATCGCTCACTTTCCATTCCATTGCAGGGCGTCTGTGGAGGAAAACAGAGGTTTCTCTTAATCTCGGGACTTTCCCGGGGAACGGAGTGCCCTCGTAGAGCTCCAACACATACTCACTGGCATGGTCGGCGAACTGGAGTTGCTGAACGAGAAGCGCGAGTCATTGTCCTCATAATCAGCCGCCTTGCCAAGTCTGTAAAGAGGTTTATTAAATGTTAAATTAATGTTATACACATTACTTTTACATATAATTAAATCAGAAAGACCAATTAATTTGTAACCAAATAATTATTAAGTTTGATGATTCATTTTTTCAATAAATGTTTTAAGATTTTAAGACCACGTCGAACATATTTTTTGAGATTTAAGTAGCTGGTATCAACAGACCTAATTCTTGAACTTCTCGCTCCTTATACAATTTTATTTATTAAAATATCAAATCTCGTATTTGGGTAAATGTATTGTTGAAGATCAAGACGATTTTTTGTAAAGTCAAATCAAATTCAAATTTATTAAGCTAATAAGGAATATAATTTTATCAAAACTAGAAAAGGACCTTCATACTCACGAGAACTTGGCAATTTCCGTAAGATCAAACGGCGGCTTGGCGAACTTTTGGTACATGGCAAACAGATTGTATCGCGAGTCCTCCACAGCTTCCTTTATTTATTGGTAGGATTTATCAACAAGATCAGGGATTAGAGTCTCTCGTTCTTAAGGAAGCCAAATGGAGGCCAAATGGAAGCTAAGCGAGGCAAGGAGGCAGATGCGTGGAAAGATTTTTGTGGAGGCCAAGGAAGAAGACACGTGGATCGTTGGTTTTGGCAATTTTGTAGGATTTATTTAATGACTCAACAATGGGGAAAGGTACAAGAATATATTGCAAAACGACTACTGACTAAATAACTTGTTTTATAAATATAAGAAAAATTCAACTATAATTTAAAGTTAAGAGTTAGTAAACAAAGTTAGCTTAAGGGTTAGTAAGCGTGCACTATTATTAAGTCAGGCAACGAATATATAAAAATATTATAATAATCAACAGAAAACACTGGAAACACAACCATTAACGACTATATTAAAATTCATGCTAATAATACTAAATTGATATAGGCATAGAGTTTAATAAATGAGAAATTTCAAAGTTTTTTAGTGACTTTTTAAAAGGGCCTTTAAGACCATATAGTTAAGCAATATTAGTTTAATGTAGAAATAGAGGATATTATGTGTTTAGTTAGGAATATATCTACATTAGTTTAGTAAATTTTGAAATAATAATTTATAACTATATTTTTGTCTACTGAAGAAATACTATAGTGTAAATGTGGATCCCCTTCCACAAGCCGAGATATTCTGAGAAGAACCTCTCGACCAGGATTAGTAATTGGGTTCTGGCGATCGCGAAAGCTGTAAGGCAATTTTTGGGTTATCAGAGAGCTCCTCCATCCGGAGGGCTCTGAAGCGAAGCTGTAGCCTAGCTGAAGCACTGCACCGGGCGACGGACCTACGGCTCTACGGAATCTAGCTTCCTTACCCTGTTCAAGTCCAGTGGCAGCTGGGCGGCCTCCGTGGAGGAGAGTCGCTGCCGCTTGGGCGGCACAGCGGCGGCATCACTGGACTCGCAGTCCGTCTCCCCGGGACCCCGTCCTCCGCCCAATCCCGCTCCCTGCGAGGGAAGCTGGGTGAGCAGACCACCGTACCGGGCAATGCTGGCGGAATGGCCGAATCCGGCGTCCTTGACGATCTGGCGGGCGAGGGGGAAGAGCTCGTCGCGGCGGGTGAGCAGCCAGATGGTCTGGGGATTCCGGCACAGCTGCGCCGCCGCCTCATTGACGCACACCTCGTGCAGAGTGAGAGGCTTCTCCGGCCGCCTCTTGCAATCGAACCGCCCGTAGATGGCCGAGTACTTACGGATCTCGTCCATGCGCCGCGGATCCTGCTCTCCCATGGCAATCACCTGCTCCAGTTCCCTGGTGGTCCGCTTCCTGGTGGTCTGGGCACGCGGTTCCCGCTGCGGCAGCTGCCTACCGATCTTGTCCGCGCACATCGTTATCCTCTGGATCTGCATCTCGGTGAGAACAGGTGTGAGCTGGGGCGAACTGGAGGACACCTGGTGGGCGGCGGTGCTCGCTGGGAGGCAACTGTTGCCCGAGGGATGGGGGCTGCTGGTCAGCGGGGTGGAGGGCAGGACCAGGGGCATGGGCACCGAGGGCAACGCGGAGGGACAACTGATCTGGGTAATCAAAGGCGCTGTGGAGGCTGGAACGGAACCGGAAGTGGGCAGGGGAGCTGGCGGAACCGGCGAGGGCTGGAAGCTGGAGCCGGAGGGATTGAACGAGGGAAACTTCTGCCGGGGCAGAGCTGGAGTGGTGTCCGGATTGAAGACCAACGCGGGTTTTGGTGGCGTTTCACAAAGACCTGTAAATATTGTTTTGTTAATAAGGATATTCTCAAGAGGAAAATAAATAATAAATAATAATGATATTCTCAAGTGGAAAAAGGATTAAGTAAACTAAATTAATATATTTTTTTTTTATCAAAATTAAGTTTTTCGCAAATAAATCATATTTCCATAAGCTAAGAGTTATACAGACATCTTAGAGGTTTATTAAGAGCTATATTAGAAAGAGTATTATTTCCAAAAAAAAAAGTATTTACAAAATTATAAATAATAATACAAATTATAATTTAGAAATAAGTAAGAAAATCCTAGACCTTCAGATAAACATTTTGTGCATTAAAAATATATAATTTCTATATCCTGGAGAATTGTAAATTCTTTGATTATCAATTAAATATCAACTGTAATTCATTACGTTATTTTAAATAAAGACTTCTAGTCAAAAGTAAAAAAGATTACATAAACATTTGAGAACTAAGATAAGCTGTATGGGTTTATAAGTAAATACCAATGGTACGAGTATATTTTTGACTCTTACCCAAGTGTGGCAGCAGGGGACCCTGGAAGAGGCCCGGATTGTTGGCCCACTCGTGCAGCGCCTTCTGCAGGCGGCGGACGTGGAGCGGCTTGGAGGCCATGCCCACCAGGGCCATGATCTCGAGGAACTCCTCCTCGCCGGCGTCGTACAGCTGCTGCACATCGTCGCCGCCCATCTCGAGGAGTGTGTCGTAGTAGGCCAGCAGACTGGCCCGCTGGAGTACCCGGTACAGCTGCACCTCCGCCTCGTTGCCCGGTCGCGATGTGGTGATCACTGGAAAGACATGGATAAAAAAAAACACAGTAAGGAACAGGCTTGAATAAGTTGCAGCAAAAAAAATGATATTTATTAAGTTCTGGCCTGCGACGTTCTCACAATGCTGCCGGCCTATAAGAAAAAAATTTTAATTAAATTCGCTTTTTTAACCGAAAAAAAAAACTCGACGGACGTCTGGACCCTGAACCCTTTTTTCGTTCATAGCGAGCAGAAAAAAAAAAAACTAAAACTCGAAAAGCACACAAAAAGGATGAGGCAAGAGCTGGGAACCAACTCATCTGCATAAGCATGGTGGTTCAACCCCTTTTTCGGAGGGACCAAGGATCCGATACGATACGATACGATCCGATTTGAGTCGGCAAACTCGTTAGAAATGCGTCACGCATGCTGCAAGATGCCTTCAAGGATTGCCAGGATCATTTTAATCTTGCTTCTATTTTTTTCCATTTTTTGGTTTTATCACTTTCGATTTTTGGGCAAAAAAAAAGGAAAAGAATAGTAGAAGATCGTGTGAAATACATATAAAGCGAAATTCATAGGAAATCGTACAAGACTAGGCAGCGATTTATTGCTCATACTAATGAATCCCCCGATCGACGAGGCTGTTACTGTTATGGCAGCACAACTCTAAATGGACGACGCCGATGACGAGGATGATGATTATGTCAAATCGTAAATAATTATGTGAGAATATTTCAGTCGGCGACAGCGTCTCCAGCCGGCTTTAATTAATAGAAAAACGAGCTGGCCGGGCTAAATTATAACAAACTGTGAGCAGAAAAAGCCGCGTACATCGATGGCCATCCTCCGATTCCATTGGTTTGGTTTTTTTTTTCCCTCGCCTTGGTCAGTAGTTACTGAAAGCCACAAGCGCATCCACCAACGTCCAACACCAAGGATGCGCAGAGCACTTCGCGCCATTAACCCACGCTCCGCGCCATGGGGTTGTTACGATTTATGGCCCGGGCCCAAGAATAATTCGCATTCTTAGCCGCTTAATTGGGTATATCATAAATAGTTTGAAAGCTCAAATATCAGGCCAGTCACTTGGACTTGAAAGTTGTGGCTAAGTGCGCGTGGACTTGAAATTAGTGTTGACTTGAAAGTGCTTATTAATACAGGCTAAACTCAGTAAACAAGTGACGAGGTTAAGATAAACTAGTTTAAGTAGAGGGTTAAAAGTGTTTTTTTTTTTAATTTTGAAAGCTTTAGTGAAAGTCTTAACTGAGCTATTAATAAATTATTATTATTATTTGAAATAACAATCTAGGAAATATGAATATTTTTTATATTGGAAAATATAGAAAGACGAACAACGTAAATTAAGTTTTTTTAAGAGACTATATTGTTGTCTAAAGGTCCTTTGAAATTTTTTTTGGAACTTGTCAAGAAACCTATCTATGTGTGACCGCTCAAGGGTTAATGTGGCTCTTTTCTATCCGGCCACTTTTCGTCGCACTCCCTCATCTTAACTTGGGTATTTAACGCAGACCTGCGTAAGTCGGGAGTCTGGAGGATCGGGTGAGGGGGGCATACGGTGGCAGCAATAAATAAATGAGACGTGATTTCAATACACAAATAATGCCGGGAAGGGAGGATCGGAAGATGGGAAGATCGGAGGATCGGGAGGAAGCGGGTTCGGGATCGGTGGAACTGGGGACACTTTGTTGTGGCTGCTCCAGCTCCTCCGCATCTGCGGATTGTTGCTGATTTTTTATTTATTTAATTTGCGGGTTTTGTTTTTTTTTTTGCTTTGCCCACTGCCGATGCTTCGACCGCTGCTGTTGTTGTCATTTGCTAAATATGCTGTTTTTATGCGAACGGCAAATGGTAAAGATGGACAAAAAATTAACTGCAGTAACTTTTTAGTTGGCACTTGGCTGCAATAATGACATTCGACGCCACATACCAAGCAGCTGCCCAAGAAAACGGAAAACCGCGAACAGGCAGCAGGATCGGCACACAGAAAAAATATTTGATCTTTCGCTTGTGATAAGATCAGATAAATATCTCTAGTTCTATTTCTATTATCCTTATCCCTATTTACATGAATGCCATTATTATATATTTATTTTTAATCAACAAAGGATTTTCTTTGCATTCATTTTACTATTTAAGTGCACACACAAAAAAAAGAAGAAATACTGCTAAATAAAAACTAACGAACCATTTTGATATATAATTTACTTTTGAAATTTGATTAAAAGGTGATAATATTAAACTCTTCAGATGTATAAACATACATATTTTATTATTTATATTAAAGGCTATTACTGTAAAAGGTCCATTTCAAAAAGTATTAATTTAGTTTACTGTGCAGAAACGCTCTTCATCCATTAAATAATTTAGAAACTCATTATAAGTATCGAATATTTAATAGAATTGAATAGTAAATATATCCTTAAATCAAATTTATTTAGTTTTTGAAAACTTTTGAAGAATGATCTAAAAATTTGGGCAGTGCATTCAGAAAATGCGTGAGAGTGCCCTTGTGTGTGTGAGGGGCTAGTGTGTGCGTATGGAGTGGAGCAGTCAATCGGGCGATCGCTTCGATTATGGGCAAAAAGTAGACGCCGGACTTTGCAGACTTTGACTTGGAGAGTTGGACCTGGAATCGGAACCTGGAACCTGGGACTTGGGACTTGGACCTGGGGTCTGGCTCTGAGTCTGAGTCCTCCTCCTTCCCTTCCACTCATCATCGGCAATGGGCAAGTAACCGAAACTATTTCTCATATACAACGATAAATTAAAAGCCAACTTTTTCAACGACCAAATTCTTGTCGATCAAAATTCCATTGGTGGCAATAACTTGGCCTGTACGTGCCAATGGCCAATGGCCCCAGCAGACGGACCATAACCATGGCCTGCACAGCGAAAGAATAATGCCTACTTAATTTTTAAATGCATTGTTTTTAGGGGTCATTACGGTCTTAATCTTATCAATTTTTGATGATTAAAGTCCCTGTTTACATGTTATTAACTCCGTTTCCGTAAGGGTTGTATTAATATAAGCATATTAACTAGGTTAATGTGAACAAAGAAATAGGAACTCTCATGGGTTAGTAAAGTTTTGATAAAGGATATGTCAATATCTACATTGCTTTCGTAAAAAACCCTATAGAAATAAATCTTCAATTATTAATGATATAATTTTTTTCCCCGTGTGACGACATTTTTTTTCGAAGGTTGAGCATTTTTCCAGCGAGAACTCTTCTCGTTGGTTGACTCTTTTTCGAACCGAGATTTATGAAAATATTTTACTACCCTCATCGCTTGGGGTGAGTTTTTTTCTGTTTCTTTTCAAAGTTTTTGCCTGTCACCCCTAAGACATGGCCTATCATCACGAGGTTGATATAACGGCTGCCTAGGAAAAGGCATCTTACCTGGGACTTGAGCCCATCCCATTGGATGAAGTCTGCCATTGCTACCTGAAGAAATCCTAGACCTTGAGCAGATATGCAAAATAAGACACCCCGAGCAATTGGGCACCAAAGAAATGGAAACAGGAACAGGATCCGCGGTTTTTAAAGAAATTAAATTACCCAGCAAAGGCAACTTTTCAGCTGCCTTTGTTGTCAGAGTAAGGTCCTTAAGGACCAGGGACAAGCTTCCTGGGTTCCAAGCGTTTTCCGTTACATAACTGCGACAAACAATGGAAGCTCGAGAAAAGAGCGCGAAAATTGCAGCATGTGGCAAGAGGGGATTTGTATTTGTTTGGATGCAGGAAAGCTTTATAAATGATTTGATGCGGTCGAAAGATCAGGATTGGTCACAATAGCAGTTGAATAGAATAAGTGACATCTGCATGGTTAAATATCGAATATACAGGGGTGGTCAAAAGTATTTGCACAAATTACAAGTACTTACTCATAAGAAATGTGCAAATACTTTTGACCACCCCTGTATATGGATGTCTTTCGAACTTAAATGTTCAAGGACTCTGCATGGTTAAATAACGAATAAATATATCTGTGCTTTGAACTTACATATATGTTCAAGGATTTGAGTAAGAAGTATGGGCAGCGTTTTTGTCAAATTACCAATATTCAAAATAAACAGCAAAAGTATGATTAGTTTAAAAACTGCATCAATACATTTTGGTAAAATAAACTGTATGAGGCTGAGTATATATAATGCAAATGTGATATAAATCCCACATCCCATGGGATATTTAATCACGAATTATAAAAAAGTCCTTTCAATTCTAACCAGCAATTTATTTAACGTTTGAGTGCTTAAATCGTGATTAAATAAAATCAATTGCTTATAATCAAAATAAAGCTTGAATTTCTGACCCCAACTGTACTTAATTTTCTAAGAATGGAGTTATTTTGATTGTTGATTTCTATAAATCTTTTCCTTTCTTCATAAAAATATAATTATAGATTCTACTCACTTGTTCCATTCGCATTCCGTCCGAAGATCTTGCCCTGCGGACTCATGATGGGACTGGAGGAGGCCGAGGGAGCACCTGAAAGCGATCTCTGGCCCTCGGATAATCCACTGGCCAGGGACAGATTGTACAGATCCTCCGCTTTGGCCATTTCCAAGCTGGTGGTCAGCAGTTGTGACTGTGTGGCAGATGCGGATGCAGATGCGGATACAGATGCGGATGCGGAACAACTGGAGGCGGCTTGACTGTGTCCTTTGCTGCTGGTGCTCGCAGCTGACGATGGACTTGATGTGGATGTGGTGGTGGCCACCGCCGTCGTGGGAGTGGTGGGATTTGAACTGGCCTCCATTTCGGTCACTCGTTGATAACCGATGTCGAATTAAATTCACGCGACTTGTACGAAAGACGAACAAAACCAGACACAAACAACCAAGACGAAATGCATGCAAACTAGGATCAGGAATCAAGGATCGAGGATCGGGTGAGTACTACGAGCTACGATTAACTACACTATATAGATGTATATCTCTCAGGAGAATGTAACAGAAGAATGCAACGGCAGTGAAGAGACTCGCGTTTCAGTTTCAACGATCTCTTGCGATCCGCTCAGCTCGAGGCCAGACAAACTTCTGTTCTCGAATCCCAGAACGGACATCTCGGGAACCCTTTTTGGAACCGGCCGAGGCCCACGAAGCCAACGAATCCACCCGAAGTCCACCCGAGTGGCGAACGCTTTCGTTTTCTTTCAGCTGGGGAGAGCAACACGGGCGAAAAGGGTTAAAATCGGGGATAAAAACAAAACAAAACAAATTGCAGGGAGGATGAGGGACGTAGGACATTGGTTTCCCTGAATTCCACTCGGGGGTTACTTTTTATCTGCAGATGCCCACGATTCTCTTATTAGAGCGGAATCTCACTCTCTCTCCAAGTTGAGTGGTTCTGAGTGAGTTTTTGTGCTCCGCCTCTCGAGAATCACTCAAAGATCAACCCAGTTTTGGGTGCCTGATGAGATCCTTCGCCTTCTCAGGAGATCCCTTTTAAAGAAGTTTTTTTTTGGGAAAAACTTTCCGTTAAATCTGCTGGGAATATTTAAATTTCATCAAATGCAAGACGTGCATTAATTTTTTAGCAAAAAATAAAAAGGTTCAAGAAGGTTGCGTAACCCTTTTCGCCTGTCAAATGATTTATTATGTAACTAAAGATTTGTACCTTCTAGAAAAATTTGTATATTTTTTCCGCCAAAAGTTAAAAAATCTAAAAGATTAGTTTTAGAAGATAACATTTTTTAATGCCATATGATTCAATGTTTAAAAAATATTTTAAAACAATTTGCTTGATTTATAGATCAATAACTACATTTTTAAGCAATTTACTGTTAAATTCCTTAAGACAAAGAATTGCGTGGAATTTAAATATTATAAAACCATAAAGATAAAATCCAACAATTTTATTTTATAGAGCCCTTCATTACAGGCACTTTCCAACCAAAACAAATCATTGTATAACTGAAGATTTTTTGTATTTATTTTGTACTATATATACAAAAACAGTTTACCATAGGGCGTTATCAAATAGGGGAATACTTTTAAAGATTGCCGTCTACGCTACCGATAATCGTAATAGTTAATATAGTTGCTTTCTGGGTTTCGAGCCATTAGAGTTAGGGTTAGGTATGAATAGATTACACTAGGATGGGTTTACGTTAGCAGTCGAAGAGCGGGAACCCCTGGGGACAATCGTAGGCTATTCCGGGCCAGGAAATCGCCACAAGAGCGGGGTTCCTCCCGCACATGGTGTCTGTGTGTCCTATGCGAGACTATCCTCACTATAAGTTGTTCACGCTGATGATCTGGTTGATCCAGCCGATGAACGAGGACGTCTTCACATAGACGCCGGGCACATCCTGGCGTCCGCATCCGAATCCCCAGGACACGAGGCCGGCCAGCTCGAAGAATCCATCATCCTGGCAGACCAGTGGACCACCTCCATCGCCCTGGCAGGCATCGTGTCCCTCCTCTCCGCCAGCACAGAAACTGGACGCGGGCAGGATGAAGATCTTCTCCGTCACGGCATTGACCTTTCGGATGCACTCCGTGTCGCTCACAATCGGAATCTCCGCCTCACGCACGCGCAGTGGAATGGGTCCAGCTGTTAAAGGTTAAAGGTCAATTATCAATTAATGGTTTTGTATCTAATTTTTAGGATCTGATAAGTACCTTCTCCCATGTATCCGTATCCCGTCACTGTGCATCGCTTGCCCGCCGCGTGACTGACTCCTCGCGCCGGAAGACACACCAAACACACTCCATCCCGGAGTTCCGCCTGTCCATGCAGCTTCAGCAGGGCAATATCGTTGTCCAAAGTCTGGCTATTGTGGTTGTGATGGATGTACGTGGTGGCCACGCGAAGGGTTTGAGCTCCTGGACTGCCGTATTTCCTGGTCAGATCGTAGTCGCCTACGCGCACATAAATGGCATCTCCAGAACGAACAATGCTGGAAAGGAAAAATAACAGAATTTAAAATGTTTGTAACAGACATTTCCTAGATTAAGGATAGCTGGTTGACTATATACTCTAACTATTATATATATAAGGCTTGAAGCTTTTTGCTTCCTACAAATAAGATTTCTTCAGCCGCCATGAAACTACAGGACTAAATTAATATATCTTTAGTGCTTGGAAATATATTTCCAATTAAATTTGTAACTTTATCAAACTAGAACGACTAATTCCTATATTAAGAATAGCAAAGATAAAACCGGTTTAACATCATTACGATGTTTTTCTTAATGAAAGTTAAGTGGAACAAATCGTTGTGTTATAGAAGAAATTAAAATATAACCAAAGTATGACCTCGAGTAATTCAATAACACTACAATTAATTCTTGATTAATATTTTATCAACCCGGGAGACTTTTTTTAATATCTCTGCTATTGGACAAATCTAGAAAATATCGCATGGTCGACAATGACTTCTACTTTTCCCTACTTCCTACAAATGTATTAACACTTACTTGGTAACACAATGGGCAGCAGTAAGGACCCACTGGGTGCCGATGAGCGCCGCTCCGCAGAGGTACTGATTGAGGGAGTTGATCAGGGCCACCTGCCAGCACCACTCCCCGTTTTCTCCATCCTCGCCGCCCACCACTCGTGCCCTCCTGCGTCCACTGAAATTGGACTGAAGTCCGTACAGAGATCGCTGTTGGTAGTACTCCGGATAAACCAGCTCCGGTTGATCCGGCGATTCCTGGTGGTTGTGATACGAACGGAGTTGGTTGCTCTGCAGACTGCTCGATTCGACGAGGTCGCCCAGCTTGTCATTGTGGATCTGGATGGGCACAATGGCGGATCCGAGGACCAATCGCTCGTTGGACTTGTTGAAGTTTCCACTGTATCCGGCGGCGGAGGTCATTTGGCGAGCGGTTCGGTGGACTCCATACTTGGCACGGGCGTAGGACACCAAGGAGAGTGCCTGGGATCTGCCTGTCCTGAGAGTTCCCTTGACTCCACACACATACTTGGAGTAGACATGTGGCCGTGGAGTCGTCGTCGTGGTCGTCGTCGTCGGTGGCGTGGTCATAGGTGGCTGGGGTTGTGGTGGAAGTCCACCCTGAAGACCTGGTCCAGAAACTGGATAGTAATCCCCGTAGTTGGGTGCCGGTGGCGGAGGTCCTGGCTGATAGGGATTGGGGTGGTGTGGTGCCATCTGGGGTGGTGGTCCCTGCGGCTGTTGGTTGTTCATGTAGGAGTACGGCGGCGACTGCGGCGGATACGCTTGCGGTGGGCCAATGGGCGGTGGGGGCGGGGCCGGGTAGTAGGCGGTATCGTTGCGCGTCTGGAACTGCTGCTTCTCCAGGATCTTGCTCTTGGGCGCACAGCAACTCTGGCCGGAACGCTTGCATCGGAACATGTCAGTCATCTCGGCGTTTTCTAAAGGAAAAAAGAATTAACAACATTAAAAATATTTACTTCCTAAGGAATTCCTAGGACAAAAATATTTTGTATATTAAGAGCTTTTTATTAAAGAAATGTTCTTGAGATAAAAATATATTTTTAATCGGGGGATGTTTTGGTAAACAATAAAGTGAAATAAAATAAAATCGATCGCTATGATCAAATAGAAATTTAATTTTTGGAGTATAGTTAGTTTTTTAGTTTTTTCAGCAATATTAAATTAGTTTAGGAAATCAGTTTCAAACTGGTAAATTTATGTTTAAAAGAAATTCTTTAGTTTTCTTAAAATAAAATATATTAAATGGTATACTCACTGAAGCAAGTGAAGCTGAGTAGGCTGACGATGCAGGAGCCGGGGCATTCCTCTCGTGGATCCGGACTCGGAGTGTTGGGCAAGACATAGGGCGGAGCGGTGGGCGGGGCAGTGGGCGAGGGCGTGGGCGGTGGCAGTTTGGGCTTCGGAGCTCCGGCTCTTGAGTTGTCGCAGCAGACGGATCCCTTGGCACAGGTGGTGGGTGTGGAGACCAGCACCGAGGGTCTCTCGCAGAAGGCGGCCATAATGTTGAGCAGACAGAATCCTGGACAGCGGGGCACTTGAACGGGAGCGGGAGGGGGTGGCGGAGGGGCTGGGGAATTGAGAGTGCTCTCCGCAAAGGATATAATCTGGGAGAGGAAGTCACCACCTCCTCCTCCTCCTCCGGAGATGGATGCGGGGGTGGTGGAGGTGGAGAGGCGGGACGGGCGGGCTTGGCCGCTGGTTTGGGTGCATGTTTGATGGCCGGCTTGGTGGGCGGGGCCTTGGAGGCGGGTGGCGCCTCCGAAGCACTTCCCGTCACACAACAGCTTCCTTCACCGGGACAAAATGCCTCCGAATCGATGTCGTCGCAGAAGATGGCGAATATCCCATTCATGCACTCGCCCTCGCATTCCTTCAGCACCTGACCCTGTCCCTGTCCCGATTTCAGTTTGTTGCTCAGTGGCGGCTCCTCCTCCTCGCCGTCCTCCTCCGTCTCCTGATCCTCCTCATCTTCAGTCGCCTCCGTGGTGGTCGTGGTCGGATGCTTCTTGTGCTTGCTGGGCTTTGGGGAGGTATTGCCATTGGTTCTGGCCGGTTCCGGAGTGGTGGTGGTACTGGTGGTAGTGGTGCTACTGGTCGAAGTAGTGGAACTACTCTTCGAGGGAGCCGACTTCTCGGAAAGGGTCTGGTTTGGCTTCAGGTTGCTCATGTGTTCTGGTTAAAAAAATAGTTATAAGATTAAATTTAAAATCTAATGTTGGGGTTTACTTACTGGCTGGAATATAGATGTCCTTGGGCAGCTTGCCATTGGAGTACTCGTCCAGGGAGACGCAGCACTTGGTGCCCTCCTTGCACAATCCATCGCTGGTCAAATAAGCCTCACAGTATTCCGCTATGCGATCCGCCACACAAACTCCAGTGCAGTCTTCTGAAAAATTCAATGATTAGAAAATTATATGGCTCTCTTTTAATCTTAGGTTTCTAAATGTAATTAATTGAAAGTTAAAGGTTTTTGGTTCTTTTAGTGAATTTAAGATGGGACCTTTTGTTTAGTGTTAGACTTTGGGACCACTTACAAAAAACATGAATAAGAATAATGCAGATATGTCTTGGAGAAGTTGATTTTTATAGGATATTTTTTTATTCCATATTTAATTTTATACATAAAACCACCAACATTATATTTTAAAATATTAACTTGGTATTTGAAATAATATCAAATTGACACTCAACTGATTGCATGCCAAACATATAAATAGATAGATAGGATTTGGCTTGAATATAATTTAAAATAATATTTTAAAATTCCAAATTTTTGAGAAGTATTCCCTAACTAACTAACTTACTGTTAGCATCATCAGCTTTGGTGGCCTCCTCTTTGTCCTTGGGTTTGGCAGTGGCCACTTTCTTGGTGGTGCTGGGCTTCTTAGTAGTGGCTGCTGTGGCTTTTGTGGTGGAGCTAGTGGCTGGTCTCTTGGTCTGTGGTTTGGGCTTTGGTTTCGGGGTGGTACTAGTTGTGGTGGTGCGCTTGGTGGTGCTAGTGGTGGCCTGAGTAGTCGTTGTCCTCTGAGTGGTAGTGGTGCTGGCAGTGGTTGTGGTTTTGGGCGTTGTTGTCGCCCTCACAGCAGTTGTATTTTTACCAGCTAAAACATATGTATATCCTTTAGATCTTGGGTAGATTATTAATAAGTTGAACTGTACCTGGAGCATTCTCAATACAGCACTTCATGCTGGCCGAGGGACAGGCCACATCCTCTAGAACTTCGTAGCAAATCAACGTAGCCAAAGTGTGGACACAAACTCCAGGACAATCCTTGGCATCAGCTGTGCTGGTTATGGTATCCAAAAGACCTAAATAGTAGGGAATAATAAATGTTTAATAAGTAACATTTAAAATAATACAGATTGAAGGTTCTTATTTTAATACAATAAATGGCGAAAACATTTAATAAAAGACCTTTAAAATAAATATTAGAAATCAGCAACAGATTAAAAAGAACAGTTGTAAAATTTAAAAAAATATTTATTCGCAGAAAAAATAATTTATTGGTATACTGCAGTGATGAAAAATGTATCTTTTTTTCTGAAGAGTCCTCACCTGATAGAAAACTGCCAGCCAGGGATTCATCCTGGGCCTGCGAAGGCGATGGCTTACTGACCAGCAAAATGCTGAAGATCAGGGGCAGAACAAAGCGGCTCATTGTATTGGGGAACCTTTGCATTTTGTGATGGTCCAACATGGTCAGCACGTGCTCATTTCTTACCAAGAATCTGCAAGAGAGAGAAAGAGAGAAGCGGTTGGAAAAAGGTGAGATAATTAGCGGTGGTCAAGTGAAAGTCGAGGCTGCCACTGAATCACCCGGGCCATGTAACCCCGGCCACCAAGTGACGTAATGCGGCAGCTTGGGGCATCTGCCACAGGCCCAGAGATCATTGGCCTAGAAAAAGAGCCGCCAGCCGAAGATCATCATCATCATCATCATCGAGATATTACCACTGGGAGGCGGCAAGGTGTGTGTGATAAGCCCAAACCAGTTTTCCCATTTTTTTTTGGTTCTAGTTTTGCGTCGGCACAGGTGCCCCATTTCAATATTACGTATCCGCAGCGGTGTCCGCCGAATAACGGGCCACTCCAACCGTAATCCATGTATCTGGGTTGCCCAGAACGAGTATGGCAACCAAAACTGGTTACACACACACACACAAAAATGTGCCGCTGAAGAAGACCATGCAAATAATTATGGACAGTCGGAAAGAGAGCTCGGTAAAAGCCAGGGCATTCTTGGGCCGAAATTAACGAAACCGTTTAATGAATGAAATAGAAAGTACTTAGTACGAAATGAAACCTCGCTAACAGAGATCTCCGATCTCAGATCTCAGCGAAAGTGCAGTTGAGTTCCGAAAAAAAAGCAGAAACTGAATCGGAATGGGAATCGGAATTGGAATCGGACTTCCCCAATCACGTGCGGCCAAAAACAAAAAGCTTTCTACAAACCGGAAATTTCTCACCAGGCGAACAGAAAAAGGAAAATATTGTTATTGGCCAGCTGATGAGAGGGCTAGAAAGTGCTAGCTCACGTATTTTGGGTCAAGTCAAGTGGAGACGAGGAGAGTCGGTTCGAGTCGTTTCTCCTCTGGATAACATTCTTTCCCCATTCTGTCAGTCAGTTAGTCAGTCAGTCAGTCAGGCAGTCAGTCAGTCAGTGAAGTATTCCACGCCTACGCCACCATGAATACCAAGTCCGGCACCAAAACCGATAACTGGGTCAGATGCATAAGGCGCGACGGCATTAACACCGATCGTTCTTCTCTCTTTCGGTTCTCGAGTGGGTATTATATGGGTATGGCATCCACTTGGAATTCCACTTGGCCGAATACGTATACGAATTTGAATTTCACGCCAGCGAAAGAAAAGAAACGATTTCTTTCAAAACAAACAGAACCGTTTAGCTTAACAGTAAAATACACTGTAACTATCGTAGTTGATTTGTCAATTTGCAAAACCGATTCTTTTCCTCTGTCCGTCTTTTTTTTTTTTTTATTTATTTGTTTGGTTTCTTTCGTTTTTAGCACTTCCATAAAAGTCCCGAACCGAAGCGACCCGAGAAATAAAGACACGCGAAGAAACGTATGGCAGAAGACCACGTCAAAGAGATGGAGGAATTCTTCGCCTTAGGCTCGGCTCACGAACAAGTTAAGCGACTTCTGTCGACTTCTCGATTGAGTTGGCCATCCCATTTCCATTCCCATTCCCATTCCCGTTCCCGTCTCTTTTTCTTTCTTTCTGGGATCGGATCTTAACGGTATGTTTTGCAGACGGCTAACTGTGAGCTGGCATTGGCCAGAAGGATTGCTTATCATCCCGAAATCCACTATTCCATATGCAAAGTCCGGCAGAAAACAGGTAGCCACTCACAAAGGTTTTTCAGAAATAGAACGATCCTCGGGTTTTCAGTATCTCTTTTTTTGTATATCTTGTATCTTGTATCTTGTATCTGGACCACGATCACGACGCGACTGCACCTTGCGAAAGCCAAAAGCCGACTGACCAGCACTCAAGGTTCTCAGCGCTGGTAAGCCGCCAAGGCCGGGAATTCTCCGGAGAAAGTGTAGAGTGGCAGAGGTTTCTCTCCTCTGAAGAGCGGCCATCGTGCCTCTCTCTCTCTTAAGACCATCACCTGTTTACCTGTCCCACACCTTTTCTGTGGGCCATAAAAACGACCAACTCTTCAGAAATCGCCACTTCGACCATTTTGCAGACACTTTTATTGGCACTCCGCACCCTTCTGATTTGGCAAAAGGAAAATGAACCCCCGGAGTGTGCCTACTTTAGCGGATTAACGCTACCCCTATCCCTTCACCCATTATTTTTGCACATTTGCATTGTGGCCGCGGCTTAGTTATGCAAATCTCAAGTGCCTGGCTTGCATATTTTTTGGCAAACATCTTGTTACATATGCTAATTTACAACTCCTGATCCCGATCGCGATCGCGATCTTGAGGAGCTGTTGACGTCGCCCTGTTGCCAAAACATTGCAGATTGCAATTACAAGTACGCGAATCTAATGAGCAACTAACTGCATTTGCATACGGCCTGGGAAAACTGAGTAAGCCGATGAGACGGGGATTTGCGGTGAGTCGGGGAAATCAGTCAAGAGTTTTGCATAAGTAGAAGAAAATAGTACTTAATTAGGTGGTGATTTGAAAATGCGGGCTTATAAGATTTTGTTTTCTTGAGATGAATATATTTACATATTCTTTGTAATTTTACGGACTACAAAGAAATTAATGATACATTGCGCTTTATAATAATAGTATTTCAATAATGAATCTAACTGGGTTTATATTGCTATGGTTATAAAAATGCACTTAAATATACTTTATTTATATAATACCATCTTAAGGAGAGAGTAATTAATGGAATCTGTTACTTATTATATAAAATGAATCCACGCTTTAGTTAGTAAGGTATTTGGAATTAAGTTCAAAGCATATTAATATCAGAGAATATTTAAATTGTGATAAGTATACGATAATACTAATTAGTGTCCGCCACCCATTTCCTACCTATTGTCTAGTCCTTTCTATGCGTAATCCCATGTCTAGGCAAATGAGCATAGAGACAATCCTTCGTGTCCTTCGCGGATGTTCCCAGGCTCCTTTCCATCGATCCCCCGAGAGACACGCAGCCGTCGCGCATCCTTCGTTTCGGGGCAAAATCTTCTCAAGACAGAACTTCACACGACCAGATCGACTAGAAATTTGAATAAAACGCTGAATAAAAAAAACTGAAAGTGGTAAAAAAAAGTGAAAAAAATTCATCAAAAAAAAAAGACGAAGAAAAAAAGTATTTATCATTCCGTGCGAGTTCTCACTCACACTCGTTTTATACCTGGGCCCGAGGACCTCAGGCAAATAGATAAGGAGTTGGTGGTGGTGGTTTAGCCTTCGTCCTTCGTCCTGCGTATGCAAATCGCTCGCCCGAGTCCGCGATGATTCCTTTTCAATTCGAACAATGCCGAGGGTCGCCGCCCTGTCCTTTGGCCACACATGTTTGTCTGCGTTTTTTCTGCATTAATCGTCCTATTCGAAAAAAATGATTAAACCCTTTCGTTCGGTACATTTTTTTCGAAGATTTTTCCCCGTTTTTGTTAGGTTCATCATTTTTTTTTTTTGCTTAAGTCATCCCGTTGTTGTAATTTCACTTTTCCGTGAGAATTTTTGATGGGTTTGTATGGAAATAAGAAGAAATAGGATGCTCAGGTGTGGAATAAAAGGATTTTTTGCCTTAAATACATTTTTATCGTAGAAACCGGAAAACTGGAGTAAATGGGAATTTATATGAAATATAAAAAAATGATTGGGTGGTGTTATTATTTTTTAAATAATATTTATTATATTTATTTATAATTTAATTTATCCAATACATATTTTGTTTTCAAATACCCCAACTTCAAATCTTGGAGCCGCCACTGATGTAAACATTACATAAATTAGATGTAAAATATATTTTAGTTATTATTTCACTTTATTCCAAATTTTTAAAATCTTGCTAAACTCAAAACCCCTTTCTGTTGCGGTTAAATTTTATTTAGCCCGTCGAGTCCATTTTCTTGAAAACCCAAGGCGATTTATGTTTAAATAATCGAGCTGCCTGCATCGTCGTGCCCTGCATCCTAAGCAATTCACCCCCGGCGTGATGTACGATGATGATCTTGGGCTGGAAAGGATTCAATCCGAGATCTGACCGAGTTTTCTCGATTTGCATATTGAGGGTCGCGAACTCTTTTGAGGGGTACAGTCGTCGGGAGAAGGGTTTGTCATGGGAACAAAAGATGCATTCAACGCCGAAGAATAGACGAAATCAATATTTGAGGTAATTAATTAACAGCATCAATATTGGAGAGAAGAAACCCATAACAATATTCACATTTAGCAATCAATTGATTGACGATTAAATGTTATCTTTAATATTATCAGCAAAAGTCATGTGGCATGGTGGTATACTCGTATTTCATATGTGAATTGGAAAGCTTTTGCTGCGTTATGTGAAATTGCAAGATATTTGTAGTTTAATTTTAATAATAATATTTATTTATTAACATTGTTCAGATTCAAATTCTTACAAAATAAATGTGTTCATATTAAAATTCTTACAAGTTAAATGTTTTTTATTGATATTAATAAATTGTTACATTAGATATTTAACTGTGTATTTATGTACTTAAATGACTATAACAAAGAGTTTAATGAAATGATTGCACTAATAAAAAAAAAAAGATTAAAAACATTTTAAAAAATAAAACGGTATCAATAGATTGTTAATCTTATTTAATTATGTTTTTATTTTTTTTAAAACTATTGATACAACGGTTCAAATCCCGCGCTCGTTCGATTTGTTCTTTTTTACGTGATCTGGGAACTCCTTGCAAAATTGTACAACACTGAAAACACAACTTTATAACAAAGAGGCGCGAAATTTAAATATATTTTTCGAATATATAATAATCAATTATAGTAATTGTATTAAATTAAAAAAATAAAGTGTACCGTTATTTTTCAGCTTTGATGGTTGTTTTAAAAATAATTTAAAATAACTCTATTAAAATCGGATCTTTAAACTTTTCCTAGTTTATCCAAAGGACATTTCTTAATTACCTTTTATTTAGTTGTAGTATTGAAAGGGATAATTAAATTAATAAAATTAACAGGAATCGTGCCCATTGAAGGACACCTGCTGTGCGGTGTGACCGCATTGCATCTGTTACCTGTGGTATTTTCTAGGACATTTCGACGCTTCGCGTCTGCGGTCACACCAACGCCAAGGTACGTGTCCAAAATCATGAATCGAAAGTAAATCAACAATGCTGTTGCTGCGAAACGTAAATAATCGCTAAACTCGTGAAATCGGCCAGTGTAAATCCCAGGTACACCGTCCAGTTTAAAATTCAGATGCACTTCGTCGGCGAAACGGAGAACAACTGTGCACGCAACAACAACAACGACAGCAACAGCGGAGAGCGCCAGCAACAGCAACAGTCACAAAAATAGCAACATCTACAAAAACACAATGACCATACACACAGTGCAGCGAAGTCTTTGGGCATCCTGCCTGATAGTCTCCATCCTGCTCCTCTACTGGACGGACTCCACGCGAGGATACTTCGCCGCCATCGATGAGGCCAAGACCAGCAAAAACTGCTTCTGCGAGGTAGGTTTTAATTGAATTACTGCATATAGTATATGGTAAATGAGACTAGACTATATAATATGCTCAAGACTATAAGGACATATTTAAAAATGAGTCATTAATTTCTAGTCGTCATCATAAAATCCCTTTTTAACGTTAGGAATATTGTTTTTTTATTTTTTAATACTTTAATACTTCTCATTTATTAATATTAATAATGAAATGGAATATCTTTGCATATATTTTGTATCTAATTCTTAAGAAAAAATCTGTCTTCGTAATAATCACGATAAGCTCATAAAATATATGAAATAATAGATACGAATTTTAAAAGAATTTACAGTTTTATATATATTTATAAAAGTTTTAGTAAAGTTTTGTTATAAAATTCCATTTTATGTGCTCTTATCACCACCGCAACTGTATGATATTTATATATTTCGCAGTTGGAGGGATCTATAAACGACTGCAGCTGCGATGTGGACACCGTGGACCACTTTAACAACATGAAGATCTTTCCGCGGCTGCAAAGTCTGCTGGTGAAGAACTTCTTCCGCTTCTACAAGGTGAACCTAAGACAGGAGTGTCCTTTCTGGCCGGACGACAGTCGCTGTGCGATCCGCTTCTGCCAGGTGGAAAACTGTGAGGAGCAGGCGATTCCCCAGGGCATCAAGGACAAGGGCGAGCACAAGGAGAAGGCCGCGTTTAAGGTGGGTTTGCGGGAATTTACATTACCCGGCTATCAGCGCTACGCCCCTTATCTCTTTCATTCTTTTGCTAAAGTCATTGGTACTTCACTATCTACCTGAAAACTGAATGGGTTTGCAAGTGATTTATTTATATTCGAATGTTTGTGGCTCCGCAAGAATGAACCGCATCTGTAATCTCATATTGAGCGACCGCGGGTAATGATGTGGCCTTTTATTTTGTTTTGCAATGCTGACGTGGTTTTGGTATCTCATCAAGCGTTCATCCGCCCCTTAGTCGATTTACTTACCTACAATATGAATTGATGAATTACTCCTTCGGAGACATGCATTCTAAATAATCCTAGCTATTTAGCTAAAATTAATCACTTATTTAAAATTAACTGATAGGAAATATATCCTATTTTTATTTGTTTCAAGCCAATAGGGATTTTATCTTCATAAACCAAAAGATACAACAAACACTTGTTATTAATCATATATATTTAGAATTTTTTCCAAAAGATAGAGACAATGGCTGTTAATGTTGAACAATGTATTAACCAAATAACGTTATTGAAAAACTCAGTTAAAATCCACAAAACTCTCTTCAATGGAATTGTGACTGTTTTACTACTCCAGCTCGATTGTTTGCGCAGTTGTTTTACTTAACTTACTGACTTCCTCATCTGAATCTTATCTTTACAGTATACGCGGGAGGCACAGGTGGAGGGTGGAGCCTGCTCGGATGGAGAAGATTTCGACAGTTCCCTGGGATTCCTGGACACGAGTATCAGTGACCAGGCGCACAGGGAATTCGAGCTGTGGGCAAAGCACGACGAAGCGGAGGAAGACTTTTGCATTGTGGACGACCACGAGGAGGGCTCCCAGTATGTGGATCTGCTCTTGAATCCCGAGCGGTACACCGGCTATCGCGGAGAGTCGGCGCACCGCATCTGGAAGAGCATCTATCTGGAGAACTGCTTCGGAGGGAACAACGAGACGGCTAATAAGTTCTCCAGCTATGTACCCCACATGGATCTGCGGGACGTGTGCTTGGAACAGCGTGCCTTTTACCGCATTATCTCTGGCCTCCACTCTAGCATCAACATCCATCTGTGCTCCAAGTATCTCCTGTCCGAATCGAAGGACTTCCTCGATCCGCAGGGCATCTGGGGTCCGAACGCCAATGAATTTAAGAAGCGCTTCAGTCCGGAAACAACAGGCGGCGAGGGTCCACATTGGCTGCGAAATCTCTATTTCATCTACTTAGTGGAACTCCGTGCCCTAGCCAAGGCTGCTCCCTATCTGCGTCGCGAGGATTATTACACGGGCATTGCCGAGGAGGATGAGGAGGTCAAGCTGGCCATCAATGATATGCTAAGTGTTGTAGAGTGAGTAAAGAGTTATTCTCTTTTTAAAATACATATTTATGACACTTCTTTTTTCAGAAATTTCCAATCGCACTTTGACGAGAACGCACTTTTCAGCAGCGGCATCGCCTCCATTAAGTTCAAGCACGACTACAAGGAGAAGTTCCGCAACATATCTCGCATTATGAGCTGCGTTGGCTGCGACAAGTGCAAGCTGTGGGGCAAGCTGCAAACCCAGGGATTGGGCACAGCTCTTAAGATCCTCTACTCGGAGAAACTTAACCTGGCTACGGAAAGCGGGCTGTGGGACAAGCCGCACATCGAAGCGGATCCCATCTTCAGGCTGTCGCGTACAGAGATTGTAGCTCTGTTTAATGCTTTTGGCAGGTGGGTTTTCAGTGGTTATAAAGTGGTTTAATTTATAAGTTTTACGTTCCCTTGGGGGCTTACAATATCAACCACATCTAATGCTCATTGTCCTTGCAGATTATCTAACAGTATATATGAGATGGAGAACTTCCGGCGAGTACTGAGGTAACACAGTCAACCTGGACTAACCGAGCGACGTTCCGGATCCCATTCGATTCACAGGAGCTGCTCTGCCCGGCCGCTCCACCTACTAGTTAATTCATACGCACATCGCTGGGGCTGCATATTGGGCATCCTCCTGAATGTGGTTCCCCTTCCATAGTTCTTAACACATGACCGGCCAGAGGCTAGCAACCCCAGGATAGCTGCTTCCCTGTACATATAAACTATTACCCCTAGGCTACTTGTACTTTAGGGCACCGTATCACCCTCAAAAAAAAGGAAACCAAATGACAAAAAAATAGCCTAGGAAGGATGCAGGTGTTTATTATAAGTTAGAATAGTATTTATTTTACCTGGAGGAGCTTGTAAGCAGAACTTAATGAGAAAGTAATCGCACTGTGCAATAACTCGACCTTACGACACAAGGATTAAAAATAAAACGTGCAGTCATATGTTTCTGTTCGAAAACCCCCTTTCTCACGTCTCCATCGATACGAGGCCTAGCAACCGAGTTGTTTGCTTTTCCAGCTGTCGGCTTTTGTGACATTTACAAATTGTTATCCGGTCAATCTGCAGTTGATTGCTCTTGTACTTATATTTTCTGTGCGAAATGGTGCTTCTAAGTGTGAAACGCGGAGACGAGGTCCTCTTCTTGTTCGAGACAAGTGTCAAGGAAAAGACCGACTCGGTGTTGCGGGATCTGGTGGCCCTCTATAATGGCCAACTAAAGATTCAGCGTGTCTGCATGGAGATTGAGGAGCTGGCTGAACATGGCACCATGGTACCGGCCGAAATGATTGGCCTAAACGAGGACCAAAGAGAAGAGCTGAAACTGAAGGATGTTTGGGCAGATAAGTGCATCCCGTCGGGTGGTTTCACCATCAACAAGGATCCACTTCTTCGCCGTAATGGGCAGCAGCCTACTGAGGCGATGCAGAAGGTCCTGGCGAATGCCATGACCGATGCCAAGGCTATGGTGAATCGGGTAAGATATGGGGCATGAAGATTATTAAGAATATGGTTCTGATAGAAGAACATACCTCAGACCCCAAAAAATCGACCCATCCTAAAAACAGACTATAGTTTTGTTGATATTAATTTACATTCTAAATCCCTTTTAGCGTCTAGCCAAGTCCTCACAGACCTTAACCCTAAAAGTCGTTGAGGAGGCCATGAACCTTCTTCGAGGAGCCGTGACCATTGTATATCCCATGCAATTGCCGCCCCACGATACAATTCGTATGGAGTTCACCAACACCGAGGATCTGAGTGGCACCCAGGCCTCCAAGGAGGTAATAGAGCCCTCCAAGGCTCAGTTCTGGTTTGCAGGACGCCAGATGCTGATGGGAAAGCTCATGAGCGACTACTTGGGCCATAATGACAAGACCAAGGTGGGTGTCCTTGGGATATAGTAACTTCTTCTTTTATAACCCAATCCATCTTAGGTAGTGGTTAAGCTTAATCAACTTGGTGACGGACCACCGGCACGTGAAGCTGTGATCTCCGATCCCATGCGTCAACAGATGATGGCCGAAGCCTTTCGCCGCCAGGAGGAACTCAAGGTAAGACCCGCTTTTTGTAGAGAGAATTCCAAATGGTGTTTTATTTGCTATAATACGAGTATAAGTATATCAGATATAAGTAGATACTGCTGCTCCATTGGTTAAACTAGTTTAAGAAAACGTTGAATATTGCATAGCTACAAAGTCGAGAGTTAAGGCGATTCGGATGCCTATGTCCTTTTTTCTAGAGGAGGCTGCTTCTTTGGCCTGTCCTGGTGTTTTTTTCGTTCAGCAGATGTCAGTTGGTTTATGCTCTATGCTCTATATAAATGCAACTTTGTCTAAGGCGCATCTGCTGGAACTATTAGAATGGGGATCGGGTAAATAAAGCTCGGCCATCTTCTCGTTGTTCATACCTAACCAGTATATATATGTGTGATTATTCTTATTTAACCAAGAAAAGTAAAGAACTGTTCCTCTGTTAGTTGGTGTAAACGTTGTATAAATGCGCTGAGTAGAATTTAAATTCAGTTCCCCTTGTACAATGCACAGGTCCATAAAGTTTGGTGCTGTTTTATATGGTCTTCCAGGAGTAATCCTCTTTGGAATCCTTTTTTTTCAATGCGAAACTTGCCTTGCAAGTTGAGGGTAATCCGCTTAAAGTATGACTAGTGGTTTCTCCGGCACATCGCACGTGGTAGCCTTCTCCTGATCCTGGTCGAAATTCTGCTCACTGGCTCCCGAATCTCCGGTGGGACTGAGTGGTATCAGCGACTTTGTGCTGCCGATCATCCCGTGACTGTCCAGCGGAAGTCCATGATCCGACAGCTCTTGACCACCTACGGCCTGGTGTTCCAGATCAACCACATCGTCGTCCGTATCGTACATCTGATCCTGCTGCTTGTTTACCATTCCCGTGCCAAATACCTCATCGTTATCCGACTCGTCACCGGCACAAACACAACGCATCTTGGCATCGTCGCCCACCTGAAATGGGTATAAGTAAGATGTTTTTAAATGGGTTTTTATAAAATTTTGAGTTTTAAATTAAAGATAAAATAGATCATTGGATCATTCAGAAAAACCCCTTAAATAGGAATAAAACTACCCACCTTGACGGACTTGGTAATGATACAAAGAGAAATAGAGGACACCACAAACAGCACAATGGGCACTATCAGCGATACCAGGAGCTCCCTGTAAACCTTATCCAAGTCATAGCGTACCACCACAAACTCCACATTCGAATCCTGCAAGAGGAAATGGAAACCTTAAGTAAACTGATACCAGATGTGTGGAATTCAAATGGGGTAGAGCCTTTACACAAACCTTGTTATAATAACATTGGTAGCGTGACTGGGCGGTGTTGTTGTCGCCATCGTTGCCATAGCGAGCCACAAAGTCTTTGCATTCCCCTTTCAGTGTGTTAACGCAACCCTCCAGGTTGATGAACAGTTTCTTCCAGCTGAAAATGGTCAGGTTGGCCTGGTTGGGCAAGTACCTCTGCTCGGGATCCACTGATCTGGTGCTGTTCTCATAGATTGTCCAAAACTGGGTGAAGTTCATGAAGGGAGCGGGCAAAGTGTCGTGTTCCAAAAGGGTTCCATTCAGACAATCCGTGGCACTGTTCAGGATTCCCGGTAGTTAGCTATATCTTGATTGTTTCCATGCGGTCTATACTCACGTGATGCGATTGTCTGATTCTCGGGTGACCGTAGCGCAGTTGGTCAACAGGTTGCCATCGTCCTCTTTCCAGAATTCAAAGGGTTCGATGCGGACGCCATGCTCGGATCCTCGGGCCTGGTTGAAAGCCACTGCGGTCTCGCAATCGGCTGTGATGAGATTGTCTTCCTTTAAGGGATACAGTTAAAAAGGATTAAGAGGCTTTCCAATTAAATTTTCTTATAATTTTCACTTACATGCATAATGAGAGTGTTAACATTTGCAGTCGTTATCTTCGAGCAATAGCGATCGCAGCTGAAGGGCTTCTTAATCTTGGTGCAGTGCACTCCGTGACACTCGAAAAATCCATTCAACTTAGTGTTATCCTTCTGCGAGTTGATAATATGGCCATCGGCCTTGTGATGGCACAGGAAGAACTCGGACATATTCTTGCAGTGTCCTGTGATTATGGCAATCAGTTAATGAAACTTTATGGACACTCAGAAATATTAAACTTACCATTGGAGCAGTTGAAGACTCCTCTGATGTTATTGCAGGCGGTGCCGTTGTTGCAATTGAACTTGTTCAGGCGACTCAGGTCAATCTGCAAGGGGATGACGAAGGATAATGGCCATTCAATGATCGTTAAACTCTCGTGGCGCCAAGTGCCCATAAAGACTGAGGGCCAAATTCTTGGCATGCCTCATCGCCTATCCATTAGTAGCCACAACCTCAAGTGGGCTAAGAATGAGTCACGGTCTTACTCCTACTTTAGTGTAATATCTAAGACGATGACGTCTTTAACTGTGGGTGGTCATTGGTTGGGCGTTTAGCTTAAGGTAGTCCCATAGTGGGATTAAGCATCTCGCCTTTTTAAAATTTTTTAGTAGTTAGGCATGTATGGTATCTAGAGATGTACACCTTCAGCTTTCTTTCATTCTTAACTACAGGTTAATTATTGGCGACTTAAAGCTGATATTGTGGCTTATAGCTCCTATTTCGAGCCTAACAGAAGCCATAATACCAACGCTCTTTGAAGAATTGTTTTCTTTACATTATAATATTTTAAAACACATTTTTTAAAGGGTTTTTGTTATAGCTTTGCCAAAAAAAAAATGCACAGCCAAAGTAATGACTGTTTTGTGCAGCTAAGAACCTATAGAATCAATTCCAAGTGGATTTGGTAAAATTTATTTTTTGAGCGATTATCGCATTTTTCATAAGGGGTAACACTTGATTTTTTCCGATAATCGGCTCAAAAAAAATATTTTTGCTGAGAATACCAATGGATAGGAAATTTTGTAACGAATTCAACGAGGTATGACATTCCAATATTTGACCATTATTTCCATCAGTTTTGATCAAAAAACAAAAAAATAGAGCTGATTTTTTCCGAATTCTGGCCATCAAAAACATATATTTACACACACATTTTTAAGGGTTTTTTGTTGTAACTTTGTCAAAATAAGACGTACAGCCAAAATAATGACTGTTTTGTGCAGCTAAGAATCTATACAATCAATTTCAGGTGGATTTATTAAATTTTATTTTTTGAGCGATTTTCGCATTTTTTATAAGGGGTAACATCATCTTTTTTTGCGAAATTTGGACCAAAATAAAATTTTTTAGCTGAGAATACCAATGGATTGGAAATTTTGTAACGACTTCAACGAGGTATGACATTCCAATATATGACCATTATTTCCATCAGTTTTGATCAAAAAACCGAAAAATAAAGCAGATTTTTTCCGGATTTTGGCCATCAAAAACATATGTATATTTAAACACACATTTTTAAAGGTTTTTTGTTGTAACTTTGCCAAAATAACCCCACAGCCAAAATAATGACTGTTTTGTGCAGCTAAGAACCTATACAATCAATTCCAGGTGAATTTGGTAAATTTTATTTTTTGAGCGATTTTCACATTTTTTATAAGGGGTAACATCGTCTTTTTTAAAGAAAATCGGCCCAAAATAAAATTTTTTAGCTGAGAATACCAATGGATAGGAAATTTTGTAACGAATTCATCGAGGTATGACATTCCAAGATCTGACCATTGTTTCCATCAGTTTTGATCTAAAACCCGAAAAATAGCGATAATTTTTTCCGGATTTTGGCCTTTTGATGACGAGGTTTAAAAAAAAAATACAATTTTTTGCTGAGAATTCCAATGGATTGAAAATAATAGTATAATACTCATTTGTTTTATTTAAACTACCATATTAAATATCAGACTTTTTTGTATCTAACTTTCAATAGTTGGTCAGTACTTATTCTTTTATTAGTTTTAGAAAACTACTAGCTTATTTCTTTCAAAGAATGAAACCTTTAACCAAAATAAGCTTCTACCCGATTTTTAATCAGTAAAGTGCCGTGGAAAATAACGAACTTTAATGACCTTCAACAGAAGTTTAAACTTGACTATTCCCTGAGTAAATGTTCCGTAGTGTCTATAAATAATGGTATTTCCTCAAGCTAAATATGTCGTATACGAAAGCCACTTTTACTACATTAGAGGTTTATTATGACCCCAATAACTCACCATGGCGCAGGATGTGTTCGTCACCCGCGTGCAGTTGTTCAGCTGAATGTCCGTGCCATTGCGCCGCACTATGGAGTGGATCTGGGGACAGAAGCCACTGGTCTTGGTCAGGCACCACTCGCCGCAGGAGGCCCAGGGGCAGTTGTTGGGCATCTGGCGGTCCACCGTCTGGCACATGACCGGATCGAGTTCGAAGCCCGACTTGAAGGCCCTAAAAAAGGCAATTTTATTATGAGCTATATATACTTAAAGAGGGAAGGATACCCACTTCAAAGAGGGCGAGTAGATGGCCACGCTCAGGTAGACGATGGACACGCAGGACAGCACCATGGTCAGCTGGCACAGGCAGATGGCGCGACAGATGCGCGAATCCTGCTCGGGAATCACCCGCGGTTTGTCCTTGCGCCGCGCCATTTTCCTGGAGGAGTGGATCCCCTGCCAGGTGGAGATTCCAGGAGTGGGAACCTAATTCACAGCTAATTTACGACTTGTTGATTTGGTGGCCCACTTTCCGGCCGTGCTCCTCCTGCCCAATGGTTTCCAATTTATTTTCACCCTCCGCCGTTTTCAAGGTGATTCCTTTTTGTTTGCTGGGTGGGTGGGTTTCACTTTTGGGTGGTGGTGGTTGGGTGGGTGGTTTATTTATTTGTTTGTTTGTGGGTGGGTTGCCTTTCTATTTTAGTTAGCTTTGCTTATTTGTATTGGAACTTTAAAATTACTTGGACTTGCAGAGGAGGGATATTAGAAATGGAAGGTGGGGAACTGGGACGTTTATGTTTGATGAATGAGTTCAGATTGTTTTCGAGGCGCTGTTTTCCCCGATTTTCGCACGTCTGCTCCCGACAGCAACTGAGTCCTGACTGAATCCCGGAGCGGAAGGAGTGCGGAATGCCAGGGCTGCCAAAGGACACTGCGCACTTTTACTTTTTCGAGCCGAAAAGTGTGAAAGCGAAAGTGAAGGCCCAGGCCAAAACAAACCCTTGAGTGAAATGGAAATCGGGACAGGGATGGAGCCAGCTCAACAAATGGTTCCAGATCCTGGCAAACACGCCTGCGCCTGGAGAGGATTACCTCCACCGCTCTGCCCTTGTTTCTTCCTACTCTCCCACAATTTTAAGAAATGAAAACAGCTCTTTTTTTAGCATTTCTCCACATTTGTTTTGGTTTCTTTCATTTTTTTTTAATTGTTTATTAAATAGGCCGTTAGCTGGTTTAATTTGTTTATTGATAAAGACACGTTAAGTAAAAAATTTTAATCGTTTTGCATTCAAATTGGTTTGTTCTTCGGTTTGGTTTGTATGATTTAAAAAATTCTCATAAGCAACGTGCGTTATATCGGTTCTGCTAAGCTATATGTATACGTATATATCTATATATATATTGTTATAATCGGCTTAGATGTTGGTTTTTACATAAGATTGTTAAAACTATTTCAAAAATGTTGAGAGTGTCGTCCCAATGTGAGTGTGTGTGTGTGGGTGAATGAGTAATTTGGTTCCGCTGCTTATCCCCATGGATTGTATCTGGTATCTTGTGGTAAATCTATCATTCTGGGTTTTTGTTTTTTTGGAGTCCGTACCGCCCCGTTTCTTTGAATCTCTGCCGCTTGTTATTTTTTGCGGCCCGAAGCGGAATCGGTTCTATACAATTTGTGTGGTTTGTTTGATTGGTTTTTTTTTTGGTTTTCGCTTTCCGTTTAGTTAGTTTTAGTTTTACGAATTTACTTAATATTTTTATGACTACTATCACATTTTGTTGAAAACAAGCGATTCTTTAATTGGTATTGGTATTATCTCTGTGGAAATCGAAGTCGAGAGTGGAGCATCGCTGCCGCCTCCAATAAAGCCAGTTAAGCCAACCAAAGTTCCATATAACTAGCGTAACAATATGATGGCAAAGTTTATGTTAACAAATCTCTTGAGCGCAAAATTTCGAATAAAATGGCTGAGAAAAAGTTAATTCTTTCGGCGATGCTCCGCTTGCTTTATATATATATTATATATCGTCCGATGTGATGGCAAATGGAATTTTTATATTGTATGTTTGTATATATATCTAGGTAAGCTATGTGTTGTGGTACAGACTACAAAGTTGAATTTGCTATTTGTTAAGGGCTTTAACTAATGTTATTTTTGCTAGTATTCCATATCATCATCTTCGTCACTGTGACACAGAAGTTTGCTAGAATTGGAATGCGATTGGAACAGAGTTCTTAATCAATGCTAGTCAGATATAAGCGGTATAAATATATATGCTAAGATTGGGATAAACGGATCATGCCATTCTAGAATCGAAATTAACAAATATTTTTAAAAAAGAAAAGCATGCAAAAAAACATTTTCTAAAACATTTCTAGTATAAGATCGTTAAATTTGAAAGGTATTCGATATGTAATTATATAATTATAGATTAAATATTTGGAGAAAAAGAGAAAATGCTGAGTTCTAATTAAGTTTAACCTGAAAGAAACCTCTTGTAATTTATCTGCATAGTTTGAGACCTTTATATTTTGAGTACTTTTCTTGTGAGTTTCGATTGTTTTTTTTTTTTGTTTGAGTGAACATGTGTATATAGCATACAAAACTCCTTTCGGATTGGTTTTTGTTCTTGTGCGTTAGAGAAAATCCTTACGGTGCTGGATTTTCTAAGGCTACGATTAAAGAGTATTAAGGAAGGCAGTAATTGCTAAGGACACTTCAGAGTAACAATTCGATTTGGGTTTCATAGGATGTGGGTGTTTTTTTTCAGTGGAAAAGCGAACTGGGTGCCACACAATATATGTGCAAGTTATCTGGATCGAGGGATCCAGGGATATATATCAAATACCATCGCACTTAACCTATCACAATACATTTCTGGGGGTCAAAGTTCAGGCACTCTCGCATTGATTACATCATATTCAAAATACATTCAAAGACAACGACTTTTCCGTGTTACATTTCATGCAGTTAACGATCCTGAAAGTAATATAGAGTAGTAAAGAGAGAGATAGAAAAGCTTATGGGAAAAATAAATATCGAAGGGAACTAAGGGTTACATTCATGTTTTCGACTTATGGATCACGCCAATATCTTAACGATTAACAAAAGGATAAGTTACACTCATAGGAGAATACAGCATGACAAAACGACTTTTGTTTGGTTTTCGACAATAATATCTTCATACAAGGCACAATGAGTTTATGGATCCATGGATCTGGGTGAGTGTTGTGTCTACTACAATATACAGATACGGATACTGGGGGGAGTAAATTTGCCGAACTTCGCAATGAATGAGAACAAGATGCAGGACAGCGCTGTTGGTGGTACATAGAATGGCACTCACTCTTCCTTGGTCGGGAACTTCTCGGCGTAGACCCGCGAGGATTTGTTGCACGCCTTCTCGCAACAGGGGCAGTACCAGTAGCTGAGCACCCCGATCGAGATGGCGAAGAGCACGTTCGGTATGATCAGCGACAGGATCAGGTGGTACAGGTTGTTCTCCCACGAGTACCGACCGATGACCACCTCTGGGTACGCCCTGCTATAGAAGCAGGGAAAGGGCTCCCCAATGTGCGAGAACCTGTTGAGTATTAGTTGGTTAATATAAATAGGTCAGGGGTATTTGGATTTTACAAACTCACCCATATTGCCTGGCAAACACACTGCAATTGGTCGTGGGTGGATAGCCACAGCCTTCTGAGTTAATCAGAAACTTAGTGTAGCTCACATCCCAGTTGACCGTGTCCAGGTCCCGAGGATTGCGCTCCCAGTCGCTGAAGGGGATGCGCGTATAGTTGACAAACAACTGATGGCACCTGGTATTAACAAGGTTTAACTAGTGGTTATATTAAGTGCTTTTTATACCCTTGCAGAGGGTATTATAATTTTGGTCAAAAGTGTGCAACGCAGTGAAGGAGACATCTCCGACCCTATAAAGTATATATATTCTTGATCAGGATCACCTCCTGAGTTGATTTAGCCATGTCCGTCTGTCCGTCTGTCCGTCTGTCTGTCCGTCTGTCCGTCTGTCCGTCTGTCTGTTTCTACGCAAACTAGTCTCTCAGTTTTAAAGCTATCGAGTTCAAACTTTGCACACACCCTTCTTTCCTTTGCACGCAGTATATATGTCAGAACGGCCGGGATCGGCCGACTATATCCTATAGCTGCCATATAACTGATTGATCGGAAATGCCATAATTTTGGTGTTTGTAAAGTTAGGGAGCTGGGATTTTCTATGGCTTTTATATTTGGCCAATTAGTCCGACCTACCAAATTTCATAAGGATCGGCCGACTATATCCTATAGCTGCCATATAACTGATTGATCGGATATGCCATAACTTTGGTGTTTGTAAAGTTAGGAAGCTGGAATTTCCTATGGGTTTTATATTTGGCCAATCAATCCGACATACCAAATTTCATAAGGATCGGCTGACTATATCCTATAGCTGCCATATAACTGATTGATAGGAAATGCCATAACTTTGGTGTTTGTTAAGTTAGGAAGTTGGGATTTTCTATGGCTTTTATTTTTGGCCAATCAATCCGACCTATCAAATTTCATAAGGATCGGCCGACTATATCCTATAGCTGCCATATAACTGAACGATCGGAAATGCCATAACTTTGGTGTTCTTAAAGTTAGGAAGTTGGGATATTTTATAAGTATTAAGAATGCATCATATGAATAATTTTGGAGAATATAATATAATGAGTATTCTGCAAGGGTATATCAACTTCGGCTCCGCCCGAAGTTAGCTTTCCTTTCTTGTTTGTATACTCACTTGGTGAGTGATGAGGTGCAGCCCTCGCGGCAGGAGCTCCAGCTGCAGTTCTTGATGCCCTCCGCGTAGATGTGATCGATGACGATGCAGGTGACCGGCACCGGATCATAATCGGCTATGATCGTTGAGATGGCGGGGTCCACGACGAAGGGTATCAGGAAGAGGAATGTGAACACCGACAAAATGGCAGTCGTACCTGTGGATTATAATCCCCTTCAGTCGCAATGGCGTTTAACCTGAAGGATCTTTCAATCTCACCAAGGCACACGGAGGTATAGAACTTTGCCTTCTCGAGCAGCGTGTCCATCTCGATCTCCTCGCGCTTGGCCTTGATGGCGTCTACGCATCCGCTCCCCGTTCGCACCGGCGATTGGCAGGAGGAGCGCATCGAGCCGGATGCGGAGCCGCATCCCGATACCGATCCCGATCCCGCCGAGCCGCAGCGGCTGCTGTTCAGGCTGATCTTGCTGGCGGAGAGCGTCTGCGCCGAGAGCGTCGGACTCGCCGGCATCGACGTGGTCGTGGTCAGCGTGGAGCTCTTCTTCATGGCGGAGATTGGTTGTTTTTTGGTTGTGTGGGGTGCTTAGATTGTAGTTGGATCGGTAAAAGCCTTTAAAATGAACACCGCTAACATTCGCGCTTTCTACAACAATTAAGATCTACTCTCTCGGACTCCCTTATTTTTTTTTGGAGATTTCTTAGCCTAATCCTCTAACGATCTCCTGCCCATTTGCCTTATTTTTTTAGCCGAAATGGAAAATGTTTCTCTTATTTTGTATTTTGTATTTTTTTTTCTCTTGTATATTGATTAGTTTTTGTTTATCTAAATTAATGCTTATTATGTTTTTTGTTAACCTTTGGGGATTAACCTTTTTGCTTTGACTTCTTCGACTAGTTGTCGTTACGAGATTTCTTTTAGATTTTTGATCACGCATCCCTCACTCTAAGCCATTTTTGAATTTCTCTGCCCTCTTTCCCGGTGACTGAATCTGGTTCTATATCTTCTATATCTTCAGCCGATTCTGGTGTCGTGTGTGTGGGTGTGGGTATATCTCTGTGTGTGTGTATCTGTGCTGTGCAAGTGGGTGTGTGTGTGCGTTTATTTCCTAGTTAAACTAAGTTCCATAATAGCAATCATCTAAAATTTACCCTCTTTCACGCCTTCTTTAAACCTCTCGCTATCCTACAGTTTCTGCAGTTCCTAGTTCCAAAAAATCGCCCAACTAAACAGTCGAAAATTATACTAATATTGTCTTCAGATCTGTTGATCCTTGTATCTTGATAATGTTTGTCCTGGTTAACTCAGGAGTGTCCTTGCAAGCCTTTTGAGGTGTGGTCCGTGTCTCAGTGTCTTTCTGTGTGTTCTGGGTGTTGTTGGAGTGTCAAAAGTTCGATGGAACGATTACAAAGAATTTCAAGTTGCTCGATTGTGTTCTGACTTTCAGCTGGTGCCCAACTCCAATTATTGCAAAGCGAAGACTCCCGTCTGGTGTGTCGGACTGTCTTCCTGGAGCAGAGGAATGCCTGGAAGATGTTATATGTATTTAGTTATGTGGTTAAGATTATAGACTTAGTGGGGTATTATAAAGACTAAAAGTGGTTAACATAAATAGTCCATTAATCAACTATTTCAGAGGTTGACTAGATTCCGTTCAAGTAATTCAATTTTAGTATTCTATTCTAAAGGAGTTACGAGGGGTATCTGTCATAAAAAAAGGGAGTGGGACACTTATTCATTTTCTATTATCCCTTCTGCTCTAATTTCTAATCATAAACGATGTTTTAATAGATTAAATATAGAAACTGCTCTATAGGTATCATAAATAGATCACTTCAGATACCTAGAACACTTGGTAGACCTCTCACATGTGGGCTACCGCAAAGACTGTAAGTCATTAGAAAAATACATTAAAGAACCCACAAATTAGAGGATTGTAGTATAGAGCTTACGTGACGGATCTCATAGGGCCATAACCTCATCGCCGCCGCCCCCGCCCAAGTCGCCGTTGGTGGGTGCGCCCACATTGTTCTTATTTAAGACCGTCTCCGTATCCACACAGCCCTTGAATCGCATCTTGGCATCATCGCCCACGTAGACGGTGGTCTGGCACATGATCAGGATGGAACAGGAGACCACAAACAGAACCGATGGCACCACCGAAGCGAACACAAACTGGCGATAGGTGACCTCCAGGTCGAAACGTGCCACCACCACATCCTTTTTCCCGGGCGAATAGAAGCACGGGAAGCGTGCCCTGGCATTGTGATCACTGCCATCCCGGCCAAAGTCCTTCAGAAACTCCTTGCACTCGTCCATCAGGGTGTTCACACAGCCCTCCAGGTTAATCATCAGTTTGGACTCATTGGAGATGGTCAGATCCACATCGGGTGGTGCTATCTCGGGCACTGGCGTGGCCACCGAAACGTGCAGGTGGCTCAGATATGTGAAGTTGGTCAGGTCGCTGAGCATGTTGTGCTCCAGGGTGGAGCCATTGATGCAGTCCACCGCATCCACCTGATCCGAGGTGTGTTTGATGAAGTAGCACGAGGTCATGGCCACATTATCGTTGGACTCGTTCCATACTTCCTCCAGGGTCTCGGCATTAATGGCATTCTGGCACTGGGATAGGTACACCTTGTCCCCACTCAGGACCACCACGTTCTTGTTCCGGGTGGGTATATCCACGCACCTCCTGTCGCAGTTGTAGGGAGTCCTTATTTTCCGGCAGGTCCCCCTGCTGCAGGAGTACAACCCACTGATGTCCATGCAGTTGATCTTACCCCGTCGTCCGGAACACTTGACCGGTGCATCGCTGTTGTGGAAGACGCACTCAAAGGCATCCGTGATGTTCAAGCACTGGCCAGCGGTGCAATTGAAAGTGCCCGTGAGATTCTTGCACTCATCGTTGATGCAGCGAGCCTTGTCCGCCCGATCCTGGTCAATCCCATAGCACGTTTTATTGGCCGAATTGGTGCAGTTCTGGAATATCAAGTTGCTGCCATTGCTGCGGAGATTCACATAGATCTGGATGCAGGCACCGGAGGTCTTGCTCAGGCACCACTCGCCGCAGCTGCCCCACTCGCAGTTATCCTTGTTCACCGCCCGCGTGGTGGTGCACATCACCGGCGTGGGATCGATGCCACTCTTGAAGGCCCTCGTGGATGGCATGTATATGGCCACCGTGAGGTAAACGAGGGCCACGGAGCTCAGCACCAAAGTCATCTGGCAAATGCATATGGTGCCGCATATCCGGGTGTCCTGCGGCGGGACGACCAAGTCCTCGGTGGCCACCTTCTTCTTCCCCATCTCTTATGGCTTCACTACCCTGTAATTCACTGGTTCCTGTCCTAATGCCTCTCCTAAAGCCCAGTGGTTAATCCCTCGCGTGCAATCCAATTAGAAGCTCGTCATGTCGGTTTTTTTTAGTCTATCGATTTCGAGCTGCAAAACGCTGCGTGGGCGGTGTTGTATGTTATATAACCCTGCGTAGGTTGAGATTTTCCTCTGACTTTTCCTTTCACACCAGCAACAGCAGAGGAAAACTTCGCAGGCTGCGCACGTTTCCAGCTGGAGGACACGTTTTTTGGATAGGCCAACCTATCGATTTTTGGCTAGCTGACCCCACAGAAATTCACTTTAATCACTGGGGTTCATAAGATGGCCAGTTGCATCACGTGCTGGTTGAGGCACTTCCTCCAAAGCCACTCCTTTGGCTTCCGTTTTTATAGATTTAATGGGTCACCATACGGTTTTATGTAATTTATCTACAATTATTTGTTAATTCTTGAGCAGTGCTATTTTGTGGTAATTATTTTTTCCCTTCGAGTTACTGGCAGCTGGTGCTCGTGACCCAAGGCTTCTGCTCCTCACTGGCGACTGCATTCGGCTCGGCTCCGTGTGGGTCTCTGTGCTTCTCCGGGTCTCTGGGCTTTCCAGCTCTCCGGAATTTCTCCTCACTGACCGCCGACAACATGTCACATATCGTGGTGGGTCTCGTGAATTTTCTGCTCTCGCTTTTGGCACAAATCTCGGCTCTGCGCGCGCACTTTATTGCAAAATCAATAATTCCGCATTCACACATTCACTGCTGAAAAGAGCAGGCATCCCCAATCCCTTCACCCCGCCCACGCTCGCCAAGCTGGCTCCAATCGTTTCCCATTCCCAGCGAGAGTTCCCATTGATTAAGTCGGCCTCCACATGGCCAACAGTGCAAGTGCACCGAGTGCCATGTGCGGGGGCTTTGTGTTTGCTCCAGTTATGGTCAACCACTCCTCAGGTTCTTCCATACAAATATGCTCATGTGATACCCACAACTATACATACAATGTTCAAAAGGAACTACTAATTTAGGTTGCGAATTTTTAAAGAGTTGCAATGATTTTGTAATAATATATAAAGTAAAAGTTACCAAGAGTAACCATCATAAATTGGTATGGTATACTGTAAAATATGTAATGTTTGCATTCAAAGAGAAGTGTAAGGCAATTTTTATAAAAAACAAAACAGAAATTTATGCAATCCTTATCTCAAATGGATACATATTACTCATTATTTGTCCCATGCCGAACATCATTTGTTTCTTCTGTACAATTTTCTTTGCTCGTAAAGTTCAAGTTATTGCGTTGTTATACAAAATTTCTTTAAACCAAAATGATTTTAGATGTAGTTGTAGTTCTTTAAAAAAATGCTAACAATGTAACAATGAAACCAATTTCAACTCCATATTATGCAGACGCATACCTGTGGCTCAGTCACTAATTTTTCTGATTATATGAACTTACGATATAATAGAACAAAGAATTAAGCTAATTTAATTTGTTTGGTAATCAAACAGCTTACTTGATTACTAACAATAAACAAATAAAAAAATAAAAGTACAGTGAACGCATACATTTGTCTATATTTGCCAACTAAATTACAAATACAATGACTGATTAGTAAAATTATCTACACAACGGAAAACAATAGGTTTATAATAAACTGTTCAACTATTTTGGATAGATCTTAAAATACAAAGATCGCTTATGTGGCAAGTCTGTAAAATGCAAAATTGCATCAATCTAATATACAAGATTGAACAAAAATAATTAGGGAATTAAGAACATGACTAATACTTTGCAAAAAACAATTATGAGTGTCATAAACAAAAAAAATTGTTAAGAAAGTGTGATATGGTGATCTTGTTCAAAGTGGGAGTTTACAATATTTATAAGTTAATGATGTTAGTTTTCAAATAGTAGGGCGTATCTGGATATTAGATTTCTCAATAAAAGTAGGTTAGCACAGCTTTTTTGTTTCCGTGTAATATCCGAACTGAGTGATGTGGCTGCGGATCCGGAGATGTGGCTCCTCGCAGGAGATTTGCTATGTGGGATGCTCCCATGCGGGACTCCCCTATCCATCCTTGATGGGATTTCCCCAGGACTTGGCGATGATCCTGATGGTGTGGCCATTAAGTTTGGGTCCCAGGAGCGGATTCAATTGCGCCAAATAGCAACAGAGCCAAAAAAGCCAACAAACGACGGCGGTCAGCAGGAAGATGCAGCGCACCAGGTCATCGTGCGGTCCCTTGGTCACCAGGATGGGTCCGAACTTTCCCACTGCCACCCAGAAGGAGGTGAAGAACATGATCATCAGGATGACTTCCATGGCAGCTCTTTCTTCGTACTCAACTTTCCTTTTGCGTCAAATTAAAATATGTTTTTATCAATCAGCTGTGCCAATGGAAATGCACTAGCGCGTTTCAACAAAATCCTCACCTGTCGGGCGCTGCTCAACACTAGCACAAACACTGTTAATTATTTTTAGCACTGCCCAACTGTTTATTTGGCGGTTTAATTTTATTGCTTTAATTTTTTATGAACGATAATTTTTATTTTGTGGCGCTTTTATCTGAGAAGCTTATTATTATTTGCGAATTTGCTACAAATGCATGCCAATATGAGCAAATATGGGTTTTACATGCTAGCGTAGTGTTTAACTATTTATCAAGAGTTAAAAAAATGTTCAATGTAAAACTGTATTTTATTTAATGTAAAGGGAAAATAAAAAAGACTATCGAGGTTTTCAAAGGTTTTGTGAAAGCTGTGACTTATATGCTCGAAGTCGTGGGAGATATTTAAATACATTGTAATTCAAAACATTGTCTTTACCTATTAAGATAAATTTGGTTGTTGTTAAAAATAATAATTACTTACAGCTATTTATATGTCTACGTATTTTTAAACTATTTTTTTCGTTCTTCCAACCATAATCTATTATAAATTTATTATGGGACATTGATATATTTAGATGTGAATGACGTATTTCATTGAAGTACCAGTTGAAAATTAATTGACATGTATAGGATTGACATGTATATTGACTAAGAGAAGTTCGGGTCTGTATAGAACTACATGTAGGCGAACCCTTGAGCCGACCTAAAAGGTATCAAAAAGTTGGTTGCAAAGTGATTTTCTATCGAAACCACCAATTGGACACGCTCCGCTTTTGTTTTTATCACAGGCCAAATGGAATAATCAATGGCCACAGGGAGGAATTCTAGTTGCACGCTAAATCAATGGGAAATGCGCTTGGATGTAGGCAATGATTTTGAGGGTCATTGAAGGATCTGTAGGTGGATACCATTTCGGATCGAAATTCTCGGGCACCAGCAGCAGTACTCACATGTAAATTATGGATGTTTCAGCCTCGAGTGTTAAGGTTTATTTACGTTCCTGCTTTTTGTGACACGCACACGCGGGTTTCGGGGGCGGTGGGCGTGGGGGGCAGGATAACGACACCAATACACTTGCAGCAATCGCAGTCACAGTTGCACAGTGTGCCATCAAAATCGTTTCATAACCCGCACATGGCTCACTCTTCGACGGGTCTCGACGCTCTATTCGATTTCCTTTTTGATCCTTAGCTAACCAAGTGCCACAAATGCTGCGTTTCTGCACTTTTCCACCATTTCCCCGTGGCTGGGCGAGCCGAGAAAATTCCAAACAGGAGAACTCGTTACCGTTACGTTTCCCTGCTGTTTACGCCACTTCTGACACTTCTCAGCTTTCGACCAGTGGAGCTCTCCCATTCTGGTGGGGATCGGCGGGCGCCTGCGCCGACTGGCTTTACGTCATCGCTGACTGCTGTTGCTCCCAGCAGGAGAATGGGCAAGAGAGAGCTTTCAGTAGTGCTGCCCAGAATAAAAAGGCTTAAAAAAGAAAACTAGTGGAAAAGAGTATATTAGAAATGCTAAATCCTTATACTATCGTCTTTTAATGTCATTGTTCTCCGTTTTATTAAAAAAATTATAATACCCTCTGCAAGGGTATAATAAATATGTTTATTTAAAAATAAATAATAGATTCGATTTATAGAAAAAAATATTTAAATTTAATTTATATAGATAAAAAATAAAAAAAATTTCGAACAAATTATTTTAATGTATCTTTTCCATGTAATTCCAAATTTAAGTCATAAGTAGATCAAGCTTTCTTATTTGTGTATATACTTAATAAAATGGTTCTATATATAGAAATAGACCCATATGTTAACGATTTCGATGATTTAACTTTATGAAAAACAAATATATTTAACACTGTTATCAAAGAAAATATATTTACCAAATATTAATCGTAAATATATAATGTTTGTATATAAATCCAAAAACAAGTCTCCAAGTTGTTGGTCCTAAATAATGCATAAATGCATCATGAAAATAGTAAGCGTGGTAATATTTTTGTTTTTTTATGAATAATCCTTTGTCCTTTTTAGTTGCCTTTAAGTGGCGACCGACCAAAGCATTATAGGAATTTGTTTGTGGCTGTTTTTGCTTTATTAACTAGAAATAGCTAGGCGTAGCTTAAAAATCCTGTAAAAGCCAGACGAAGAGCAATTTTAATGCCCTCATTGGCACATTCCAAGTCAAATTAGCTAGATCTGGCAAGTTATTGGCCAAAAGGGGAACCCTGGGAGCACAAGTTTTTCAACGGTGCAGGCGAAAGCTCCGCTCCGAAGCTCCAATTGGACTTGGGCCCTTAATTTCGCTGCAGCGTTGCCAGTGGCAGGCAGTCCTTTCGCTGAAGAGTTCAGCCGTCGTGTTGTCGCCTTGCTCCTTTTTTTGGTTGTCGCCGTCGCCGTTGTCGTTGCCTTTGTCGTCGTAGTTGTCGTTGTCGTTGTCGCCCTGCTCTATTGTTGCCACCAAAAAAGAAACGCAAGAAACGAACTAAAATGCCACGAAAGAAAATGTGGAGCGTGAATGTGGCGATTGTTCAGCGTTAGCAACTTTTGACCCCGTGCGCAATCAGGTCACCATTGTTCCATGGTAAACAGTGGTAAACCGAATAACCGAAAACCGAGAAACAGCAAATGTGCTGGTGATTTGTGATTTAAAATGCGTAATCCTCGTTCCGTTGTCATCGTGTTCACCGCGTAACCTGAACCTTGAGTAAACACACACAGGCGCAAGTCGAAAAGGGGAGCACGCAACTCTACGTCACAAGAGCTTCATAGAAAGGGGAGTGGGGAATGGCCCCAACCAAAATACCTAAAATCTACTGTAGTTCAACTACATTTAATTGATCCCGAAAAGGGGAGAGAGAAATCTTTATAGAGGACCTCCCAAAAATCGTTTCGTGCAAGGCACAAGAAGTTGGCTCTACTCTAGCCCACTCACTCACTCCTTTGAGAGGTCCTTTGCCGCATAATTTCGATTGGAGCTGGTTCTCTCTCTTTTGTTCACCCCCTTTCTCTAAGGCTCTGTGTACGAGTGAGTGTGTTTTGGAGGAGGGGGAGGTCCTTGCATGTGCACGGCCTGTTTCCAGTTCGTATTCTGGTGTTTGTGTGAGTGAAAGCGTGCCAAATGAATTGAAAATTACATGTGGCTCCGCTATGTCTCCCCCCTCTCAAACCCCCTCCATCCCCCCACAAATGCATCGAAGGAGTTTTATTATTTAAACACGACGAGTTGAGCTCATTGGTGCCGTGCCGCGTGTGTTTCCGTTTCGTAACACTCGAGGTTACATAAAAATAACCATCGTCACCTTTTCTGGGGCTTTAAAAATATACACGCATTAATGGGAAAGCGCGGCCTAACGGTATTTTAAAACTCACACACACCCCCTCACTCTCACACTCTCTTACAGCCTTTGTGAACTGCACGTGGCAAGGATAGCAAGGATAACGGGAGAAAGAGCAAGCGAGAGAGAGAGAGAGCGAGCAAGAAATAGCCAAGCAAAGCAAAATAGTGAACAAGAAAAACAAAACTGTCCGTCCAGCATTCTTTTTTCTACACACATTTAAAGAATGTAAATGTAAAGTGAGTCAAAATCAGAGAGAGAGACCTCAAAACTGGCCATTGGCAGGCCAAAAACACACAGACAGACAGGACACTCGACACTCGACACACTCAAACACACACATACGCACACGTATCCTGCTTTGCCGCAGTCATAAAATAATCAAGAAGCAGCTAAATCAGGCAAAAGCAAGAGGACTGCAGCGAGCTGATGTTGACGAAACATCTCCGTTGGGACGAATAAAGCAATTAGCCAGGGTTCGAAATTGCCCCCACTGCCAGGAGGAGAGGAGAAAAGGATGCAGGATGCGTGGGACTCCATGGAGTATTTAGCCTAATCGAGTGATGCCGAGCACAAAAATGCAGGACCCTCCCTGCAAAAGTCAGCGATGTGCGAGATAACGGGACACCGGACAGCCAGGCAACCCAAGAAAAAGAAGCAAAAGCAAAAGCAAACGAAACGAGAAATCGAACTCTCCCTGTGATATAACTTGCACCGTAATCGTAATCTAGCTCGTAGTTATCGTTATCGATTAATAATCGCCATAATCGCCGCAATTGTAAGCTAAGTTAAAGCACTAATATCGCCGCTCTGCTCCGCCGCCGCCACCGCCAGACCTGCGCCTAAAAATCAAAGATATATATATATATATATATTATAGACTATAGACTACTAAACCCGACCAAAATCGAGCTAAAATATGGGAGACGAGCAGGACAAGCGTACCGGCAAGGAGAAGCTGCTGTTCTACACCACCGCCTTCTTCATCCTGCTGGGAACTTTCAGCCTGTTTGCCTTCCTGTTCCTGGTGCCCTTCGTGATCGAGCCCGCCTTCACCACGATCTTCATGCAGTTCGAGGAGGTCCCAGCTCTTTGCGAAACCTACGACACGGAGATCTATTATGGGGCCAAGAACTGCTCGTGGGCGTCCTGCCGCGAGGGCTGCACCAAGGACATCTACACGTGCACCCAGATCAGGGTGAACTACCGCCTGAATCTGTACAACTACACCGATGAGTTTAACTTCACGGAGTATCACATCAATCTCAAGGAATCGGAGCGCATATTGCCGCCCGTGAAGAGAACGGATCGCTATGAGCGGGCCCTGAGAAGCGACTACGAGTATGATAATCTGGGCACCGGTGGCACTGGACTGGATATCGACCTGGGTGGTGGGCGGCTGGAGCAGCTGAATTTCGGGGATGCCGATGGCTCCAACGGGTATCTCATCGAGGATTCAGAGGATACGCGCGGGCTCAGTGCCTCGGGCACTCTCATTCCGGATGAGCGAAGGCCCTTCGACGAGATCTCCGAGCTTAATGAGGGCCTCATGGGCAATCGATCCAGGTACTACTATGTGGGGGCGAGGCTCTTTCCGAACGTCAAGGGTTGTGGCTATCCGCCCATGCTCAATTGTACCATCTGGTTGAAGAGGTACACCAAGATCGGCATGAAGTTTCCCTGCTACTACTCCAAGGTGGATCCCAGTTTGGTCATTAGTGACCTTGACTACTGGCAGAACACCCTGAATCTGGTGTACTCAATGGCCATTCCCATACCCTCGTTCATCATCTCGGTGATTTATCTGACGTACGCCTACTTCAAGATCTACAACGAGGACGAGGAGACGGCGCCGCTGGACAAAAATGCTGAGGACATGGATATCGATGACATCGATGCCGTGGACGACAGTGATGGCGCCGTGCTGGCGGACAATGTAGCCGGCAGCCAGATCATCAACATGGACTCCACCACCAACGACAGTTGTCTGGAAGGTGTTCTGCCCAACGGCGGTCCTGGAATGACCGCCTCCATATCGCAGGGCGGCTCCGTGACCACCCCGGGTGGTCATCCGTACATCGCGCAGAGTCCGGCGGGCTCGCAGATGACGCCCAACTCTGAGATGAACTCGTTTGGCCACCAGCTGAAGGTCCAGATGGCCGACGAGCTGTCCAGGGACTCACTGGAAAACGGAGTTATCTCCACGTCCAACTCAGTGCAAGGGTAAGATCGGAAGATAAAGGAGGCTTTGGGATTTCGGTGTTGGTCATTTCCTTCCTGTTAGGGCTCTCCCTATTTAACCAATAAATTCGGGGTACCAAAAAAAAATCATCCTTAGAATGGATTATAGTAATAATCAATTCTAGATTTCTCCTGAAACAGTTATTTATTAAAACAAGAAAATTTAAATTTTTCTTAAAAGCAAAAACTCTATTATCTTCCTTATCCTAAACAAGTTTTAGTAATTTAATTAATTGTTTTTGATTAACAAGAAGTAAAACCTTAAAAAAGGCTTCTAAAAGGATTATCACATATATTACGTATACTTGATATACGTGTCAAGTATACGTAGTTATCCGTATCAAGTATACATATCAAGTTTACGTATATCAAGTATACGAAATATTTTTGTTTATCTAGAGGCTTTTTTGAAGTATACGTATATATACGTATCAATATGATATCTACAGAAGACTACGTATACGTTCTTTACTCTAATAAGAATTTAGTTCCTTTGTAAAATTTTGTAGCATATAATTATGGGCAAAAGGCTGAAAGTTTTAAAATAAATAATATATAATAATAATAATAAATTAAGTTTTCCTAAGTTAATTTTTCCTAGAAACATTTACTAGATCTAAATTGTAAGCCAAAAACTAATAAGGTCAATAACTTTCCTTGCAGAAACTTGAGCAAGACGATGACGACGAGTATCTCAACTCCTCCTGGGCCGACGGCGGCAGTCTGAAACGTCAGGCGCATGGTCTGGAAAATGTTAGATTCCGATTCGGAAAATGAGCCGCTGCTGGATTCGTAGGCCGCCGAGCGGACAACGGACCACGGTGCAGGCGGAGATCATCGGAGCAGAGACCCAATCCAAAAAGAAAAACCCAAAAGCGATAACCCCAAGTATTTCTACCCGAAACAATCGACAACAACGCAGCGAATGCGACCGAACCTGAATACCTTCAGAGCTGTTAGCGGCACCTAAATGAACTATGATAGATTATATTTACCTTATGGACTAGCTACTCAGACACCCACTCACCCACATAAAGCACGCTAAAAATCCGGAGTAACTCCGGATCGCCACACCCACTCAAAATTGCAACACGGGCATTAGTATATCTGCACAGTATCTGATATCTGGAGGATGGACTTAGACGGATAATGGATAATGCCACATCTTAGGCGATTGGTACAAAATACAATAAACATAGACCGCAAGAACTCGAGCATGGAGTGCTATTCATATACCTAGAGGAAACTATAATACTTATACACGCATATACAAATATTTACTTGAATTATTTTTCTATTCGCAACAATCGTCGTCGTCTCGAGGCCGAAAAACACAGAAAAACTCCACACTACCCATGCCCAAAAACCAAAAACCGAATAAAGCAAATAAAAGTAAAACAGAACAAAGGGCGCCACTTATTTACAAATCGATAAATCGGGGCGCTGAGGTTTTTTAAATATTGTAATGCCCATTCAAGTGCTGCAAACCGTAAAACACAAGTGAGAAACACTCGAAACCAAAAACAGAAATTAAATTTAGCGAACGAACGCATCGTGTATTTAATTTAAAAGTAATGATAAACGAAAGCAAGTCGAATGCCTATATTTGAAGTAAATTAAATTAAAATTAAATTAAATTAAATTAACGTAAATTAAATAACAATTGTTATCCTTCAAATTAATGCGGATAAAAACTCACAGCTTTAACTAACTGAAACGGAGGCATAAGATTTTTCTTCTACATATTTATTTTATTAAGATTATTAACGGATAATGAATATTTATAGGTCCTACAAATGGTTCAAGCTATTCAATTAAAAACTTACAAATAAAATATTGCATTAAATCTTAATAATTTAGGTCTGAAATTAAATATAAAATAACGTTTCCTTTTTATATTACAAACAAAACCAAAAACCGAAAGACATTTCTAAAATCGAAGCCGAATAATCTCGAAATTCGTTGCCTAGGCATATAGAAGCATCCGCATCAGCATCCGCATCCGCATCAATAAACAGCACTTTTGCGCATAATGTATCAATGAAAGGCGGTAATAAACTACACAGAAAATTGTTTGTTTTTAACGACAGTTGGAGAATGTTAACAAGAGTCAAGCAATGGCAAAACAGAAGCGCAACTATTAGCTAATATCATGTAAAACAGACAAACAAATAACAAAATGCTACTAGAATTGAAACCAAATACATGAAAATCTCGAAATAAATACGCATTTAGCAGCCTAAATTTACCTGGTGTTTTATTTTGGATTTCAGCTTCATGAAATTTCATAGATTAACTTACCATTGAACTTTTCTATTACAGACCTTTACTAAAATTTGTTTGTTTTTAACAATGGTTGGGTTTTAAATAACTAAAATGAAACGTGGTATCATATTTTTACGTAAAATGCTCAGAGAGTTTTTCAAAAATATTCATATGTTGTAAAATAATATTTTTGCTTATTTTTTAAAGATGAATAAACAAACTCTTTTCTATGAATTTGGGCTATATAGTGGTTTTTCAAAGGTGTTAAAATCGACAATAGATTTTAAAATCGTTCTTCCAATAAGAATTTGTTATACATTTGGCGCCATCTGGTTTAGTTTCCCCGGACATTTTCCAACACTACTAAGCCCTAGGCAAGAAAGAGGAAGCAATCAGCTGTGGCCGTTTTCTACTGTGCCGAGAAAAATTAAAATTTGCCTAACAAATTCTTGTTGGTTTTCTTTAAGCCGAAACACGGCTAGCCAACTATATTCACGCTGCAGCTTAACCTATATAGACGACAGATTCTACAAAGGAACTTGAAAAACAAGCCCGAAATAGGGTAAAACCTGGGCTGTGGACAACCGACCGCACCGTCGGCAACATTTTTTTTGTAAACAAATAATTTGCGGAGGAAAAACACTCGTCTAGCAATCAACAAATGCCGTTCAGCTGAGTAAATCGCTAAGAAATCGCAACGATGGACAATAAGAAGGATATTTACAACCTTTGGGTGCAGTACACAACAAAGGTGAGGTGATAAGAAGTGGATTTTTGTGGGTGGAGGTGGAGCAGGGGGAGGTGCTCCGGTTGCGGGGGCGGCAACAAAATGTTTAAAGCATTAGTCACCGCAAACAAAAGCAATTGTTTATCAGCTTTTCAAGTAGTGTAGTGATTATATAATCCATGAAGGGCTCAAGCTAAATCCTTCCCTCTCTCTCGCTCTCTTTCTTACAGAACGATGAGACCCATTTCCGGCAGTTTGTGGCCCGCTTTGTGGCTATTTGGAGGAGCCAACTGCAGCTGGACTTCCAGGCAGAGAACTGCCCCATGTGGAACGAGGTTCAGCCGGATAGTGGTCCCCATTTGGGTCGCCTGCCGGATGAACTGCTGCCCGCCATCGGCAAGTTCATCATTGTGGCCAGAGATGCCTGCGAAACGGAAGGAAAACTAGAGGAGGAAGACATAGAACAGGTGGCTATCCTCGTCGACTGCCTGGTGATCGTGTGCCGGCACTTCGACAACATTCTGGCCGTCATTAAGTACGAGTACAAGCCTAATCTGATCGCCATACTCTCAAGAGTATTCAAGCAGGTAAGTGGATTTCTTAAACACATTGCTAAATCTGATAACCAATCGCTTGTTTTTCTTTGTTCCAGCAAATGGAGCTACCTCAAGCCGTGCCCGCTATAAGCCATCTGTTTAGCAGCTTCTCGGCTTTTTTGGAGGTCATGTATGATCCGTATTTGACGTGGCGGAGCTTTGTGCGGGGCCATTCAGCAGACTACACTCGACTCTCCTATAAGCCCCACTCGGTTCATGTGGAAATCGTTCCATTTATTTATGGTAAGGGGCATTACAAAAGACAATGATGGAAAGTTGTAAAGTGTTATCTTTTACCTGCCTTTTGCAGTAAAGATATATCTTGAACTCTTATCTATAACAAACAAACTCCACATTTTTGCTTTCTCCCATCACTGCCCTTTAATTGTTTAAATTACTAACACTAATGCTTTGCATTGCTTTCAGATTGCTTTCAGGAGGAGAAGCTAATCCGATACGCGGAAATGGGCGAGAGCCTGCTGAACATCCTCGGCGCTGTGATTTGCGGCTCGCAGGTAGCGCCAGAAAGCGTCTCCAGTCCCCTCCTGTGTAGTCCTTTCTCTCTTTTAAAACCGTTTAATTATTAACCTCACTTCCTGACAGTTTTCCTTAATGCTCACTGCTATCGCTATTAATGTTCATTAGAGCTCTATCATTCCGTTTCCTTGTCCACTTTCGTTTCATTTCGTGTATCGTTGATGTGGCTGGATCCTCTCCAGCTGCAACTGAAAGTGCAGAAGTCTCTAAACTCGACCTCGACTTTGACAAATAGAAATACTAACGCTCTAACCACTTCTTCACTTGCCCCCTGCTCGGGTGATGGGCTGCTAGACTGTGATAACTTGGTGAGTGGTGGAACCATCTGTTGTCCCGATCATTGTTGTCCCCTAACCGTTGTCCATGCATGCCATTGCTTGTCTGTCCCACGACCCTGTTGAACTCAACCCGTATAATGGTGATTTTGGTTCGCCCAGCGCAATGGCATGAAGGCCATTTGCCCCGCCACGGTATCCATCACCATGAGTATTCTGCGGCAGTGGGAAAGTGCCAATAAGCTGCGCCGCGTGGCCCTTCAATGTTATGCCCTGATGGTCATAGTGCTACAAAAATCTAGTCCGGAAGAAGTAAGTAACTGCCTATATCAATTTCACATTTTACTAATATCAACTTTCTTCTAAAACAGCGCCAAATAGACCTAGTTACATTAGTTCAACTTTATTGTGATGCTCTCCAAGAGCTGCTGGCCACCAAACACTTTGACAGCGGGGATGCCAACTTTGATATAGCCAGCGATGCAGACCAGGATGTGGCTATCGACATGGCTGCTCTCTCCTCTACGGTTGCGGCTGTGAAATTCTTTGTGGCTGGCGATGCCGCTGTTAGTGAGGCAATAGCTGATTCCAACCTACTGGAACTGCTCACCAGTCTGCCAAAGCTTATAAAGGTAAGGATATGATACAAACGGTATAAGTTTCTTTATTAATATTTCCTATTTAAAATAGCCCTGGAACATCACCCACTCGAGTTCTCTATGCAGCACAATGGAGGCTTTGGCTACCTTGACACGCCACTCCCCCCAATCTGCATCCCAGTTGCGTCAGGGTGATCGCATCGAGAGGATTTTTTCCAGCCTCCAGGAGTTTGGGAACCCAACAGTGGCTCTGTTGGATACTTGCTTCATGCTGGGATACGATGAAAATGGGCACTTGTTGCTGCTTCCAGAGGTTATGCTGCAATTGCTCAATTGGGTGCCAACGCTCCAGGAAAGAGAACAGCTGCATGTGACAAACCTAGTGCTTAAGGGCTGCACCGACCATTATGGAACGTAAGTGAAGTGACTAATAGACAAGGAATAAATTTCATGTTTTATAAATTAATACTATAGAGAAATTATTAATTTTATTATTATTCAACAGAAAATCTGTAGCATGCGGCAGTCATATCATCAAGGCTGTATGTGGCTGCCTACTAAAAGCGGAGTCTCTGGCGGAAAACTGCGTTCAGAATCTCATCAAGCTGATAGAGGAACTTAGCAAACTCAGTATTGTGCCCGCGGAGCTAAAGTGCATCTTTATGTTGTTGCGTCAGGGAACGAAGTTCCCACAGAGCAAGCAGCTTCAGCAGGTACAACTCACTATTAGCAGTTATTGTTTTTATCTAACTAACTAATCATTCCAGACTCTGGTGGTGATTGCCCTGCAAAGTTTAAGAGGCAGCAACTCCTGCGCGCAGTACTTTTCAATCGAGCAGCCGACTGATGGAATTCTTGTGCCGGACATCCGGAACTGGACCATCTCCGGCTCATATGGCTTTATTTTCCACATCCTGGTACGCTTTAATCAGCTGAAGGAGCAGTCCAGTAGTCGACGTATGCTGCTTACCCTGCAAACAGTCAGTGGCAGTGGATTCGAAGTTTTTGTTCAGCCCAACGGAAATGTTGTGGTGGCAGCTCTAACCCGGAGGGAATATCTTACATCCTCCACAGCCACGAAGACGCTGATGGATGGCCAATGGCATTACTTAACGGTGGCGATAACACCACCAAAGCGACCCTTTTCATATAGTCAAATCAACATCTATGTCGATTTTGTTCAGAAACTAAGTGCCACACTGAAAGTTCAGGCGGTTAATGAACCCTTTATACACTGTTCTATTGGAGCTGTAGTGGCGCCACCACAACCAGGAGAAGTGGCCAGGACTGGGATAATGCCCAGGTCCTCATCCCAGGAGAGCGGATCCAGTGGCTACCGGGGAATGTTACCAAGCTTATTGGAACGAACCCTCTCCGCAAATGTAAGTGTACAATCATTTATTTACTTTTTCATTTCTCACTTGGATTATCAATTTAGGTATCCAATTATTTCACCCTGCCTATGCGCACGCAGACGGCTTTCGATCCTAATGTGAAGAACTTTCCCATCGGAATGCAGGATACTGTGTTTGGAGAGCAAACTTGTCTGCACGGACATCTGGGCGGAGTACTGCTAGCAGATCCCACAACCAGTCTGAAGACCATATTCGATGCGGGCTCCAATTTCAGTTCCATCTTCTCCCAAGACAATGACCTACTGGAACTTAACTCTCGCTTTGTGTTTTGCTATGCCCCTGGAGCAGTGTGGCATGGAATGTGCCAGGATCTTATTCCAGGCGGAAAATATCCGGGAAGGATTAATGCTCAACACTGCAAGATCGTAAAGATCCAGGAGACAATCAACAGTATTGGAGGTGTCTGTGCAATACTGCCCATCCTGCATAAGTTGGTGAGTTCGGATCAGGCAGCAGACATCTCGATTGGTAGCGTGAGCGAGGAATCCTTGTCATGCGCTCCGACGCCCTCGGCTGAGGAGTTCACCGACTGGGAAATGCTGTCCTCGAACTCGTACACCGAGTGGAAGATGCTGCAGCACCCGTTGGCCAGCTTTCTCTGCCTGCTGCGCTACCTCACTCACGAGCACGAGACGAACCAGGAGCAGCTGCTGAGTAGCGAATGTCTGGCCATTGTGGGCACAATGCTCCAACGGTGTCCGCCGGCTCTGTTTGATGTGAATGCCTTGATGGCCACTCATCTCCTGATGGAGTCACTGCAGGGACACAAAGCGGAGGCTGGTGGACAGCTCCTGGACGCATTGTACTCTCACATTGTCTTCGACTTTGCTATCTGGTCGCGACTGCAGTTCCAAATCACACTAGGACATGCGCAGTACCTGAGTGCCATGATCAAGAATGATAGAAAGTTCTTTCGTAAGCGGTATGGAGTGCAGTTCGTCCTGGACGTAGTGCGTCAGTACTACTCCACGCCGGACAGCATCAGCGACGACGACGCCAAGACCATTCGGGCTACACTTTTCGGCATCATTAAGTTCTATCTACAAAAGGAAGTGAACATCAAGGAGGTGAATTCAATGGTTGCGTTTCTGGCATCGGTGCGGCAGGACGTGGTTCTAGTAGAGTTTCTGGAGATGATGACCTTTTATATACGCGGAAAGAACTGCAAGGATCAGATGGTGCTTCTCCTGCACGAACCACAGTCCGCCAATCTTATCTACAATTTCTTTGTGGACAAAAGCTACAATAATGAGATTCAAGAGGCGGCCATAAGGGTAAGATTGACTATTTTATTCATTTTATAAGGTTGCTTACATTTGCCTTTTCTAGTTTATCAGTGGGCTATTGGCCACATCGCGGGTGCATCAAAAGTATAAGCAAGTGCTTCGTCTGTACGATCAGGCTACCGAGCAGAGCATGTTCCCTGGATTCTTCTCCTTCATCACTCCATTATCCCTAAGCTCTACGATCCTATTCCACTTGGTAGATGAAATGCTAGGCTTGCAACCGGACTATGCAGGCCTTATTTTTCTGGTCTATCATGTGAGCAGTTCTGATCTTCCCGTTAAACTGGAGATCGCCAAACGATTGCTACAGACCACCTTCGTCAAGCAGCACTCCACAGTTGCCATGGCCAAGCAAACGGGGTGGCAGGAGTCAATAGCCCGTCTGCTTATTCGCAAGCCTCTCACCAGTTCGCCACCAGACGAAGAGAAGCGACGCAGTTTCGGCATCAACTTGGATGTGCTGTTGGAGGATAACTCAAGCTTCCTTGCTCAAGCAGATCTTATTACGTTCTCGGAGCAGGAGATTGGCCTGGCTCAATTGCAGCAGCAGCAACAGGAGGAGATGAGCGACAGTGGCCTGATTCTAAACGAAATCCAGGCCAGTGTTTCTGAAGCAGCCACTGTCATCGAGAGTGAAATTAAAGGTAATTTTATTACTTTATTATTATATATATATATATATAGGTACTAATGTGTTTAAATTTCAGAACTGGCGGAATCCGTTTCCGGAGCCGTGGTTGAAAATGCCAGCAGTTTGTTCTCCGTCATTAGGCAGACCACCCATGATCTGCAGGACACCTTTGAGTCCCTTACGTTGGGCAGCTCCACTGACACCGCCGATGGCTCCCAGACCCCTTCGATTCAGCGTGAGGAATCTCTAAGCTCTGACAGTTCCACACAGTCGCCGCACGGACCGCCTAAGAAAAGCGACTCCTTAGAGGTAATATACATTTTTCTAAATATAAAATAAATTATCTAATTCGTAATTTTCTTCACAGAGCACGTCTGCTTTTGACTTTGTCGCCGATGGCGATGTGGACACCGAGGAGCAGTTGGTTTATCTAGTCTCAAATACGCTCTTCAATATTTTCTGGCGCGGTATTCCTAACGATCATCCGCAGTGCTGGCAAGAGCGTGGCCAAGTGCTGGGCTGCATTAATTTATTGGCTTTGAACAATGAGCTGATCACTTCGCATCTCTCGCTGCGCCTCCGGATTCTTGAGATGGCCGTGCAGGCCTCACTTTTCGATCTTTCGGAGCACGGCAGTCAGACGCTAGTCAACCAGGAGAACGCCTCGCACATTCTGCGCATGGTTTATGAGCTGGTGGTTCTAGGCTCCAATGAGGACGAGTCAAAGAAGTGTTCCACCAAACTGCTGGACGGTGTTCTAGCCTTATTGGACGCACTGATGATCTTCCAACAGGGATCTGATGATTGGTCGGACATGATTCGATTATGCTTGGGACTATTACTCAAGTGTTCGCATCATCCGAATCCTGGAATTGTGGCCATGGCAACGGCGAAACTGCACGCTATTCTTCAAAGTCGTTCTACTGAGGATCCTGCAGAGCTCTCTTACCTTCTTTACAGCATCAATAGGGCTTTGGATAATGCCATTGAAGGTGGGTTCTTAACTAATTGTATTTCATAATATGATTTTTAATTGATTTTTTTATTATTTTAGTTGGCAATCCGGAGGAGTATTCATTCTTGATGCCAGTGATGAAAGCCCTGCTGGAGAAATGTCGTTTTGCCTTCAATTTGGATTCCACTCTCCCAGATCTGCCTTCAACTTCGTCTGGTCCTGTCTTCTTCAATGATTTTCAAATGTACAGCACCAGCAAAAAATGGAGAAACTTTATTGAACGCATGGTGAGTTATGGGTTTTTATGTTTTAGGGCCAGCTTTGTATATATTTTATGACAGTTTTATGTAGTACTCGATAGATTTATAGTTATTAAGAACTATTTTAATTTATTCAACATCCTTAGTCTAGTTTTCAATACAACTTAATAACTTATTGCTAAAGTCTAAGTATTAGTTAACCAAGTCTTTAAGCTATGCCTCCTTTTAATTCAGTATAGTTTGTGGTTTTTTGGCAAGTTTTGACGCAGCCCATGGAGATTTCGCTCCATTTCCCGATCGCTGAGAGGGCTCTTGAACAGCGTCGTATCGAAGACGCCCTTGGTGGTTCGCTTGGAGGTAGGACCTCCTCTTCCGGAATTCGACGGCTGCAGGGCCAGCGGCGACACTGGACCGTGATTCCTCAGAGAACCGGGGCGGGTTGGTCGTGAACCACGTCCTCCTGTTGTGGGTATGAATGGTTGCCGGGTGGGTGGTGCAATGGTGCCATCGTAGTAACTCTGCGAGTGCGATTGATCAATCCTAACACTCGTGGTGATGGGGTCAGGTGAACTAGGATTTTCGGGTTGGGGGTTTGTGCGATATCGGGACGTGCCGCGACTTCTACTCCGACCGGTAGTGGGAGTTCCGGGAGTACTTGTCACAATGGTGGGTATGAATGCCGTGCGGGTAGGACTGCTCCTTCCCCTCATGGGACTCCAAGGTGCCGGAGTAGTCGAAGTCGTTGTTGTGGGTGTGACAAAATTAAAGAAGGTCTGCTTTCTCTCCACATAATGTGAGCTATTCGTATCCGTATCTGCATTTTCATGCGATTCCCCTGAGTGGCTATCCGCATCATAGGCCTGCTGGAGCTCAGGAACATCTAGTGTATGCTTTCCTGGCACGATTCCTGCACTGGGCTTTCGCTTCCTCTTTCGCCGCTTGGAGCTACCAGACGCATGGGCATCTGAAGTTATTTCATTCTGATCCGGAGAGGATGCCAGAATGGGTGGATAGGACTCCTGCTCATCTCGGTTGGAGGCTTCGAAAGGCACGGGATCATAGATGGGCACTTCGTAGCTAGATTTTGGAAAATCAAAACTAGGAAACTTGTGGTGTATATTCAAGGGTAATTCCTGCGAGGGTGGTGCATAGTCGTCTTGTGGGTAGCTCTGAATTGAATGCGAATCGGAGGATATGTAGTTTGTAGGAGGATGCTGAGGTGGTTGGTCGTAGGTTAATGAAGGAGGATGTTGATAGCTGTTGGAGTGATCCTGAGGTGGTTGGTCATAGCTGGAGGAGGGATGCTGAGGAGGTTGATTATAACTAGGTGACGGATGTTGAGGAGGCTGATCATAACTGGAAGAGGGATGTTGAGGAGGCTGATCATAACTAGATGAAGGATGTTGGGGAGGCTGATTATAACTGGACGAAGGATGTTGGGGAGGTTGATCATAACTGGATGAAGGATGTTGGGGAGGCTGGTTATAAGTGGAAGGAGGATGCTGAGAAGGTCGATCATAACTGGATGAAGGATGCTGAGCGGGCTGATTATAAGTGGAAGGAGGATGCTGTGGTGGGGCGTGGCCATTAGATGGAGGATGCTGAGGAGGCTTCACATAATTATTAGACGGTGGCTCGGCAAATCCATCATGTGATTGCGAAGGATGAGGTGGTACATAGCTCTGCTGGTGATTCGATTGATAGGAAGTGCTAATCTCAAAAGCGGGCGGGGAATAGGCAATCTCAAAGTTGGGACTATGATTGGAACCATGTTTAGGCGGCTGTTTCGGTGGCTCAGCGAAGTTCTGATGGTAGCCCACGTTGGGAATCTTCTGCTCATAAATGGAATAGGAATCGGGAGCGGGCAGATCCTGATGCGGGTAGCTGGGAACCGGTGCCGGAGCAGTGGGTACCCCATACTTGGTAGCTGGCGGATGAGCAGGAGCAGGAGGTGGCTCATAGTGCGAGGCAAATGAGTGATCCGGCTGGAAACTTTGCTGTAGAGGAGGCAATCCGTACTTCTGGTGGGGAACATGTTCGTGGGTGGTAACCAAGGCGAAATTCAGGCTCGGGAACTTGTGTCCTCCATAAAGATCAGGTTCCGTATCATGGTTATAGAAATCCAGATCCATGGACTGCGCTTCGTAGCTTGAAGTGGGTATCTTGAAGTCAGCTCCATCGAACTTCAGATGCTGGAAGTCATCAAGGGAGAAACTGGGCTCCTCGATGTGGGCAGGAAACGATGGCTTCGAGTAGCGAATGTGAGGTGGAGGTGGTCCGTATTTGATCTTCGGTGGACCTTTTGTGCGTCGGCGCACCTTGGAACGCTTAACCACGGCGAAGGGCGGCTGTCGGCGGTATCGGATCAGTTTCTCCGCCGAAGGCACCAGCTCTGCTTTTGGCTCCGTCTTGGGCTCCCTCACAAGACTTGTGGCATTGGATTCGCTCAGGGCGAAGGGCAGCCAGACAGCCAGCTAAGGGGAAAGGGAAAATATAAAAGGCAAGGGTGAGTGGGTTAATCTTCCGCAAAAAAATGTCATCAGACAAATAAACTTTCTCCCCCCAAACTTAAATGCTGTCATCTCTGTGTGCTTTTGTCTTATGTGGCCAACCTTTGACTTTCCAACTAAGACTCACTAGCTCTCGGCGGTGGCTTCCGCCTCAGTGCCGCTCTGGCTCCCAGTTTCCCTAGCTCTTCACACGTAACATAGTTGCCATCACCTCCACCAGTGGCAATCGAGTCACGAGTCTCGAGTCTCGCTCGCCAGGCTCCTCGTAATTGTTGCATCGATGGGGGACTTTGCCGGCTGGCTGCTCTCACGCAATCCAGCCTCGAGAAGGAGGGATTGGGTGAGGAGGTACTGCAACTGGGCACCCGAAGGAGCCAAGCATTGAACCTGATCGTCGCCAGGTTCAGGTGTGAGCGCGAATCCGTTTGCAGCTGCTTGTTTTGGTTTTTGGCCATGACTCGTTTAGGCTTGTCTTGGCATTTTTTAGCCTATACCTATAGAAAATAACATAGCTTTACGGTGGAGAAATAAATCAATATTCAATACATTCCCATACTTGTTAAAAAGTTTTACTTAAAAGACATGTTCTTTACATTCAGCTAATACTACATATTTTCGGTCAATTGAATCGAATTCAAAGACCAATAAAGTGCTATCAAAACTAATTTTAACTTTTCGCAATAAAGACCTTTACAAGATTTCAATAAAATTGTTATACGCCTAAACTCACTGGCTTATACTATTAATTCACAAAGCATTTAATGTTTTTAAGAATCCTTATTTAAAAATCATAGTTTAGTTACTCCTTTTTTATAAGTCTCCTACGCTAGCACACATGAGATGTCAGCATAATTAATTCACATATTATTTAATCGCTTACAAAACAGGCCGAAAGCCAAAACAAATTGCACATTTCGAGCGGTAGACAAAACGCGAATTAAACTTTACGCGCTACTACTGCGTTTTTCCAAAAACAAATTCCGAAATCGACGCGAACATAAACACACAACTTTCATTGGCGGCGGTCCAGCGACTCCAAATCTAAATCCAAGTCGGAGCTGGAGTTTTTGAATTGAGATTGAGATTTTCCTCGCGGCTCCCGGTCGGTCACGACTCGTCGGACTTTCTTTCGGCAACTGAGCTGAGCACCAAGAAAGTGGTCTGGTTTTGTGGCTCGAAGAGGCGCAGCTGGAACCAGTCGAATGACAAAGCGGCGTCGCTGCCGATGCACCCACCTGGCGGAGATTTTACCAGAAATATTTTGCTCCTCTCTTTTATTTTCATTTTATTTTACTTAATTCGTTTGTGCCCAGTGCCTTGGAACGAGCACTGGATTCGCTGGAGGTGGTGGATTATGCAAAGAACCTCCCTCCGAAATACCTTCACTTGCGCAATGCGGATGCCTCCTGGATACGCCATATATCTCCCGGAGATCGGCGTTAAATAAACCCCAAATAAACAGCTATCGAGGAGCGCGTCTAACAGGTTTGCACAACTGCAATCAAGTGCTTCCTGTGCCCGCGGCACTATGCACATTGAACTTGAACCTGAACGGACGTGACGTGGACCGGGAGTGATCTCCTCAAGATCGCCCCGCCAGCAGATGGAACTCGAACACGCACGAAGACTGCCCCTGAATCGAATGAAAGCGAAAACAAATGCAAGCTGCCATAATCGTCAATCTCTATATCCATCACAATTCGCAGACTGAAAGAAAATATCGGAATTGCATTTGTCATTGATTGATTTTATTATATAAGTAAATAGTTGCTTCAGTTTATTTGGAACATTTCTGGAATTATAGTTTCAATTTAGATTAGATTTTATTTTAATTATTATTAATACCTTTCAATACCCCTAGACCTTTTCTAGGATTCATGGTATATAGAGGCACTTAAGACTTACAGATTATCACAAATAATATTAAATATAATATTAATAACCAGACCTCTTCTAACATATTTTGAAATTCTGTTTTAATAAATAGCCATGTTATTTTAATTTACAAAAATTAGTTCATATAGAAAGTTTACTAGGTTAAGGGAATAAATATTTAGTGAACAGTTTATTTTCGTGTACTGATCTCGAATTTCTCACTCTATCAGGTGAAGCCGCTGTACGATCGCTACCAGCGCGACATTGAGCTGCATCTGTGGGAGCCCATCAATCGCTTCTGGGCGGAGTGCTACGAGGCCTGCAAGGCGGCCTCCAAGAAAAGGGCCACCAATCAGGCGGAGAACAGACGACTCTTCCAGCAGAAGATCTACATGCCGTGGAAGGTGCGCCAGGTGGAGGAGATGCAGCGTCTGCAGGCGGCTGCACTGCACCACAAGACCGTCGACAGTCACATACGGAAGCGGTGGAAGACCGCCAAGCGTTTCTTGTACGGCCCCCGCGGACCCTGGTATACTGGGTGAGTTTCAAGCACATCAAATTATTTTTACACGGGGAGAATACACATTATTTTATGGTATTCTTACATTAAAGTTCGATTTGATTAAATAACCTAATTTTTTTAGCTCATTGACCTAATATTAAAAACCATCTTAATACAAATTCATAAAGTATTAAAGCACAAACTTTTTTATATTGTGTATAGCACCACAAACTTTTATAGGTATATCTCTCGAAAATTGTGTTTTAACAGCAAGTATTATGGGTTGCGCAATTTAGGTCCAAAAACCCTCTTAATAACATCTTCAAAATAAATAATTGATTAAGAGTCTAACTAATAATTAAATTCAAATCAAAACTAGAAGATATTTCTCTCTGTGTAAACGTCACCGAGCTCGCCCCGATTCCATTATGAAATGACGCGAAATTCAGCATTTTAATTGCCCGCCTCGCTTTTGAGGCGACAATTGTAATCGAGCGTGCCAACGTGCATGGGTATACTGGCATTGCCTGTGTGCGTGATCACTTAATCACCTGGAGGCACACACTTGGAGTCTCAAACACCGCTAAGCCACTCGAAGACTCAAACATGGCCAGAAGCCGCCGCGCTTTGTGTTAATTTCACTACGAAATGCAAACAAATCCCTCTCAATCATTAAAGTCTGCAGCGACGCCAACAGGGGTAGACCAAAAGACCATCGGAGCCACCAGTCCACAGTCCCCAGTCATCGTGATCATCAACACTCTCGGCTGGTGGTAACCACAATACGTTTAGTAGGTTGTTGCTGCCCGTGTTCCACTGCCACAATGGGTGAAATCCGTCAAAACAATGTCACAAATTGGTGATAATCTGATGGACATTTGTCTATCGGAATCTTAACTGCAAATCTTATTTGCATTTAAACAGGTGTTTGATTTTGGTGGCGAGATTTGCAGATTATCATATTTGGCTGAGCATTGGCTGTAAATTATTAATAGCAATTAAATATTTATTGCTATTTATAGCTAAATTGAGAAAATCTCTCTCAGTTTTGATGGTCTTAGCTAGCTTTAAACATTAAATAACCAAAATAAAATTTGGGAATTAGTCATATATCTTTGGAAATAGATGTATAGATGCTATTTTACTTACTATTAAAAATTTTTAGATTCTTCTCTTCTCAAAGGCTTAATGTTTTAAATGGGAAGTTTAAAATGTTTTAATTTTATTACGATTTAAAAATTAATAAATTTTCTTGTAAAACTTGAAATTACATTTTAGTATTATAAATTATTTCAATATTTAGTTTTTAAAGTCACAAAAAATTGTTTGCCTTAATAAACAGTGACCAATGTTTTCTACCATTTTCCTGCAATACATTCTTCCATTTCTCACAACTTTTGTTGATACCATAAAACTTGTTGGACCCATTGTAACACCTGCTGTTAGGTGCTGCAGCTCGCCTATTGTCTTACGCTTTCGCCCATGTCTTTTGGATCTGCCCCTCCACTTTCCCGCCCATGCCGTGTCGCGATTAACATTTCAATTTAATTTTATTAAATCATCAAAAGCGTTTAATGTCGAATGCAACAAAGGCCCGTCGCATTATGCAAGTGCAAATGTAACGAAAACTCATTATGCGATCCATAAATTTTTACATAAACCGAAATATGCACATAATTGAAGGCGCCCCATGCAGATGTGCAGACGAGGTGGGGTTTTTGGACGTCGCCGTCGGATGGAGGTCAGTTCTCGGACGGATCGAATGTATCAAATGGATGGAATTATCCCCATCCAACGCACTTGATTGGGGCGCGGCGAATGGCAATCAAATATCCAGTTTTCCATTGTGCCCGGTGGCCGGTTGCCAATTACTCGATCAGATCGATTGGCAATCGCAGCGGAGTGTTCTCCAACTGAGCCCATAAATTTCATTTAGACCACTTTGCATTGACGCTCGAATTACGCAGTTTTGTGTGGTGCGTGGTTCGGGCCTTGAGCGATTAGCCTGCGCTCCATTGACGGCCCCAGTTGCACCACCAACAACTGCAGCGGTAGCGGTGACCCGCTCAGGTGGTGCTTGTTCTGTTCTAAGGTCATACCGCTCACGGGGGAAAAACGAGACTGTGAAGTCCACTACGTGGCCCAAAATGAACATGGACTTCATGTGTTGCCAAAGCCAAAGGCCTTTTCGCCACTGAATTGCTGCTAATTTGGTTCTAATAACAACGATTAAGACTCAATGGTTTAGAGTTAAACGTATTTTGATAATTGTAATTCATAGCTGTTTTCAGCAATTATTATATGTTTATTCAACAAAATTATTTATTTCTAACTTTTATTAGACACACTCATTTCTGTTTTCGGCTTATAAGTAGTTGTTTGATTTCTTTAAAAGAAATTATTTATTTGATTAATGTATATATCTGGAAAGTTTGTTTCAAGCCTCAGCAAATAATTGACATGATTAATTTATCATAAGACTCTTGGATTGTATTTTTTTCATTTTTGAGTATCCTTATCTGTGTCATTCGCAACAATAATTATGTTCATTTAATTTCCAGTTATTTGGGTTTCTCACAGATCCTAAGAATAATTCAATTATTCAATTGAATTACCATTATTTATAAGTAACCCTGTTTATTTTAACAAAATACCTCAGCTTCGCATTGGATGGTCAAAATCCAAGCTCCCAATACGTTCATTCACCATTTTTCCCCTCGTCCCAAAAGAAAACTCCTTAACTTTCCATTTGCATAGCTTCGGTTCGTTTATTGCAATCTCGTTTCTTATTCTGCGAGTTCTACTCGAGTGCACAGGCTCGGATTAAATAAGAATTGAAACGGGGATTGTAAGTTGGGGATTATAGAGTTTTTATCGCGGTCAAACAGCCTTAAGATTAAAAAGACAAGAAACAAAAATGAAAGGCCTCGAGAATGTGTGAGTGTAGATGAGGGGACATTGGATCCAAGTCCGGATCGGAGCCCGAACCCGCTGTCCGTGGATTCGTATGTACATATTTCGATAAATCGCTTTCATTTCAACTAATACTACAACTACTATCGACTACGATCGGCCCGTGGCTACCGTGGAAACCGGAGGCCACGTGGCAGGAGAAGTTGGTCGCGATGTGTCCATTATTCGGGAGCGGCAAGAGGTCGGCAATATTGTGATTGGGTTCGATTCCATGACTTAGTGGTAGCCCAAAGGCGACAGCGCGGGCAGAGCGGGCAGGGCCAGCTTTTGCAGAGCAGGTCCGTAGCCATGTCCGTAGGCGGGTGCCAAAGCCGGACCGTATCCATGGGCCAGAGCGGGTCCGTAGGCGGGGGCCAGAGCCGGTCCATAGGCGGGCAGCTTGGCCACCAGAGGAGCGGCATGGAGCAGCGGAGCCGGGGCCAGGACCTTGGCCACCGGAGCCACCGCCTTCACCACGGCTCCCTCGCGGCGCACCACTGCGTTGAATCCGTGCACAGGATCGGCGGTGTACTCCACAATTCGGCGGGTGCCATCGGCTTCAATCAGGGAATAGGCGCCCTGCACCACATCGCCGCTTCGGCTTTCCTGCTGGCTCTTCACATCACCAGTGGATCCATCCTGTAGGGATAAAATGGAGAATAAGGATTAGAAAGAATAATATTTAGAATTCTTCTTATCAGGCATCCTCCACTTCTCAATTATACCGTATTTTACCCTTCCAATCATATATATATATCTTTGCAAGTTCCTAAGTGCCTCCTTTCTATTGACAATCACATCCTTTTAAAAAAAAATTAAACATTTTTGTGAATGTTAAATATTCTTTGAATATTTTGAGTTATCTTAAAAAAGGTTTAAGAAATAACTTGTCTGCCTTTCTTGCTTTGCTAATATGTTTTGATTAAACAGTTCTAAGCTTCATAAAAATGACTGGCAAAAATTCAGATTTGCATACCAGCTACTTAGAAAAGCAATGGGTGTCTTATGCAGATTTCAGATTTGGCATTGCTTTTTGTGAGGTGAGCTAAGAACTATTCCATTCAAAAATACACTTTGGTTAAGGACAAGTTATGAACTCATGACAGTAACTCACATGGACATCGTAGCTGAAGCTGTACTGGGGATTGGGGTCGTAGGGCTCGGGGCCGGCCACCTTGGCCACCAGAGGAGTGGCCACCTTCGCCAGCGCCGGGTACGCGGGATAGCCGGGCAGGGCCAGGCCGGGACCGGGAACCACCACGGCGGAGGACACCGCCACCAGGGCGCTCAGGACGAGGATCAGTTTCTGGGCCATTCTGGAGTGCTTGCTTTGGAGATGGAGATGGAGAACTGGTGGTTGCTGCTACTCGGCTGACAAATGAACTCGATCTGTGGTTCTGTGGCCGTTCGACAATTGCTTTTTATAGGCCTCCCATAGACGCGAGCCCAAAAAAATCCGCCACAGCCTCCGCCGCCGCCTGCCACCAGATATTTATGCAAAAAGCGCAATAAGACACACAAAATAATAAACAACTAAAAAGTGCGCATGCGTGTGGAGTCTGTGGCGGCCTGTGTCTATGCGAAATACTTGCATCGATCGCGACAAATATAAAATAATTCATTTTTCGCTGCCCATGGCAATCAGAAGGGGCAGCTGGAGGAGGAGGACGAGGAGGAGGAGGCGGAGGGGCGCCGCAGTTCACGCATGTCTGGGAGTTTGGGAGGACTGTGCCGGACCAGAGCAAACTGGTCCCACGCCGGCGTCGTCGTGACAAAAAAGTTCAATTCGAAAGCGAATTTTTTGGGCCTAGACCGGGTGGCCGGGCGGATCAGGTGTGTGTGGTGTATGGGCACCTCCCATGTCCCATGTCCCGTGTCCAATGTCCCATGTCTCGGCTTTATGGCCACCAGATTGGGGCGAAGCTGCACACGCACCCAGCAGTCGCAGTCGATTGTTGAAAGGTGTGTTTGGGGCACAGCCTTCGAAACTGGCTGGCAGCGATCCAAGCCGCGCCCACCCAAAAATCTCCGCCAGACGCAGTCACTGCACTGGAGAAAAAGAATTGTTCTTAACGCAAATCTCTCTGAAGTCAAAGCGATAATATGCATTTCTTACTCAAGAAAAGATCAAATGTCTCTATGCCGCTTTCCATTCATTTTAAAATATATCTACCTTTTTATTACTACTAGTTTAGTATAATAAATTAAATAAATATATTATATAATATTTATTATAACAAAACCAAAATCAACTATGATTTCATTAATATGAATTAGAAGAAACTAACTAAATTTGAACTGAAGTCGGATTTTAAAAGTGAAATATTCCTTACTAATACAAATAATAATACATTTATGGGATTCTTTTTTTTCTCCAATAAAAAAATTAATAATAAATTTATGGGATTCTTTTAGTTCTCAATAAAAGAAATATAAATATTTTTATTAATTATGACCTCGAGTTTAACAAGCAATAACTATATGTAGCATATAGAGGTAACCCAAAAGAAAACATAGATTTGTTTCAGTGCATGGATTTGGTTCTGCTTCTCCACTCTGTTGCCATTGGGACAATTTTGCCCATTATCACTAATTTTCAACGCGTACCGCCGCTTGTTAGGCGTTGCAGTCGCTGCTGCAGTTGCAGTTGCAGTTACCGCTGCAGTTGCCGCTGCAGTTGCTGCTACAGTCAGCGCCGGCAGCAACATCTATGGACATGCTCGGGTTGGGGTTTGCGTAATCCAAAAATTGCATCTCGTGCCGATTTTTTACTTTCAATTAAGCTATTGAATAATTTGAGTGCGTGTTGGGCCAGCGAGTGAATGTATTTATTTGGAGTGGAAGAGTTCTTTGGGCGTGGGACAGCTGGGGGGAGATTACCATTTAAGATTGGTTTCTTATGTAAGGGAAAATTGGCCTGCGATATGGGTCAGCTTTCTTCGGGGGATTAGTCTTTTGTTACGTATGAAATAAAAAACTAAGTTTGCACAAAGTGATGTCTGTAAATTTAGTAGTTATATTCATCACATATTTATTTGTCACTTTTGACAACCTGTAATTACAAACAAATTCAATGGTGAGTTTGCTGGTTAGTTTCAAGTTCAAAATTACATGTTCTTCATCTTATTGACACGCAAATTTTGATCTTGAAAAAATATCTACTTAATTTCTTGTTAAATTGAACTACTTTTCGCATGTTTTAATTTAGTTCATTATCATTGACTGAGCTAGTAAAATTTTAGGCCTTGGGGCCTTGCATGATCAGCTCACTAATTAATAAAATGGATAGGTGTAAATGTAAACTAGTTTTTGAATTTACTAGAGTGAACTACTAAGAGTGTTTTGCACTTTTGATTAATTGTAGTAATTAATCGGCTATAGACGCCAATACTTATGTTTTCTCCCAAATTATGCGTCATCAAATGAGTAATCAACATAGGTGAAGTCATATTTTATTCGGATGCGAAAAAACCTTAATGTCATTCATATCTTTGGCTTAGTGAATTTATTATTAATTGGTAAATGAGTTTACAACGGACTAAGGATCAGACAATAAGTTATGTAAAAGCTAGTTAACAAGCAGTGATTTAAGCTCTACAAGATTGAGTTCCTAGCCCAGCAAAGGACCAGCCACTGGAGCCACCAATGGACGAGGAGCCACCGGAACTGGTCCACGCTGCACTACCGCATTGAATCCGTTGATGGGATCGGCGGTGTAGAAGACGGTGCGCAGAGATCCATCGGCATCCACCACGGAGTAGGAACCCTTCACCACGTCGCCATCCCGCACCTCCTGCTGGCTCTTGCTGTCCCCGGTGATGGCATCCTGGACATTATAGGCGAAGGCGTACTGTGGATGCGGATCCACCTCGGTGTTCAGGGGAACTCCCACTGGAACTCCGGCTGGGAGCAGGGCACACTCGATGGCGGCGATCAAAGCGCAGCAGATTAGGGTGATCTAAAGGGGAATCACATCTTTAGAAAATCATATTCCTGGACAAGGACTCAATTAACTCACCTTGATCAGGGCCATGACTAGATTTGCTGGATTACTAGTGGTTTTTTTGGTGTGCTGGTGGCTTGACAATGCTGTCGGAACTGCCTTCAGTTGCCAATGGATCGGGGTTATAAAGGGCCTCCCCATTCCCATCGATGCCATGCGTCGTGTAGCAACTGCTGCCAAAAACGAATCCATTTGCTGACGTAATGGCCCATTTCTGGGTCTAGCCCCTGCAAAAAGGTTTACCCAATGGACGTGCCAACAAAAGGCGCCCAACTTGCACAATTCTCCCCTCCAATATGAATTGTGATAACCGTAAATATAGTTGACACTACGTGATCGGCATTTAAAATCTAGAGCTTGAGACTTCGACTCTGAACCTACCCCAACGATGAATCAAGTTTGGCTGGGAAAAATGGAGCATTTTTGGGTTGTTTCTTTAACAAACTACACAATTTTGAATGGGAACAAGTAATAATAAAGAATTTTAGTGTTCTACAATAAATAGATTTTTATGTATCAAATGTTTTGAAAACTGCAGAATAAATAAACTATATCGTTTACTCTTGTGGTATAAAAACAAAATAATATCATTCCATAATTCGTTTTTGAATTCCTTTACCCCTTTTATCCTTTACAAGAAATAAAACAAGGTATCCAATCATTTTTTTTGTACCGAAACTTTTATTCAGTAGATGCAGATACTAATTCACTAAGTGGCCGATAGCCGTTCCCCAGATCCCCAGAACGGTATCCCTAAACGTAGTCTGTGGTGGCGGTGATATAGTGTCCAATCGTCCGACCGATCGGAGATGGGGAATGTGGGTCAACAGCGGGTGGCAACAGCACGCACGTCCTTGTGTTTCGGGTTTCGGGTTTTGACTGACAGAAGAGTGGATTAATCGGGGTTATGTTGCTAATGCATTAGAACTATTCAACAACGGTCCTACAACTAGGCTAAAGTTTGTCATCGCTCGGTTTCATCCAATCCAACCGATTAGTGGTATCCACCCAGACTGAGACCAGGCGCCGAGGCGTATCCGATCTTGGTGATGGCGGGAACTGCGGCAACTGCGATGGCGGGCTTGGCGATCGCCACCGCGGCCACGCCCTTCTTCTCCACCACGGCATTGAATCCATTGACCTTGTCGGCGGTGTAGGTCACCTTGCGGATGGAGCCATCGGGCTCGGCCAGGGAATAGCTGCCATGGACCACACCGTTGACCAGGGTCTCCTCCTGCTGCTTGGAATCACCAGTGTGGTGATCGGTTACTCCGTACGAGAAGCTATACTGGGGATTGGGATCGTAGGGCTCCGCCACGGCCACCTTGGCCACGGCGACGGGAGCAGCCAGGAGCTTGGGAGCAGCATAGGAGATGGAAGGAGCGGCATACGAGATGGCAGGAGCAGCCAGGAGTTTAGGAGCAGCATACGAAATGGCAGGAGCGGCATACGAAATAGCCGGAGCAGCTAGCAACTTGGGCGACGCATAGGAGAGTCCCGGCGAAGACAGTCCATAGGGATCGATGGGGATGGCCACCACCGCGGACAGGATCAGTCCCAAAACGAACAGACTCTGGCGAGGAATTCCTTGATCAGCAAAGCCAACTAGGCAACCCAATCCTGGCCAACTCACCTGGGCAAACATGGCAAAGGATGTGATAGAGGGAGCTCTGGTTTGGAGGTGTCTGCACTACGAGAACTCAGCTCAAATGTGAGATGCATTTTCCGCCAACTCTTCAGTTTTATATTCGCCAACTGGCGGCAGCTACCAACTAAAAAAACTGGACAATCTAATGGGCAGAGTGACAATTGCGTCTCATTTGGTGACTGCCCGATCTCGATCTCGATCTTGCACCCCAGACCTCATCGCTGATGGCGGATTTCGTGTTTCTGGTGCGGATTTCATCATGAGTGCGGGCTTTTCTCAATGGAATAGCTGATGCTGCTGCAGTGGCAGCAGCACACCACACCACACCACTCACCGAAATCCATTTCAGTCTGGCCGTTCAAGAGCGCCGCTCCAAGATACCCAGATACCACCAACACCAGACTCGTTTTCCGCTGACCAATCTGGTTTCATTTTTTCGCTGTTTTTCGGCACATTCTCAGGTTCTCCAGCCGAACTTTGTCTGATGTAATAGCTGCCTCATGTTGGGACAGTTGCAGTTGCTACAAGAACAGGAGAATAGATTTTAGTAACTAGGAGTACCCTTAATTTAACCATACAAATTTCAAACACATCTATAAATTAATACTTTTAAGTTTTGGAACTTTATTAATTAAACGAGTTTAAATTAAATAATAATATAATATCAATTATTATTTTTTTTTATCTTCGGGTAAAATAAATTCTCTATTAGAACAAAGGAAATTTATTCAATTTTCTATTATGTTTATAAAAGCGCTTAATAAAAATCCCAGAAAAATTAAATAACTAATTTGAATGCCTTCAATTTAGTTATGCAGCTTATTACTCACACGCCATGTTGCCTAAACGAAAGCAAATTTGAGCTGGCTTACGTGTCGTATGTGTGATTTTATGGCTAAGTAACTTGCAAGTATAAAGTGAGGTACCCACTTTTAGAGTATCAAAACAAGATCAATCGTTCGCTGGCCACTCGTTTAATTAGAAAACGAAAATGGCAAGTTTCGATGGTTTTTTTTGGAGGAGGGGGAATGGGCGGTGCGCAGGCGCAATTACGCACTCGCACACACGCATTAACCCCTCGCCGATCTTATTTCCACCCAGCCAAACCAGCGCCCACATTTCTGAGCCGGTCACTTAGCCACCGTAATTGCCTCGATCGGGCCAAAAGGCAACTAGCCGGCATTTGGAAGCTTTAACCGCTGCGACCTTGCCCAAAATTGGCAGCTAAGTGGCAGTGGCCAATACTTCGTCTACTTTTAATTAATTCTCATCTCAGAGCAGAATCGGTGGATTGGGCAAGGAACTGCTTAAATGGCAGTGGAGCATTCCATTCGCTTTGGCCAAATTGGACGACTTTATATCCATGCTGGTTTCCGGTGGCGACGATCTACGTCGACAACCGTTAGCAAGTCAGGCCAATGAATAATCCCGCGATCTGTTGCCAAGTTTTGGGCTCTCTCTCCGTTTCTCCGGCTCTCTCTGGGCCTCTCCGATGTGAATCCGCAGCCAACAAGTCGCAAGGTCGTTGGTTGCATTTCGGAAAAGAGTCACGAACTCGAAACCCGCCACCAGTTACAGCACGGAATCGATGGGGAATCTTTAATCAACCAATAAGTTAAGCAAATACCAAAGATTCGAAATTTTGGTAAACAATTTCATGAGACAAAATTTTAAATTATTGACAAGAATTACCTTTTCAATCTGATCCTCTTCTCTAAAATCTTATACCTTAATCATATATTTTATATTAATAAATAAAGAAATTCATAGTGAATAAGGAATAATGAAATTAAATTGAAATTAGTTGAATCTTGATGACCCAAAGTATAATACTCCTTCATTTCACACTCTAAATATTGGAGTTCTGTTAACACAGAAATTAAACTAAAATCTATTGTATCACCACTTCCTTGTAAGACTGTTTGGAAAATAAAACCAATACAATACCTTATCTAATCGATATTCCTGGGGTACATTGACCCAGTTTCACTTGGTTAAGTGAAACCAAAGTCTTTGGGGAAACAACCTTATTATGTACAGGTTGTAGCTAATTAGCATTTGTAATTGATACCCAATAAAGTGTACCAGAAACTTTCCAATTTATTATATACTATCAACACAGTCATGTCATTATATACAGAATGATTGATATCTTCATGTACCATATTCTTCGAAAATACCTTTTAATAATTTTAATTCCTAAAGTGTGAACCCTTGTCAACCCGTGTTCAATCAAGTATCTTAATTAAAGTCTCGCGTTTTTGGTGTAAAGGAAAATTAAAAGCATTGCCATTGGATGGAACCTGCATGACAATTACCGAAAACTACTGCTCCGAAATTTAATCAAATCGCATTCACTTTCGATCCGAACAAGGCAAAAACAGTGGCAAATAAAAATGAAAACTTGGTGTAGCAGCAAGACGACTGAAAATTGGAGTACGTGCCGCGAATTTGGATCAAAGCCCAGACGCAGAAGCAGACGCAGCCAAAGCAAAAACGCTGGGTAGGAAGAGGCCCCAAAAAAATGTGGTGGTGATGATGATGATGAGGGGCAAGGAGTTGGGACAATGGGCTACCATACGCAATTGGTACGCAGCTCCCTCAACTGAGTGCCGCATGCAAATTTCGCGAACGCATCTGGTATAAAAGTCGTGGTTTTTTTGTCAAAGGTATGTCAGTTCATTTTCGATAACCGACGGTGACAATCGCACTAAACCCCACCCAAGCCTTACAATGAATCCTTTGACGGTAAGTGATGGTGTGATGGTTGCTGGACCCACCAGGTCAGGAGATTAACCTGGGTTCCACCACTCTTCTTGCAGGTTGTTGCAGTCCTCTCCTCGATGGCCCTGTCCGCTCAGGCTGGTCTGGTTGGCGCTCCTCTGGCCGCCGCTCCTCTGGGTGCTCCTCTGGCCTACTCCGCCCCTCTGGGAGCTGCTCCGTACTTCGCTCCGGCTGCGTACTCCGCCCCTCTGGGATACAACGCTCCTCTGGCATACAATGCCCCTCTGGGATACAACGCCCCTCTGGTGGCTGGACCTGCTCCCTTGGTGGCCAAGACCTACGCCGCCGCTCCTTTCGCCGCTGGACCCTTCGCCGCTCCATTCGCCGCTCCAGTTGCCCCAGTTGCTGCCCGCCTGGCTGCCCCAGTTGCCGCTCCTCTGGCTGCTCCAGTTGCTGCTCCTTTGGCTGCTCCGGTTGCCGCTCCCCTGGCTGCTCCAGTTGCCGCCGTTGCCGCTCCCCTGGCCGCTCCAGTGGCTGCACCCATCGCCACCGAGATCGTGGATGCTCACCCCCAGTACAAGTTCGCCTACGATGTCCAGGATACGCTGACCGGTGACTCCAAGACCCAGGAGGAGACCCGTGATGGTGATATCGTGCGCGGATCCTACTCCCTGATCGAGCCCGATGGTTCCCGTCGCATTGTCAGCTACTACGCCGACTCCATCAACGGATTCAACGCAGTGGTGCAGAAGGATGTGCCAGTGGCTGTTGCCCCAGTGGCTCCAGTTCTGGCCAAGACCGTGGCTGCTCCCGTGGTGGCTGCTGCCCCAGTCGCTCCCGTGTTCGCCAAGACCCTGGCCGCCCCCATCGTTGCCTAAGGAGGAGGAAAAGGAGCCGGAAAGGAAGGATTGACCCCAACTCGACAAAGGACTTTCATCTGTACATATTCGATTAATCATTGTCGAGCTACAAAATAACTTTCATCGCAAAACCCAAAATAAATAAAAATTCTGAAAACAAATTATTGTATTTTAATAATTTATAGATATTTCCTTGAAAGATATATCCTCCCTAAGTTAAGATTTCCTGAATTCTTTATAGATTTAAAGCAAAGGTTCTTTATTTGGTTTCTTGCCTGGGATTTTTAGTCTTCTATCTTTACAATGGTTATTTTGTAGAAGACTTTCTTTTAAAATACCTTTTATTTTTTTTAAATTTCAGGGACTTGGAGGAGGAGTTCTGGAAGCTATCGCCACATGAGAACGTGGCCCGGATGCGGCTAAAGTTAGAGCCTCAATTATACCCAAATAAACACGAGAATGCTGCCAATCTGCGCGACAATGCAACCAGTGCTTATGACACCAAGTAAGCCCAACCAATTTGAAAAATGATAATACAAAACTAAACCTATATTAAACACAGGGAAATCTCAGAGTTTGACTCCACCATAAAGAATGCTGTAGTGCGCGATTTCCTGGCGGACGACGAGAGTTCCCAACTGGAGGAGGAGCTGCGCCAGCTAATCGACACGCAGGCGCAACAGGATGTGGCGCTGGAGAAACTAGTCATGTCACAGGACTGTGAGCTGATCACCCTGATGACCAAGGTGAAGGGACGCATCGAGGTCAACCAGACCGTATTCACCTTTGTCGATTTGAGCCCGCCAACGGACGATGGATCCAAACACGACTTCAGATTCTCCACCAACAAGATACGCGAAGTGCATCTAAGGAAGTACAACCTGCGCAGGAGTGCTCTGGAAATCTTTCTGGTGGATCAGACCAGCTATTTCCTTAACTTCACAACAAAAGTAGGTCTTTCTCGGTTAATAGCTTAGTTTAATATTGAATTAATGAAACTAATCGTATATTTTCAGACACGTAACAAAGTATTTACCAAAATCGTGGGTCTGCCTCTTCCAAATATCCTTTATGGCTCGGGAAGATCTCCAGCTGAGCTGCTGAGAGCCTCGGGCCTTACACAGAGATGGATCAATCGCGAGATCTCCAATTTCGAATACTTGATGTACCTAAACACCATCGCAGGTAAGAAATTAATACCTGTACCTTAGTCTAATTTTTAAAAAAAATTTACTGAACTTTTTCCAGGTCGATCCTATAACGATTTAAGCCAGTACCCCGTCTTCCCCTGGATCCTTGCTGACTATACCAGCGACGTGTTGGATCTGACAGATCCCAAATCCTTCCGTGACCTATCCAAACCCATTGGATGCGTAAGTTCTACTTAGATTTTTTACCAAATAAATCTGTAATTAATTACTCTATTTCCCCAATAGATAAACCCCAAAAACGAGGCCGAGGTGCGAGGCAAATACGACTCATTTGAAGATCCGTCTGGTGCCATACCCAAGTTTCACTATGGAACCCACTACTCAAACTCGGCGGGCGTGCTTCACTACTTGCTCCGCGTGGAACCTTTTACCTCACTGCACATTGAGCTGCAAAGCGGTCGCTTCGATGTGGCCGATCGACAATTCCACTCTATACCTCAGACTTGGAAGCTGCTAATGGACAATCCCAACGATGTAAAGGAGCTGATACCCGAGTTCTTTTACTTCCCAGAGTTCCTCAAAAATATGAACAAGTAAGGGGAATCTTTTAAGTCTTACTTACTTACTAAATTAAATCTCTAATTTAGATTTGACTTGGGCCACCTGCAAATAACCAAAGAAAAGGTGGATGATGTCATACTGCCCGCCTGGGCTAACACTCCTGAGGAGTTCATAGCCATACACCGGCGGGCTTTGGAGTCAGAGTATGTGAGCCAGCACCTGCACCACTGGATCGACCTGATCTTTGGCTACAAGCAAAAGGGACCCAAGGCCGCCGAGGCTTTAAACGTCTTTTACTATTGCTCTTATGAGGGCGCCGTAGATCTGGACAAGATCACCAATCCTGTGGAACGGGAGGCGGTTGAAGGTGGGTTAATTCTTACAATATCTTAGTCATTAACTTACGGTTTGATTTATTTAATCTAGGAATGATCAACAACTTTGGCCAGGTGCCTTCGCAGTTGCTTCGGGAGCCACATCCACGACGTCTCACGCAGGATGAAACATCTATGAAGCTTGTACGTGCCGAGCTGCGAAGGCCGGATCTTACCCAGTTCCTCGACAAGGTAGTGCAATACGATTGCGAGCTGTCTACGCCCAAGGATCCCATCGTGTACCTGAGTCCGCCTCGCAGTCCTCCACGCTCCTTCCTCCAGCTAAGTCCCGATGTTCTAGTCAGCGTATCGAAGTCTACCATCCTGGGTTGCAATTCATGGCTATCGTTTGATAAGGAGCATGGATTCCTGCTGGAAATCGATGCCACAACAGCTAATCTAAAGTATGTGGCTCTTTTAAAATTGATATAAGAGAAATGTTAATTGTAAAATTTCCTTAAAGGAACCGTAAGCGGGTCTTTGGACCATTCCACTCCTCCCAGCCGCCGCACTCACAACTTTTTGCCGTAAGCACGGATGGCAAGCTCCTGTATGCCGGTGGAATCTGGGATAATTCTTTAAGAGTATACAATCTGAACAAAGGAAAGGCGGTGGCTTCGGTGACACGTCACCTGGACATCATCACCTGCATAGCGCTAGACAATTGTGGCTCGTACTTAGTCACTGGATCCCGTGACTGCACCTGTATTGTGTGGAGCATCCAGGCGAATCAACAGGGTGGCGGTGGATCCACCAGCAACATTCCAGTTCACGCCCTGACGGGTCAGTCGCACCTGCAGGCGATTACCCAGCTGAATACACAGAACAACTACTCACCCAAGCCCCTGACAGTGCTCTATGGCCACGATGATGCCATCTCCAGTGTGGCAATCTACACGGAGCTGGATCTGGTGGTCTCTGGATCGCTGGTAGGTAGCAGTTTATAATCCTTGAAGAACATCGACTTATAATCTTAATGTTCTTCTCTTTAGGATGGTACTGTCAATGTGTATACACTGCAGGAGGGTCAATTTGTGAGGACACTCAAGCCCATTGGATGCACCGAGTCATGTGTGCAAATCTCTTTTGTGACCCTTTCTTATCATGGTAAGTATAAAGTTATTGTACTCGGAAATCCGTACTGTCTAAATAACAACACTTGTGTACATTGGTGATAGTTTGAGAGTCATTGTTGACTTCGCCTTAAAGTATGCCCCTATTTTTTTTGCCATTCAATGCCTTAATGTTTTGAAGAGGTTATTTTAGGCATTCACATAATAAAAGTCAAGCTCATTAAAAACCTAGTCATTTTTTAAAAAGTGATTATTACTAAGCTAAGTTGCTTATCCTAGCAATAACACGCAAATGGTTTTTTGGTATTAAAACTAAATTTATAATCCTAAAGGTTTTCTTAGTCTAAAACCTTCTTTTAGCTAACTGTGCGGACGAGAAAACGGTACTCAATTGATCAATTAGACCTTACTATATACATATATTAAAAATTGGATTAAGTTATAATTTATTTTAAAAAGGTCCGCCTACAATAGCTATTATATAAAATGATTAAATTCACAAACATATATCATTGCTATTCTTGCACAAATTTTAATCAATTTAAGCAATTGAAACTCTCTTCAAAATCGTAATTGACTCAGTGAAGTACTACTGATATGAACCTTGTCAAGGAGCTATCTTTGAATTGATTAAGCCAATGAAATGGCACTTGGCTGTCTGACTCATGAGACGGCTCGCTTTTGTGTGACCACATTACCACCTGAAACCGATAATCTCATAAAATCAGCTCTCTTTCCGCCTGTCCACTCATGGTGCCCCTAATCTTCCCAAGAAGCGACGGAATACTCACGTGCTACTGCGTAGCATTCCCATTATGTTTGAAGAGGGGCAATCAAACAATTTAATCAGCCCTCCTATCGGCAATTGCCACATAAGTGAGGCGACGAGAATCACGTGATTGTGTGGCCATGTGCGTCGCCCATGCGGCAGAGTGTAGAATGTCATTATGATGTTGGAAATCGTCCGACTTTCCCCATGCACTGCCCCCTCTTTCTTATCGCTAAGGCGACGGGCCGTTAATCCAAATTAAATCCTGCTTAAACACTGCCAGATCATAAAGTATACGAACCCCCGCAAGGTTAAGACTTTGACAGCCCGTCGGCAAACAAAATGTGTGCCTCGGAATTCCCCAACGTTCCTCATAGCAACACTGTCAAGGTGCCAATATAATAAAAATCAGGGTTTTTTTAATTTTGCAAAAAGAAACTATCACTGTCGATGGTACGTGCCCGATAACGGAATATCATAATTGCGCACTTCTACCGACCTGAATCAATATAAATTCGATTATGTTATGACAATGATCCATTGGCAGTAATTAACATGCCTTTGATTATTGCCCTATTATGGCGATGATTTTTAGAAAAGATTTCATAAGTCACTTTTTGATTAGCATGAGTTCGTTAGAGAGCTAATAAATTTGCACTTATTTGTCAAATTTGTATAAAAAGACGTAGCCTATTAAAATCACTATTGGTATGGAATATTATACAGAGTCAATGGAAACGTCTCCTTTCTGAATAGCAAAGTTCCGTAAACTACAATAAATATTTCCAACCATTTTGGGTTAATTTTTGAGGGGTTTACCTTTAAAATTTGTTTAAAAACGAGCAAACTTCGCATTAAATGTGTAAAGCAAGAGAGAACAATTCCATTACCTGAAATTCTACGTTCTTAAAATTAAAATTTCGCTGCATGTGCTTAACTTTCATTTTTGTTTGTTATACAATATTGGTCTTGTGATAATGCGAATAAGTAAACCTCCGATTTCGTTTGCTTTGCATTCAAATAAAATGAAATACGTCAATCGATGGCGCCAGCTTGTATATCGAGCTCTTTAAATATGCAGCCATATAGATTTGTTAAGCCACTCGATTTTCGGGCAATCAGCTTGGGTTTTTGGAAATTGATATACTGCCGCTGCCATATAGAATGACCCCCTTCCCTTACCCCCCAGTAAGCATTTTATATAGCCAACGTATATATACATATATAAACATATACTATGCATTGGACGCATGCAGCCGGTCGCTTATCGAAAGAATTAAAATTACTTCTGATTATAAATTCGCAACATCCGGCAGTCAACGGCTCAGAAATATTGAAACCGAATCGAAAAACGTCAATCCAGTTCAGTTTCCAGGGCAAAGATGGGCACTTAATTGCGTTCTTGTCGGGCCGCAGTCAATTACATAGCCGCTAATGAAGACCCGATCGCATCCATTGATTGACTATCAACCCGCGACGTACTTATACATACATGTGTGTGCACATACGAGTGCTCCACACTCGGTTCTCTGGCATTAACCCAGCGTCGTTAGTGGAATCAAATCAGAGGGGCGAACGAGCCCCGCGAACGAATCGCACGTCACCCAGTCACACGACCATCCGAACCGATCCCCTCAATTTCCCCATGCCACCCATGTTCGTCCGACGATTCATTCATTTTTAAATTCTTTTATACGCAGCACAAAATTTATGAAATAGTTGTAGTAAATTTCGTCGAAAGGCCCCAATAAAGATCAACATATATAAAGAGTGTGTGACTGCGGGCGAGTTTGGGAATTTTTTTGTTGAATGAACTTTAAGATTGGCCAAAACCAACCAGACACGGTTATTACTAGTTATATCTGTGCGCGTGGCCGGGTCATTTTAGGAAGCTCATTCAGATCCAATCTAGGGTATTTAGTCGCTCTTCCTTCTGAACGAGTTTCGCTGGGTGGCATTGGCATACAGATACATATACAGTCGCCGCATAATATAGATACTTGGGCAGATAAGAGCAACTACGCATTGCCTGGCATGTATGTATGTAGTATGAAGTATGTCGCCATGTGATATGGTCTCTAGACGATGCCAGGTTATCAGCACAGAGTGGGCCGGACCTCGTCTAATAGCATAAAGTGGTGCCTACTGCGTAAATGCTCGCCACTACGCCCTGCCCTACATTCTGAAATCGGAAATGATACGATCAAAGAACGCCGAAGAAGTTAAACCCAAGTCTTTTAATCTCAACTTGCTATCCTTTATCCACAGGTCACATCGCCTTCAGTGCTCTGGACGACACCTCGCACTCGGTGCATGTCTACAGCATCAATGGCTGCAGTCTGGGCTCCAAGTATGTTTCTGGCAGGGTCACCGGATTGGCCAGTGCCTCCGACTATCTCGTGGTGGCCGATGATGCCGGCGACATCACCATGAGCAGACTACACGGGTAAGAAATTTCCACAGAACTTACCTACGCAATTTGCAAGTTGATTTGAACAATTTTATATTTGGGCCAATTTTTTTTTATTTTGTACAGTTTATTATTTCTGTGCTTTTGGCCATAAAAACACATTTTTTAAAGGGGGTTTTTGCTCTAACTTCTTTAAAGACACACAGTCAAAAGAATGACTGTTTTTTGCAGCTGTGAACTTATACAATCAATTCCAGGTGGATTTGGTAAATTTTATTTTTTGAGTGATTTTCGCATTTTTTATAAGGGGTAACCCCTGGTTTTTTTCCGAAAATCAGTTAAAATAAAAATTTTTTAGCTGAGAATACCAATAGATTGGAAATTTTGTAACGAATTTAACGAGGTATGACAATCTTAGATCTGACCATTATTTCCATCAGTTTTGATTAAAAAACCGACAAAGAAACTGATGTTTCCCGGATTTTGGCCATTAAAAACATTTATTTAAAAACACATTTTTAAGGGTTTTTTGTCGTAACTTTGCCAAAATAAGACCCACAACCAAGAAAATGACTGTTTTGTGCAACTGAGAACCTATACAATCAATTCCAGCTTGATTTGGAAAAAATAATTTTTTGACCGATTTTTGCATTTTTTATAAGGGGTAACATCATTATTTTAAGCAAAATATGGGCCAAAATAAAATTTTTTAGCTGAGAATACCAATGGATTGGAAATTTTGTAACGAATTCAACGATGTATAACAATCCAAGATCTGACCATTATTTCCAAGGGTTTTGATCAAAAAACCGATAAATTGAGCTGATTTTTCCGGATTTTGGACATTAAAAGAATACATTTAAAATCACATTTTTTAGGGGTTTTTTGTTGTAACTTTGCCAAAATAAGACGCACTGCCATAATAATGACTGTTTTGTGCAGCTGGGAACTTATTCAATCAATTCCCGGTTGATTTAGAAAAATTTATTTTTTAGCGATTTTTGAATTTTTTATAAGGGGTAACATCATCAATTTATCAAAAATTGGGCCAAAATAAAATTTTTTAGCTGAGAATACCAATAGATTGGAAATTTTATAACGAATGCCACGATGTATTACATTCCAAGATCTGATCATTATTTCCAAGGGTTTTGATCAAAAAACCTAAAAATTGAGCTAATTTGTTGGAGTTTTTCGGGCTATTATAGGAAAAAAAATTCTTTTTAGTTTCCTTTTTATGCTTTTAAGCCCTACTAAATAATGTCAATATATCCACTTGCAGTTTAAAGCCCGTTTTCGACATTCCGCTGCACGTGCCCATCCAGACGGTGGTGGTGACGCCGGGCAACACCCACATCCTGGCGCCTCTCCGGGATGGACGACTGGCGGTGATCGCCGTGCAACTGCCCTCCAGTGGCAACAAAAAGCATTCCGTGCTCAATGTTTAAAAAAAAAACAGCAGGAGCTTAGCTGGACATTGGACTTCCTGAATTCCCGAATTTTACTCTCTGCCTAGCATAAGTGTCCCTCTATTTTTGTCTAGTGCTTGTAGCACACTCTAGATTAAGTTTATGTGTCTTGTGATTTGTCATGATTTATTTTTTGTCGTTTCCCATACTACGTGACGTGCCAAAAGCAAAGCCTTTGACCAACAAATAATTCCCAAGAAAGTTGACAAATGTGTCTAAAGATATTCAGCAAGTCGATCGATTGCATTCGCGGAATTTCCATGGCAACTAAGCAGTATTTCCCTGTCGAACGTGCGTGTACACCTGTCCGAGTCGGAAATCCTTCATCCCGGGCTGCAAAAATGATCGATGGCACACTCTTCTTCAATTGACGAAAATCTGAATAAATCATCAATCATGCGCCGCGGTGTGAGGAGATATCTCTCGGCAGGCAAAACGGGACGGAGATGAAGACGAAAACGGAGCGTGGCGGTGGAAACTGGTTGTCGACGCACTTGGCAACTACTACTCACTGACTCACGAGCGACTTTCAAATTGGCCCAAAGTAATAAAAAAAGAACCGAAAAAAAAGCACCCGGCAACAGCGGCAAGACGCCTAAGAAACCGCAACCGACCGCACAGATCGACGGCATCCAGCTGCTCGGGTGCTTAAGAAAAATCACTTTCGTTGCGCCCCCTTTTTTCGCCTGCAGACACAACCAAAAATAGAGCCCATAGATCTTTGTCCCATTAAGTACGCACACTCGGATCACATGGGATCCAATAATTAACAGAGCATTTCCAATTGAAAGTATTATCACCGCACGATTAGAGTCCGTCCATTTAGATCCACACACAGACAATACCAGTGCCAGCACAAAAGATACCGAATTGAATCTGATTCTTTCTATTTTAATTACCATTCCCCAATCTTCTGTCTTTGATCTTGCTCGTCAGCGAATGTGAAAACCCCCCGCAGACTATAGAATCTGAAATTCCAAAGACAAGCGACAATATCAAAGGTGAATAGAATATATATTTTACGAATTGTAATCGCATATATACATAGTAGAGAACTTCCGCACAATCGGGCCGTGAGATTAGCCCCCCGCTTTGAAGCTTTGGGCAGCTGCAACAGAAAAATCTATCAATATCTTACTCCAGCAATATAGTATATCATCTCTGTACGTAAAGGTCCTCCGGGATCGAGTTCGTTAATTGTTGTTAAGATCGTATCGCGTATTATCGTAAAAAATGTTTTCCCCGTTTAATGTACGTAACTGTACGAGTTTATGTAGATATTGTGACTATCCGTAGTTTGTAGATCTGTCAATAAAGTGATGCAAACCGCACAGTAAATGTAATTCCTTGTTTTTTATTCACCCGCCCAATAAACACTTGCCGTTCAGTTTTCATGTATTTATTCAAAAACTATAGCTTAAGGTTGATTAAAATTAAAAACTAAACAATTAGAAAACCATAGTTCAGTTCTATTAGCTTATAAATTAAAACATAGTTGGGTAGCTTATGAAACTGATTAATTCCGTGAATACTATTTCGTGATTCTACATGGGTTGCGATGCTGGATGAATTTGGTCGATCAATAAATAAGTTGTTTAAATGATGGGTGCACATAAATACGAATTGGGTGATTGACTGATTGATTGATTGTGGTTTGTGCTACAAGTTATATAAGTGCTTGGGTTGCTTGTGTACCCTTAAGTAAACGGCCAATTAATTTAAATACGTTAACTAGAGCTCGCCTGAATCGCTAGGAACAATCATTGCTACTTACAAAAACAAAAGACGCGTGATTACAAGCCAATAACTAAAGCTATAATTGAAGAAAACCATAAAGTAGATACTATGTTTCGAATGCTATACTTGTGACTGCTATTCGAGAATGGTAAGTTAGAAAATTAGTGTCTAAGCCGGCATTAGATACGGTTATTTACCAGGATTACGAGCTAGATTGGGCTTAACCTAAATTGTACATAACTGTAAATCGTATGACCTTTTACTCCATCAATTTTTTTTGTGGTTTTTCTAAGCATATTTCTTTTCTTTTCTCGCATCTTCGAAGGCATTTGATCTATCTAACTAACTAGATGAATTTCCGTCGTCAATCTGATAGCCTTTTGTTCTGTGGTTGTAATGGTGGGATCTTTAGTCCTCCTCCTCCTTCTGCAAAAACAAGAAAAGAATAAGGGATTACTTAGGATGAGTTGGGATGCGGGACTAGGAAGGGGAATACTTACAAGTACGGGATACACGAAGGTGTCGGCGGTGTCTTTTCCGACGGCGTTGCGGGCTATGCACTTGTAGTTGCCCATGTCCTCCCACTTGATCTCGGAGATCAGAAGATCGCCACTGGGCAGGACCCGGTGGCGATGTCCCTGGACGATCTCCTTGTTCTCGTTATTCAACCAGGTGATCTCGGCCCTGGGACGAGCGTGCACCTTGCAGGGCAACACAATGTTGCTGCCCATCAGGTCCAGATGCGTCTTCTCGGTATAGATGATGCGCGGCTTCTGGGGTCCCGGGTAGGTCTTCTCCGGCACGAAACGAGAGGAGCGAGCTGGATGCACCACAGTGCTGGCGTAGATGGTCTTGGAGCCACTGCGTCCCACACAGGTGTAGGTGCGGGCTTCGCTCAGCATGTGATCGATGATGTGGGACGATCGCACACGGACAATGGCACTGGGCGCCTCTTCGGCCACCTGGTTGGATTCCAGATCTTCGAGTTCGGAGCGGGGCAAATGACCCACCACCCACTGGATGCTGGGCACCTGGGAGCCCATCATCTCGCAAACGATCTCGATGGTGGCACCCTCCGCCTGCTGCATTTTGGTCGGCGGCGTCTTGATGAACTTGAGCCAGTCGGCCTCGATGAGTCGGTTGCGGGGCTTCTCCTCCGCCTCGATGGAGTTGTCCACGTCGTTGCTATCGTCTACCAGGTCCATGGCTCTTCCGCGGACAGTGGCGATACTGCCGAACAGCAGCAGCGCTAAGGCGCACACATGTAAATTCATTTTCTGCAAGATCAGAGTGGAAATCGGCAGTGAGTTCAAAGTTCGTCCACAGTCATACGATGTACTCTAATGTAGGTTAATAAACCCCAGAGCAACGTGATGCGATTGCCTGGATTCCCGCCAGTCATCCCCAACACTTATCACCACCTATAAATCAGGGGAGGTCTCATAGTCTATTTCCCCGATAAGAACGAAAGGCCTTCAGCCGCCGGACTCTAGAACATTACTAAGACTTGCGAAATGGCATGGCTCTCGGAATCTAAATCGAAATCCTTTCCCGAATAAAACCCCAACCCCCAAGAAGCAATTATCAAACCCGAACCCGAGAGATCTTCGCTCTCAATACGAATTTCACAATGCCACGACACCAGAAAAAAAATGATATAAGAATCTTGCGTGGGCCGAATCAGAGGCAGAAATCGAAAACGGAATGACACCATTGTGACGTCAATTTGTTCGAATTCTACAACTTGATTCATATTCCGCAGATCAAGGGCTAGTGTGTCCATGTCTAGAGTCTAGACTGGACAAACTGCGTGACCGATTAATTATTCAAATGGTTTCGAGGGTATTGTATATTTGAAAGCCCCCTCAATAGCCATTCGCCAATCGTTGGCGAACGTTGCATCAGACGGTTTTTTTTGCCCTTCGACGGGGATTTTGGTTTTCGGGGAATTTCTACGAATTCGGTTTTTGAAAAAACACGACATTGATAGATAGGATTCACTGGTCTATTGTTAACGCATTACTCACTCACCTTTTGATTTGATTTCTTTTTTCTCTTCCGGTAAAAAATGTTTGCAAATTTCTCCCTAACGTTGGATGATATGATATCAAGTGCTATCGACGGTCGGCTTGTCGTTATGTTATGAACGAATTTATCAGCTCTATGTTGTGGTGGCTCCTGGTTTGGGCTTTCTGGTTGAAGTTGAGCAGCAGTTGGCTTAGCACTGACATAGATCCGGCGCTGGATGCCGTCTTGGAGGTCGTGCAGCTCAGTGTTGGCGGAATCTTGGCTGCTTGCCGGTCTGTCTGGGACGAATATGGATCGTGTTGGATGGTCCTTCGCTTGGGGATAGCGATTATCAGGTGGCTGGTTTAGGATTGGGTGCTGCGTCTTTAGTGGGTCAAAGTCTCGTAGCGAATATCTAGCTGACGGCTCTGGCACATTCGATCCTCGAGTGGATATCAGTGATCGGAACGGGCTTCCTTGGATGTGGACTTGGCTTTGGATTTGTTGGTTGTCTGGTTGGCGCGGCACTCGTTTGAATACGCACGGTTCATCGACATTACACTCGATTCAAGGTGTTTGGGGCGTTTTTTAAGCGGATCACGGCGAATTTGAAAAGCGAGGATCGGTTAAGTTCGGGTTGGATCGTAACGGATCGGACTGGATCGGAACTGCGACTGGTGGCTCTCAAAAGTTGTGTTCAACAGCTGGAAACTGTAACAGAACTGAATGTGTAACCGCAGCGCTGTTCCATTTATATGCGACGCCGGCTCACTCACACATGGCCACTTGTGGCTCGGCCCGCTCTCCTTCTTCTCTTCTCCGCATGCCTCTTCCGCTCCGCCGCTCTTCGATCTCTCCCGGCTCTCTTTGCCGCTCCGCTCCTCCGCCTCCTCCACCTCCTCCTCTTCACCGGGTGACAAGCCACTAGCATTCAATTACTCGTTCTCAGATCGTAATTCTTTGTGCGACCGCCGCACCGGGAAGGTGCGGAACAAAACGGATATAACCGGCCGGGGGATTCGATTATCCGCCTTTGGATCTGTATCTGAATCTGAATCTGGCTTTCGTTTGCCTAATTGCACGACCAGCTACAGTCCAACTACAATAACTGGGAAACCCATGATCCCCAGACACCATTCAATATATGTATTACCGAAGGATACTTATAGAAACCATTTATCAGAGTTCTCCAATGTTTCTTTAATTGGGTCTTTACAATTAAGACAATTTCATCATGTACATTTATCAAATATATTTTATGATGCAATTTTTAACAGAATACAAGAAGATACTTTTCATTTTCAAACTAAATCTCAAAATATGAGATACTAAGAAATGAAGACATATATTTGTCAGGGGCATTGTAGAAAAGTGGGAGGTGTCAACAACAGAAATTAGATCACATATTAAAGGTGCTAACAGCCGAAATAGGATCTTTACATTTCGGTGTTTGACACTTCTGCTTAAAATATTCATGAATCACTCCTAAGTGTAAAGATAAACAAACCAAACTATTAGCCACAATAAGTTTCAGATATCGAAGTTCTCCTGTAGTTATCAGGACCATAAATTTAATCTGCTGATTTGATTTCGAAAATCTGAATGGTTTTAATTATTTTTTTGTGATTTCATGCTCACTGACTCGGACTTGATATGCATAACCAATCTCCCAATTTAACAGCCACCAATGAGAAGCAGAACTTGGCTTTAAGCCCGTTGACAGAGTAAGCAGCATTCAAAAGTGTGGCCGATAAAACTGACAACTTCTTATGCGCCCCAGTCTTCATTAATGTTGGGTAGTTCGAGATTGGTTTGTATAGGGGGAGGGGGAGTGGCATGGAGTGGCATGGTGCAAGGTTCCATTAGCCGAGACCGTGTCTGAGTTCGAGTCCGATTCCGAGTCCAAGTCAGTGGTTTGTCCGTCCATCCGTCTATTTGTCTGTCTTTCCGTCTGTCTGATCTGTCCATGCGATCGCCTCATTGCAATCAAGTGTGAGTGCCAGTTTGTCTGCGGCGATCGTTGGCTGAATGAGCAGCGGAGGAGGAGGAGGAGTGGCGGTACGATACCACAAGTTACACTCAAAGAAAGAATCTATGACGAAAATTTAAGCCACTAGATTCATAAAGAAATAACATTTAACTAAAGAACTACATTAAAAGGAATAAGGCCAAAACTGGAAAAGTACGACAGAATACCTCGTATTCCAAGTCACCTAGCTCAAGGTTATCTATTAAAACAATTTTATACGAATTAGGTTTTTTGCTAAATTGTTAATTATCTCTAAAAATAGAACGACTTTTCAGCTTAAATGTTGATAACTGAGATTAGAGTATCATGACAAAGGTGCGAGAAGCAAGAAGTAACTATATATAGCTCATAAGCTGTTTCTTTAACACTTTAGATCTGAGATAGTAATCTCAGCGAAAATAAAAAAAATCGGTATATCTATATTTTGGTACAGCTCAACTCACCTTAATAAAAAATGTTTAAAAAAGAAAATAAGTCTATGAACGTTTTCTTTCAGGATGAATCTGTTTAAATGGATTTCTTTTAGGTATATAAAGTGAACTAATGTGCAATTCTTTTATTGAAGTGATG